CAGCGCACAATCACCGCAGTCCAATCCATCCCCCACCGCACAGTCACCTCAGTCCAATCCAAGCATTGCACTGATAACGGCAACAACCCCTGCCCCCAGCCCCATTGGTTCCACCCCGCCGATGAATCCATGTATCCCCCAAGTCATGTAAGGAGATGGGAGATCACGCTTGTGGCCCATTCTTCCGGAAGTCGAGATGGAAAATCACACGAATTTCACCCCCGACTGATTTACGAACTCACCCCGAATGGTTTCCTTCTTTGCAACTAGGGTTGGTCGTCGGTATTTCCGCGCCAACCAGAACATCCCCTGTAATGTAGAATAGATACTCCCCAAGGCATTGAAATACTGTTCCCCGCATTTGTCAAGCAAGCGCCATTACAAAGTACCTACCTCCAGCAGAGACGTTTCTGGAGACGGGTCTGCCTACATCAGCTGGTTGTCGCCTCAGCTATCGCAAACAAATAAAAGCCTAATAAATCAACAAAAAGTATCCAAAACACTCCTATTCCAGTGACGTCACAGACGTTCAAGTGCCCCAGAATCTGCGCTTGGCCAAGAGTGAGCACCAAAAGTGAGGGCCGTTCTTACGGAGAGCGTCATGTAGACTTGGTATTATTTTTCTCCCTAAGAGCGGATGGTCATTTATCGAGAACTCGATTCATCTTGGTCGAGCGGAGGGTGGAATACTCTGGGGGGTATGTGGCTTGACCCGCGAAAGTTCAGTTAAATAGCCGGAATGGCGCAGTGGTAACGCGTTTGGCTTGTACTCTACCGAGACGGAGACCAAAAGACCCCTGGTTCAATCCCAGGTTTCGGCATTTCTTTTTATCTAAATTAATAGACAGCATCGAAAAAACAGTGTCTCCGCTCAGATACTGAATTTTTTGCACCCTACTCTGTAGAGGGCGATGACGGGAAGGAGTTCATGGATCGAATCACGTGAAATGCCTCGCCGCCGTCGTCATCACCATCATTCCAGCTTTCACCTTGTCGCTTCTCATTTATTTGTTTCCCATCAATCTCTCCCATAGCTTGCTTAACTTCTGGCAGCAAATGTTTTTGCTTTTAGCTATTTGTTACTGGCCATATGACCGCCCAGGCCGAAAACTCAGCGTATCCACTCACCATACATAGAGTTATCGCCTATCGGACCTGGTTCAATCCTCCAATCTCGGTGTCTGCTACTAGATTCCAGACCGGTCTCCAGGGATCAACATCATTGATAGCTTAACTTCCTTTTCCGCGTCCCCTGCCTCCATCTTCTCGCATTCAGTCATTCTCCCCCGAAAGAAGTCCCTCATACTGTGGTGAAGAGGATTATCTACCCCGACTGATGCGGATTAGATTTGGATCTTCGAGATCGAGAGCATCCAGGGGCCGAGAACAAATAAGGATCTCTTCTTCATTGCTCGATACTCCGAAGCAAGCAAACGCAACTGTGTAATATCTAGTCTACCACCCTCGATCTTCTAGCAAAATCTTCTTCCTAGTCAGACCTAGCGATCTGTCTTCGTATTTCGTATATCAAGAGTCGCTGTCGAGTCACGATGATTGATTCTATATGTTTCCACACCTTCGCCCTTCCGTGAGTACGCTGATCGGTTAGGGCCCTTTTCGGATGGATCCTCTGCCACAATCTGATGCCCCAGCGCCAGGGATAGAGAACTAATAAATAAGAGCAAAACGCCAGAGCCCAGAGTGGCCATGGTTTCTCAGATTTCAGACTTGAGACTTCAGTGCAGAGTTCCAGAATCCAGCAGTAGTGTCAGCGACCCCTACCACCAGTTTGCCTTTACTCGCGCCCCACGCCCATTACATCAATCTTGATAAGACCTCACAATCTATCCTGTGTCCTCACATATGCTGCCTCTGAATGTTCTATCGACTGCACTTTATCGCGTCTTCGGTCCGAAAGTAATACCCACTACATGGTTTGCTCCTCAAAGTGGCTATATACTCGGAGGAAAATGTCCCACTTAATAGTTTGTTACACCAACCGTCCTCTGATTTCAATCATTCGTTGATTAATTGAGGGGCCCCAAATGGCTCGACGAATGCTCACGAGTTCGGTTCTTGATATTCAGCCTATGACTTTTGATTTGCCAAGGAGCTGCGGCAACCCCATATCGGATGTCTCAGAAAATGTCTAAATTAGCTACGAGACCCAAAAACGCTGCTCATGATGATCCTTCGGCCGTAAGCGGCGTTAGATGCGCGCTGGGGCTTCACCATTTCCGCGTATCTCCACTCCGCGGACGTTTACTTCTCCGAACCTTTTGTAAGCTACATGGAAAACCGGCGTCTTGCATCCTACCTGTATCTGGATATTTCCATCTGGGGATGTATACTAAGTAATATGACTGACAGACTTCAGCACTATCTTCATGGAGCGACAACCCCAACCGCGCCGACGTCGAAGACTAGCCTTGTCGTGCCTTGCATGTCGGCGTCGCAAGATCAAATGCGATAAAAACGACCGGTAGCACCAGGACAAAATGGCGCTCCGAATAGCCTTAGGCTCAACGACATCCGACCACCGAGCGGTCCTCAAGGCGCACAACCAGATGCCTGGGATCTTTTGCACCGGGTGGAGAAGCTCGAAAAGTCCTCGACATCTAGTCCTATCAGCCGGCTGTCTGAGACAGATCGGGCCGCATTTGCTGGCCAGCCCGACCCGCAGGACTCGCACATAATTCTAGACAAGACGAGGGTATTGAAATAGCAGATGGGCATCGCTCAAGAGGTACAGCCTACCTTAATATGCGCTCCGTATTTGTTCACTGATCGGCTCGCAAGTTCCGACCTATCATTGCCTGCTATGTTGCGGCCACTGGATCTTGGAGTGGCTATGCTGAGGCCACCGGCAGCGGTCCGAAGCCCTCGTTCCAGGGTTCTGAAGCCGAAGCCCTGACTGTCCAGGTCGGCGAGCTCCTTCAGAAATGCAAAATCATAGCAAGGAATATCAAATTAGGACGACCAAGCAGATGTCTCTCGGGTCCCGAGTTCAGTCTTACACCCCCCCTTCCGCCAGATGGCGGACAAGATGGCAACTCTGTACTTCCGATCATTTGAGTCGTCGCATCGGATACTCCACGCACCTACGTTTTGGACCGAGTACCAGAGATTTTGGAGCCATCCAGAAAGCATCACGACTGCCCTTCGTCTCAAGATCCTTCTCGTTGGTTTAGGATCTAGTCTATACGGACAGGAAGACGCAAGTGCTGAATTTTGCAGTCTAGTCCTTCAATCGATATATACTACTCAGACCTGGCTTTCCGGACCATTAGAGAAAGACCGTTTAGATCTCACCGGGCTACAAATCCATTGCCTAATGATTCTAGCACGGCAGATATTCTCAATCGGCGGCGACCTGGTATGGATATCGATGGGATCGCTCATCCACAAAGCCATGCAATTAGGTTTGCATCGTGATCCAAAACATCTCCCGAAAATGTCGGTATTACAATCCGAGATTCGCAGGAGGATATGGGCAACTATACTCGAAATGACTATACAGCCGTCTTTAGACTCGGAGATGCCTCCCAGACTCTTCGTCGACGAGTTTGACACCGAGGCCCCTTCTAATGTTAACGATGATGAGATGGACGAATCTACTACGGGGATCCAACCCCACCCTAAGGGCAAATATACCGCCACATCGATGCAGCTTATTCTACTCGACTCGGTACCTACCCGCTTCCGGATCCTGCGGCTTCTGAACGGCTTGCACACCGAGCTTTCATACTTGAATGTCCTTACGCTAAGATCAGAGCTTACAGAAGCATGTCGGGTGGCCAACAGTTTCATGAAGGAGAATGGGGAGTCCGGTATAACGACGTTTCACCGAAATCTACTCGGCTATCTAGTTCGTCGGTTCCTGCTCCCTCTGCACTGTCCATTCGCCACCACCGCGCAAACAAACCCATTGTTCTACCACTCGGTCAAGGTCAGCCTAGATGCTGCCATGGCCATCATCTCCCCCGGGCCAGACGAAGGCTTTTCCCGTCTTATGGCTATTAGCGGAGGCTTATTCAGAGAGGGCTTCAGAAGCGCAATGACGGCCATTACCCTCGAGCTTCTCGTCCAGGTCGAGGCCCAGCGCCTCGACGGGACGCTACTCCGTAACCTACAATATAGAGGTCTTCTTAAGCAAGCCGTAAAGGACATCATTGAGTTGTCCGCGGAGCGGATCCGGCAAGGCGAGACTAATTTTAAGAGCCATATGTTCCTAAACATGATCCTGAGCCAGGTCGAGGCGATTGAAACGGGCACTTCGTGTGAGATTAAGATTTCACAGAGTGCTAGGGACAGCCTCGAGTTCTGTCATGATCTACTAAGAACACGAGCTGACACTGTCCCTTTACCGTATCCCAGCGATATCGGTCTCACATCAACGAGGCCTAATGGTGAGCAGGATGACTACGGGTTTGACTTCAACTTGGATTTTTTTCCGCCAGATGGTGGCTTTTCTTAGTGTAATAAGCGCCCTAAGCCATGCCTGCTTAATTCCTGCTCTGTAATATCATGTCGTCTAGTTGGATTGCTTCTCTGAAAGCGCAGTACGTCTACCCATAGACTGATCCCTCCGTACTCTCCTTCCCCCCTCTCCACTCTGCAGGTTTCGTGTAAAGGTATGACACAAACCAGGTCCTCGGATTTTTACTAGGCATCCCGTCTAGACGTGATCTAGGCCTATGGTGGGTTCCTCCAGCGGCATGCTGCATTCTGTCGGCCGAGACGGAGTTGGCGGCCTTCGCATGTCCACACAGAGATAATCAGCCCCACCAGTATCAAATACAAAAGAATTGGTTTACTATTTAACGAATTTTCATCAACGTCAGTCGTTTCAGTCAATACAGTCGATTATTGCCTACTTTTCTACCCAAAGAAGTCTTGTTCAGGTACGCTCCCACTGTCCTCCTGATCGAATCCCAAGCAGCTTGCGTACAACCGAAGCGCTTACGACACAAAATAGATCATAGCACGAATGAAGGTCCTCATCACTGGTGCTGGTATTACCGGGAACGCCCTCGCCTTTTGGCTCTCGAAGATAGGCCATGGGGTTACCATCATCGAGCAATTCCCACCCTCCGTACCACAGGGCTCCAGGTCGATCTTCGAGGCCATGGGGTTGAGGCTATGAGGTGCATGGGTCTTGAGCAGGTTTTTCGCGCAAAGCTGGCCCCGGAACAAGGCCTACAAGTGGTCGACAAGTCTGGGAGACGGCGGGCGTATTTCCCTGCGAATAAGTCTAGCAAGGGCTTGCAGAATTTCACCATCGAATTCGAGATTATGAGAGGGGATCTATGTCGCCTTATATACGACGCCACGAAGGATCGGGCCAAGTACATCTTTGGGGCGTCGGTCGAGAGCTTTGAAGAGAAGGAAAACTCGGTTGAGGTTCGGTTTACGAATGGCTAGATGGGCGTATTTGATCTTTTGGTCGGTGCCGATGGCCAGGGATCACGCATCCGAAAGATGATGTTCGAATCCAGGATCGCCGACGCAGCATACCATCCGCTCAAGGGCGTCAATATGGCATACTTTACCATTTGTCAGCCCATACGAGAAGGAGAAGAGTATATCGCCACAGCCTATATGGCTCCCGGAAAGCGAGTAATCATGACTCGAAGGCACAGTCCGCACGAGATCCAGGTATACCTGGGCTGCACGACCAATTCCGAGCGACTCAAGAATGCTCGCCAGGAGGGAGATGTCGGGGAGCAAAAGGCTGACTGGGAAGAGGTCTTTCAAGGCGCAGGGTGGCAAACAGAAGGGATCTTCAAGTCTCTAATGGGCGGTAACACGGACTTCTATGACGAGTGCCCAGCCATGGTCAAGCTGGAGTCCTGGTCCCGTGGACGCGTGACACTTATTGGGGACGCCGCCTATTGCCCAACGGCAACCACGGGATTGGGCACAACCTGCGCCATTATCGGTGCTTATGTCTTAGCCGGCGAGATTGGGAGGCCCTCTAGACGCTCGAACGGAGAGGATGTTGATAGAAGGGATGACGCCAAGTATGGTCCTGCGACTGCGCTCGAGGCATACCAGCGAAAGTTCCAACCCTTCATCGATCAAGTCCAGAAAGGGGTATCCGTATCGGAGGATACAGGCTTTTTGGACATGCTGACGTCGTCGCCATCCGGTATTGCTATTCTGAACAATCTTTGTAGGAGTAGCCTCGTTTTTGAGGCTGAATATTGGCAAATGGTTTCTGAAGGAGAATGTAAAGGGGTGGGTCCTCCCGGAGTATGAAGAAATGTTGCGAGATTAGGTCAATAATGCAGCCCGGCAGCCTAAGTATGTAAAAACATATCCTCAACTCACTTTGCGCGGTAATAAATAATGTTGATTGATATGTAAGAATCTAGGAGCAGGAAAGGAGATGACGGAATTGGTACTCCGTGTCAGCGTGTCTCTGCTCTGCTCCGATCTGATACCTGAGCTACTGCGCCACATGTCTTGCCAGCTACGCCACATACCTATGCCTACTATGCGACCATAGTGTATTCACGTCACCCCCGTCCTGATGATTCCATCCAACCATTTGACCAACAGGACCGTAATTCAAGCTGGCAGGGTCTTGCGTAATGCCACGAAGCTTACTTTAACACGATCCCGATCCAGAAATTCCACAATGTCCTTCGGTTGGAACACCATCGAATCCGATGCGGTATGTGCTTCAGATCATCAATCTGAATCCCCCTCTGACCGCGAGACCAGGGTGTGTTTACGTTCCTCCTCCAGGAGCTAGGAGCAAAGGACGTTCAGTTCGAAGAGCTGTTTGCTCTGGATGCGAATGCAATCCGGGAATTAAGGTGTGAAGCTTCAACCCAAGAGAATCGCGTATCTCCGATTTCTAATCAATCTCCGTTGCCGTAGTCCTGTTCATGGCGTCATCTTCCTGTTCAAATATATCGGTCCGTCGTCCGACCAGGAGGCGGGATCTGGGGCTGCTACATCTGGCAAGCTCGATTCGGAGGCTGCGGAGCGCATATTCTTCGCCCGACAGGTCATCCAAAATGCATGCGGAACTCAAGCGCTGCTCAGCGTGCTACTAAACAAGGACGATGAAATCGAGATTGGCGACAAGATGCGAGAGTTCAAAGACTTTACCAGCGCATTTCCAGTCGATGTAGGTTCACGGCAACTCCGCAAACAAATCACTCTACTCACACGTCGCAGCTACGAGGCGAGGCCCTCTCGAACTCGGAACTGATCCGAACCGCTCACAATACCTTTGCACGTTCCTCTCCGTTTATCGACGAAACCCAACGCCCTGCCGACGCATCGGACGACGTTTACCACTTCATCGCATACAGCTCAATTGCAGGAAGGCTATATGAACTCGACGGCTTAGAACCGGCCCCACGAGACCACGGATTGTGTACGACGAACGAATTCCCGGACAAGGTGATACCCATCCTCCAAGAGCGAATCAGTCGGTATCCCGAGGGTGAAGTTCGATTCAATTTGATGGCCATGTGCCGGGATCTGCGCGTGAGAGCCCGGGAGATCGGAGACCAAGAATCGTTGGAACGGGAAGAAAAGAAGCGGAGGGACTGGGTGTGGGAAAATGCCCTGAGGAAGCACAACTTCGTGGGGTTCGTGGGCGAACTCACGAACGGCGTGGTACGAAGCAAAGTCGAAACCGGGGATTATCAAGCATGGGTTGATGCTGCCAAAGAGAAAACTAGGAAAAGAGTGGAGGAGCGAAGGCAGCAGGGCGTGGAGGATGAGGGTGACGTATGATCATGAGCCGTCATCGACCGTAGTTGCTGGGCCTCTGAAGTTGAGGCACAGAAACGACACCAAGAACGCCTTCTCATCGCACTACATTTGCCTCGGGGCCCTGTCCCACGCCAAGACAGCGTGCGACTGGAATCTGCTAGTAGCAGAAAGGAGGAGGAACTTCTGCCTGAATTGGAGATGCGAAACCAAACATGTGTTCTATTAGGTGGGTATCGAGTCACCAACAATATGTTGTAGCACGCAAACCAGTAAAGATTCCGATGAAGAGCAATCGTGAACAGACGATATTAATTTGACATAGGACGTATCGCCCATATAGTCAATTACAAATATTATCGCTAAAAATAAGGGTATATATACATCGAAATACCTAAGATTCAACGAAGGATCTCCTTCAAGGTCCCGTCGTAGGCGGGCCACTGAGTTTGAAATATCCGGGCTGCAGCTGCTGGAAAACACCCGCGGGGTCGTACTTCTCGCTGATGCTGACTAGCTTCGCCTTATTCTCCGCGCCGTAACTAGCGATGACATCTTGGTACTGGCTAGCATAATTCATATACAGATAGTCGGCGTCGAGTCCCATTCCCTTCGATTTGGCAATGGCAGCCTTGATGATGGTATCGGCACGAGCAATGACGGCAGCATCGTCGGCAGCGTTGGTCCACATGTATGCGAGGTTCAAGAGCAGGTAGGGTCCTTTTGCTGGATCGAGGCCAAGCGCGTTACCACCATTGTCAGCCATATGGGTTAAGACTCCTTCCGTGATGACTTGCATGACGCAAGCGGGGACAATCCCCGCAACATTCTCGATTGGGGCGGTGTTCTCGAGGAACAGTTCGGTGATATAGGCAGCCAGCTCGTAGTCGAGCTTGAAGGTGGCGGTCCAGTACGATTCGCGGAGACCATGCGGGTTGCTGGAATTGAACTCGAGAGCGATCTCGCTGAGAGATTTGGTTCCGGTGGTGTCCGAGAGATGGGGGATGTTCACGAACTCCTGGAAGATGCCTGGTGCCGTGCTGATAGGGTCGGTATACTCTAAATCGGCGATGGTGAAATAGAAACCGCTCGAGAACCCCGTGACGAGGATCAAAGCCGCTTTCGGGTCGTCGGGGGAGTTGAAGCCGAAATTGATGTATGCATGCAGGGTGGCATCGCGTTCGGTGGGAGCGTACATTACAACACCTCCCCACATTTTTCCTTGATCAAAGGTCGCGAGTCCAAACTTGGTGACGATTCCAAAGTTGTTTCCGCCACCACGAAGGGCCCAGTAGAGGTCGGGGTACTTATCCTTGGTGACGGTGACGATGGCACCGGTCGCGGTGACCAACTGCGAGGTTGAGTGAGTTGGAGTGCTGCGGTGCGTGACCTGTCGAAAGGCGTACCTCATAACTAACGACATTGTCGCACGCCCAGCCGTAGATATTGGAGAAGAAGGAGATTCCTCCACCAAGCGTGAGACCTCCGGTTCCGATTTCAGCGACACGGCCACCGATGACAGCAAGTCCCAGGGGCTCAAGTTTCGTGTAAACGTCGTACCATTGATTACCAGGTTGAATGTATGCGACTTTCTTATCCTCCGAAACGGAGACGTCCATCATCATCCTAAGATCCACGGTAATGCCACCCTCGATGCTGGAGGCACCAGCAAAGGCCGCATGGCCGCCGCTCTTTGCAGCGAAGGGGCACTGGGACAGGCGAGAAATCAAAACAAGGACGGAAACCTCCAGGTTGCTCTTCGGTTGGAAGATGCAGTACGGATTGACTTGAGCTTGCATGTCCGACCAGAAATTGGCCGTCCAGCCATCATACTGCGCCGTCTCGGATTGAAGGATCAGGCGGTCACCGTATGCGAGGTTTAGGGTCTTGCACTGTGGAGGGGGTCAGTCCAACGATCTCATCTTCATGTGTCCCTTTGCAAAAGGGGTTTCCATAACCAAGATTCCAAGAAAAATGTGATCTTACAGCTATCGAGCATAGGGGACTCCGCTTGACGAGGCTGTCAGCACCTTGTGCCGCCAGAAGCTCGTCAAGCAAGGAGACGTCGAAGCCCTTGGCATCCAAGGTATCGACAATGGCCGGAGCATCCATACCGTCCTCTGCAGTAGGAAGATCATCGCCCAAGACAGATAGCAGGGATGTTGCAAGCAACAACAGGGGCGCTAAAAAGGACCGCATGCTGAATACGGTTCTCAGAAGCAAGGCAAGCCGATAACGTCGAGAGGAATTAAGGAGGGACGACAAGCGGGAAGCGGAAATATCCGTCTTCACCTTGTCTATGCTGCAACAGACTTGCAAGGGAAAGGAATAGGGATCGGTTGAGGTGCAGGAAATTTTAAAAAAGGGCTCGACCAGCGTGGATTAAAAGGAACTGCAGGACTCAATCCTAGTATTCCTAGCACGGCTCATCAACAGCCTGGCGTTGACCCGGAGAACCGATGTCAAGAATACCAGTACTCCGTAGTGGGCCTTTGTATATTCTGTTAGGACCGAGGCCTTAGATCCGCCCCCACCAGCCGCTCGATAAAGAAGTGTCCGGGATAAAGATTTCTGATGACTACGCTGTTCATAACTATAAACTGTCAAGCGTCTCAATCGACGGAAGCGTCTCAATCGGCCACGCTATTGGAATGGCGTGTGGACGAACTGGAACGTCGTCAAGGACGAGGAAGAAAATATCGAAGCTTTTCTATCTATTAACCAGTGTGCAGAACCCAGCGAGGGGTATTCCGGATGCCAATCTGCAGGAAGTCTGGGGCAAGCCATCGTCATTGGGCTATTGCAGATCGGTTAAGCCCACCCACGTGGGTAGAGTAGTGACCATGGCAACCTGGAGTCGTGGACAAGAGGAAATAGTTAATATTAGGGAATTAGAACATTTCAAGGAGAGTGATTGTATTGGTAGAATCTGGAGAGTGGAGCTCGAAAAATGCCCGAAGAAAATGCCCGAAGCTTTGAGCGAGTGGGCGAGAGAATGGACATGAGGAGGAGGATGGATAAATGTTAATGCCGACCCATGGTTGAAGGACAGGATTCAGTAATGAGGAAACATGAAATGATAATAAGAATTATATGGAGAACGAGATATTGAAGGACGCGACCCCTGTTCCTTCACGCGGTGGACGGGCTACCGGCTGGGCCATGCCTACTGTAGACCATGTAGTGCAGTTCCGACTTCCGCGGACTCTGGTAAGTAGTAGCTAGTTAGTAGTACAGAAGCTAACTAGTTAGTAGCAACGGTTATCGGACGGGTTGAATGCCGATATCCGATAGACCGATGCGCTCCCTCTTCATTCGGACTAGAATCTCCAGGTCGATGACATATGGGTTTCCCAATTGACAGATGGAGCATGGACTCATACCTTCATTCAGTTCATCCCGGTGGGAGACTAGTGACTACGCATAACGCAGTTAGGCTAGATTCCCGACGGGCCGAATGGGGGATGGGAGATGGAATTAGCTGTTGAACCCTTTGACCATTATTGCAGATGAATATAGAACAGGTCACAAATATGAAAAATCGCAGATGGGGCGTGTTAGACAACCGCCCAGGCATTAGGAAGCATTATTCCCGTACTCCGTATCCCGTATCCGTTAGGTATCGGTACTGACTGTCAACAGAATCATGCGAAGGATGCAGAGCCATACGTAGTACATACATAATACGGAATACCCCATAGTCGGCAGTCTGATTAATCGATAGCGGACATCTAATTTATTCCCGATGCCCAGGAACTCCATACCGGCAGTACTATGGGCGCAGTTAGATCGTTCGTATTTGAGTCTGGACTCTCTAGACTCGAGGAGAGAGTAACGTGGCGGTGGTTTGCTGACTTGTTTGAGGCAAAGAACCACGAGGTGACGAGGATCATGAATCGATGCTAGCAAGATTTGAGTCAGATGGCCGATGGGTGTCATTACTCGTTACTTAGCCTAAGATCAATTGGACAGTTCCCGTTATCCCTATCGAGCGAGCATCACAAATTGACATTTGACTGGCAATAATAATAGTACCTGGAATTATTGCCAGGGCTCGGGTGTGAACTGTTAACTGTGAAGCGAGCCAAGCCCTCGAGTCTTTGGACCCTGAGGCAGTGGGGCTTTTTCGTGTTATCCGTTGAGGCTTCTGCCGCCGGGCCGCATTAATATTGATAATATTATTGTTGACTGTTGACCGTTAACTGTTGAGCACTTGAGGTGGACTCCAATCTGAACGTCGGACGACTGTAGTCAGCGATCACAGGACTGGAAAAGCTAACATGGACTCTGTCATGGATTACTTGCATAACTACTCCCTCGTGCGGTAATAATATGTGCCACGGAATGCCACCTCCTGATCTGGGGGTGGTTTCAAGTTTCAACCCCCGATAGGCGATACTTATCGAGGAGGATTCGGGGTTTCACGTGCTACGGAGGATTTGGTACAAATCTTGAACTCTTGACACTCGAATCTTGATAGTTGATAGATAACCAAGTCGTTGAGTTTTATCATGATACCTATGTGTTCCGTAGAATTAGTTAGTTAAGGCGGAAATTAGAATATGGATTCCGTGCATGTTCGCGAAGCCACATACACAGTGATACACTATACAGTAAGCCTGCAGTAAGCCCCAGGCCAGTGCAACCTGCAGTAGACTGGAGTCAGTGCAGTGGCTTATTTGGCAGCAATTAATGCAATCAATGACGCCATCTCCACCTCCAATCTCCATCAGACCATCACGAAATTCACCATTCTGCAATTCAGCCTATTCAGCAATCAGGGGAGCTTGAGGCTTCACATCTCCCACCGGTGGGCCTGTGCAAGATTCACGATAGATAGCTGTGTCAAACTGTCAGACATCGAGGTGTCACCTCCTTACCCAGAATCCTTCCGAGGTATCATCTCCTCAGTCTTCACTCGGTCCTCACCAGCTTCACCCTCGGGCCAGCAACCGAAACGAAAGAAAATTCAGAATATGCTAAGTTATGGACACAGAGGTCCTTGTATTCCAACAACTTTGCAATATGGGAATCGAAGGCTGGTCTTGGGGCATCGGCCCTAGAAGTATCTGGCCTACTACGTAGTATCTTCGACGCCACTCCCGCTTCACTCGTCCAGTCTTTCTAAAAGATTCATGTCGGGGACGAGTGAACATCTCGAGAAAAGCAAAAAGATATGCACCGACGGTCAAATTTTCGCATCCACTTAGGTCTCAAATCACGAAGTCTACGTGTCGGACATGGGTAATGGTGCTCTAACGTTTGACGAACCCTGGCCAGGCCTGGTCGAAGACCGTGCAAAAGAAAATACTTCCCCCACGATGCGATTATGGTATCAGTCTATATATCGCAGTATCGCACATCTACATGCTCATTTCCCCCCCCTTACATGTTGGTAGTATTCCCGAATCCCGACTCGCTCGCAGCTGTGTGTATCCACTTTTAACGGCTTCCAACTTGGCAAACCACGATATCGCGGGCTTTCCCATCACGTCTTGCCAGGTTTGAAACCGTGGAAACGCTACGACCATGGCGGTTGCCCGGTACCTCATTCCAAAGATTTTGAACTGTTCTAGTTCCACATGGCACGTTACGTCTTGGCCGTTGGGCAGATGTTTGGCTTGCGAATTTGCGATATCGCACAGCCCTGTTCAGTGCTAACATTTTAGCCTACCCAAACCGTGCCTGCGTACACCCACTTGGGTACACCCACTTGGAGAACCGATCCGGATCCAATCATCGTGGCTGTTGGGATGTCCCGTGTACTACGATATCATTCTAACGAGGCAGGTGGGCAGGAACCAGGGAGTCAGGAGCCCAGGAGGAGATAGGAGCGGAATTCTGTGCTGAGTGCTGACTCTTGCTTGACAACTGGTTCGTGAGAGGCGAGACCAGCGAACTTGGGAAGCTTGCCGGAGAGAGATTCGAATTTCAGTCCATTCTTATATTCGCATCGCAGCGCTTCCCGCCTTTTCAGTGTCGATCCTGTGTCTTATCTTCTCGATTTTCCATCTCATTGCCTCTCTCGTCCATGCGTTTCAAACATTTATGACCGGGAGTTCTGGATGACTCTAGCGCCCGCTGCTTGGACAAAGTTTCCACCTTTCTGCTTTCCGATCGGATCTCTGCGATCGGATCCACTCGCTCGTCACGATTTCTCTCGTTTCTTGACTCTCTTCACATCCGCTGGTGGTCACACCACCGCAGCACGACAGATCCAATTCTGAATCGAAAACTTGTCAAGTCGAGTGTTGGAACGTCCAACCCCGGTGAATAATGTCGTCCAACGATTATGTAACGTATAATCGATTGCTCGGTACGGGTGTTGCCATGATAACATTGACGACCATTGTTATCATAAGTCGCTTTGGAATCAGGATATGGAAAGGAGTATGGTGGCAGGCCGAGGATATTCTCATCTTCCTCGCCTATGCGGTATTCGTATCGCTGGCGGGAATGTACCTCTCCATCAATCACCTCCTGCAGAGGATTTACGCTGTTACCACTGGACGAGAGGCACTTTATGAAACGATCGAAAATGATTCACGCTATCTGACGAGAATAATGTTTCCTTGTACGATGATGCTGTGGGTTTCGCTGTGGCTTGTGAAGGCTTCCTTTCTGGTTTGGTATCGGCGCTTGATGAAAGGAATCAAGAAGCAAATGCGGCTGTGGTGGGTAGTCGTGATACTTTCCGCCGTGGTATGGATTAGCCTCGAGTTGTTATTGACCAGAACACTGTCTAACCGTGACAGATGTTAATCGGCGCTATCGTCTCGGAGTTTACTTCGTGTAAATCTCTTTCAGCTTGGTTCACTCCGGGTATGTCGGCAACACTTTCCGGGTCCCTCTAGTCCTCTAACCGTTAACAGGAGAATGTCAATCCCCCCGAGATATTAAAGCTCAGCTTGCGAGCCTCTGGTATTCCTATGCAGTGGACGTGATCACAGATATTATGGGTAGGATAGCAATTCGCACCTGGAAGGCGGTTACTGATTGAGATAGTCATGCTGCTACCAATCGGACTCATCTGGAATATCCAGATCTCCCGCTCACAAAAAATCTCTCTGGTTGGAATATTCAGCTTGGGAATAATCTGCATCATCATGGCCACGATTCGGGTCGTCCAGCTTCGAACACACAATCCTGACTCAAGTCCAGCTCCGCCGTGGCTGGCTTTCTGGGGGATCATCGAGACAGCAACTGGTAGGTTGGACACATAGGGACTCTATGGGAAGGGGACTGACCATATCCAGCTGTCATCATCGGCTGCCTTCCGGCCTTTGCCGTGTTTTATCGGACTGTACGCAGCAATCACAAGGGTTACGAAGGCGGCTACGGCGGATACTCGAACAGGTATCGCGAAGGCTATGGAGACGATTCCAGCCATTTCCCCTCCGGTGCTGGCACAACCGGAAGCTCTGCGCCTCGCCATATCAAGCTTGAAAGCATGGCATCCAAGCCGACCAGAACTGGAAACAGTTTCTGGGTTGAAAGCTCCACTAGCCAAGAGCATCTAGCGAAGCCTGGCGAGATTGTTGTGACAACCAATGTCCGCGTAAGTATCCCTCTGCCATATTGACAATGTTCAATTACTCACATCCCCTCCAGCAGACCCATTCGTCGGATTCATAATCATAGAGCATAGTAATCACTGAGGCAGTTGGGCGTTTCTTGTACAATGCAGTGTATTATGATTTGACAACTTCAGCGTCAACATTCGATTTCGTTCGAGAATCGTTTGAGCAACAGTTCGAACCACCGATCGTGATGTGTGCAGGAGATACCCGCCCTATTATTTCATATTCACGCCATATTTTCGTTATTTACAGACGACCCAGCACATGTCGCCATATCCTTGCTGAGGGTCAACCCGATCGTCTCGTTCGGAACTTCAGTAACTTGAGGTGATGATTTCTTGCTGGTATCCGGGCTGTCATGCACCACATCGCTCCTCGCTACATAACTGGTATCTAGACCGTCGTATACCACGTCGCTCCTCGCTACATAACTGGTATCTAGACCGTCGCGTACCACGTCGCTCATCACATTACTGGTATCCGGGCCGCCGTGTACCACGTCGCTCGTCATATAACTGGTCACTGTAGCCGTCGTTGTCGTCGTTTCTCGAGACATGCCTGATGACCAGGCAAGTGGATTGCTCGGATCCTCGTCAATGAAGGGGGGAAGCTGTACGACTTCTTCGGAAATAAGAGTCGGGCGGAGCTGTGTACCAGCTCGTGGATTCCCCATCCCGATCGCCAACAGTAAGACAATTGCTGAAAGCATGAGGATAACAATATTGCGACGATCCTGTGCTTGGTGGGCAAGGTACGTCTTGAGCAATGTTGTCAGGGGAATCGGGTCGGTATGCAAAGCTCGATGTCCGTGCAGATCTGGCAGGTTTTCCGATGGCATCGGAGTAGACATGTTTGCAGATCGTTCTTCAGAAGCCGCATCCTCGTTCCTTGACATCTCATTCTGCTTCTTCCACTCTTGATCGGTGAACATCTTCTCGAACGCTTCTCGTTCCCTTCGTTCCGCGAACTCGGCCTGCTCTTTAGCCTCAGCTTCTGCAAATCGATCGTCCTCCTCCGCCTGCAGGCGGTCGAGCTCTGTACGGATATCCGAAGGAATGCACAGGTCAACTTCTGCATCCACCCGTTCCATTTCCGACCATGCTGCGCTCCAGGCGCCGGCCCGCATGAGTCCATTAGCAGCATATACTCGAACATCCCAACGCTTTGATCCGGGAACCATCATCTCGCGTTGACATGTCTGGCAAAGCCTCTCCTCTTCCGCGATGATGACCTCACATTTGCACCGCGAGTCTGTATCACCTTGGCGGTCATGCACCGTATTGCTGCCAAGCGGCGACACTTCGTTATCCGCTTCGCCGCCCCAAAAATGACCACAAGGACCCACGCGAGGTTTTCGAAGCTCGAGGCTCTCCAGCAGCCTTTCTTCGAGCATGTCATATTCCTCTCGTGGATGAGAAATGAGCACACCTCGTACCGATACCGTCTCACTCAGTGCCTCTTCAAGTCGCCGATAGTCGTTCAAAATGCGTTCCGGGAGCACTGATTCCATAAGCTCCTGTGACCATGGTCTTGTGACCGGTAGAAGCGTTATATGTAGTAGAACGAGCGGGTACCTTTTCTTTTCGGCGGGCGATATGCCATGGGTAGTGGAGCGGTGAGAGACAGTATGCGAACGTTCCGAAAAATCGCTCTGGCTCCGTAAACTCGAAGATGAGATCGCATGGTGAGATCGATGAGCACGATGCATGCTCATGGGAGTGCTCGTCCGCGAAGGGTGCTGGTCACGACGACGGGACATGCGAGGCGAGGAATATGTTTCCCAAGTCGAAAATGGAGGAGGAGATGCCATTTGCATAGCGCGAATGGATGAGGGGTTACGGAAAGCTGGGCGCTCTTTTAAGGGGGTGTAAGGAGACCGACTGTCCTCTTCGGAAATCACCGATGGAGGGAACGACGAAATTGTAGTCGTCGATGTCAGTGCTGACATGCGTCGAGATGCTTGTGATGGATCCGGTAAAATCGGAGGTGAAGATGCCAATTTCGGCTCTGTGAAGGGCGAGTGTTCTATTGATGGTACCGCATGATCGGAGAACAAGATATCGGGCTCATTTTCTCCACCCCCGTAGTCTTGGACGGAGCTATTAGACTCAAATGAATCCCCCTCAAGATGATCATCTTCCGCTTTCGCTGGTGAATCTTCAAAAATGGTGAAGGGGTCGTCGCGAGCCATAATTCAGTCCGCAATGGTAAGGTGCGATGATGCAAGAAATATCAAGGAAAGAGGCGTGGGAACAAGAATATATATGTACGAGTAAACAGTCCAAGTGAATTAATACCAACTCATAAAGCCCGATCGACAGGAGGATTAGATACTTACTGAGAATGAGTAGTCTGAATCGAATTCACCGAACGCGTGTCGGTCTAAATATCATGAAGGCGATGATGGTGTTTGGCTTTTGGGCTCTGTTGACCGAGCAACAGGAGCGAAAACAGTAAGTCGTGACAAACGAGCTCGGCGCCACACATGGACGCCACACGTGGACGCCACATATCCAGCGCCACACGCTGCAGCCTTATTGCTATTTCCGACCGATCCGTCCGTGATCGTCATGTCGTTACTTTATCAAGAGTGCAAAGAACAAAAATGCAGCTTGAAAGTGGTCTCGCCCCTATCCCGAACAGACGGACCTACATTCTCGGACCTTAGTTCTCAGATCTGGTCGGTATTACGATTTACGGAGTACCGAATACCGAAATCTGTATCCGATGGCGGACTGATTCCGCCCTCTCCCAGACTCTGACAAAGCCCCACTATAAACGGACTTGTCTTGTTAATCAGCCGCTCCCATCGTCTCCTCCCTATATCTCGACTTCGTGTCGAGTTCAAAAAGGGCGAGCTGTCCGAAAATATACACCTTTGGCCATGCCCCAGCTCTACCACCCACCTCAATGCGCCCTCAACGCATCTTAAGAAGCGTCCCTCTATTGCTTTCCGCTCTCCCTTCCACGGTAGCACAGCAGGCGAGCCATCCCCAAGTGGCGTTTAATTTCAACCCTTTGGAGCAGACGTTTCATTGGAACGCCTCGTCAGACCCTCGACTTGCCCTCAATATGACCGCTAAATCCGACATTCGAGCTCCGGTCATTGCCCTCTCTCATGGTGGAGGACCGATGCCGGTTCTAGGAGACCCGTCTCACGAGAGTATCGTGCGCTCACTAAAGACAAAGGTTCCTAAGATCTTGAAGCTGGGCACCGAGGACGCTCCTCGAGCAATCGTATTGGTCACTGCGCATTGGTCCCAACAGCAACCGGCCATATCAAGTGCCGAGAAGCATCAGCTGTTTTATGACTACGGCGGGTTTCCATCCGAGGCCTACTCGCTTCAGTATGATGCACCGGGGAGCCCAGAGATCGCGGAGGAGGTTAGGAAAGCTATGGCTGGTGAGGGTCTGAAGGCGAAGATGGATGATGTGAGAGGTGAATCGCGACATGCTTAGGAGGCCTTCGAACGTTGATTAATAAACTTTGTCTAGGTTGGGATCACGGCGTCTTCATTCCCATGCTCCTGGTCCACCCATCAGCGACGATCCCCATTGTACAAGTTTCCGTTTTGTCTTCCGAGTCGGTCAAAGATCACTACGCGATGGGGAGAGCCCTTGGATACCTTCGAGAGCAGAACATCGCTGTAGTCGGATCAGGCTTCGCCTCGTTTCATAACATTCGTACCATGTTCAGTGGAAGGACTGGCGACCCGGGGTTTCAGCGGAAGCTACAGGACTGGAATGACGGCTTGAAGGACATTACCATGGAATCAGACGCGGTGAAGCGCGGCCAACGGTTCGAAGGCTGGAGAGAGCTGCCCATGGCCTATGAAGCTCATCCGCGCGGTGGAGCGGAGCATTTCCTTCCTTTGGTCGTCTGTGCTGGGGCGGCTGGCGATGGCAAGGCGATGGGGTATGCGGATGAGTTTCTCGGACTGGATATCTGGTCTTATTATTGGGAATAAACGCGGTCAATGAGTACGGATACACGGTGTTGGCGCTTTGGAGCCGGAAACAGGATGATCCCTAGATAACCCTTCACGCCCCCATATAACCCCCTTTCCTGTCCCTAGCGTATGCATGTCGTGATATGAAAGTCAATGAAGCGCAAACTAATAATACAGGACTGAAGAACCAGATCGAAAGATCCAATGCCGTCGAACTGCTATAATGATCCATAATGATCCATGGGGTATCAAGCCAGAAAAGAAGTAATCAAATCCGATGAGCATCTTGGCACGTTTACATCGTTGTGGTATCCATAGTCATGATCAGCATCGCCCTAAGAAAGTTTATAATCGACCTCAGCCTCAACTTTCTTTACTTTCGTGCGAGGTCCCGATGTAGCATCCATATGCCCAGGGCTGGCATCCACTTTGACCTGTGGGATACTAGACCGCTCCGAGCTTGGTAGAGGAGGTAATTGAAGAGAAAGGTGTTGTAGGAGATGGTGCGGAGAGGAGGGGAGCTGCGGCGGTGGCAACTTAGGATGCGCGTGTGAAGAGCCTCCAGCATTCCCATACAAGGGATCGTTCGAGTTCGATCCAGCCACTGGAGATGAGTGGGCAGGTTGATGGTAATGAGCGAGGTATCCCCGTGGACTCATTGCCTGCGGTTGCAATTGGACGTCGGCGTGACCGGCAGAGGCGTACGACGATCGTGGCGGTTGGGGCTCCCTGAAATGCCAAAAGAAGGTCTCAGTCTGTGTTGCTGTACAAGATAACCGTGTTTCTCATGTCCACACGGTCGGAGGTGGTGCGACGAACCCCGTGGGATGCGGGTAGCCACCGAATGTTGTCGGTGGGCTCCCAAAATTGAAAAGCCCATCGTCATGGGCGGACGGGAGACTGTACGGAGTCGCCGCGGCGGTTGACGGCATCGAACTGGCCGGGCTTGAAATGGCGGACGATGTCGTTGGACTGGCGTAAACGCTACTACTCGCCGGTGTGAACAGGTGAGGCTCAATCCCAGAGGGTGGAACTTCGAGCCACGGCGATCGTGGTGTCATAGGCGGCATGCTCGAGAGGTCAGAGATCATGGTCGGTGAGCTCAGGTGAAGCGGCGATGGGGCAAACGCGGGAGAAAGCGATTGGGAATATCCAAATTCCGCAATCTGGTTGCCCAAATCCAAGCTTAAGGTATCGAGCCCATATGGATCGCTCTGAATCGCTGCGATCTCTTGAGATTGCCTTCGACTCCAGTCCACGCGTGTCCGGAAGGTGGAAAGGGTGTCGCGGGGGAAATCCATCATCGCGGAGGCTGTCTGGGTGTTTTGACTGAATGTTGGAGTGGCCGACACCGCGTCAATGATACGAATAATCTCCTCCAAGGGTGAAACGGCTAGGTTCGCGGTGAAAGCTGCCCCAATGTCAGGGAAGTTGGGTTCGACTGCCAATGCAACGGCATAAAAATGCGCGAGGACGAGCAGCATGAATACGTCGCCCTTTCGTGCCGACAGCAGCGTGATGGGGACCCAGAACATCCATTTCCTCAATGCGTATAGTTGACTGAACTGTTCTTCGACGGACTGGGCGGGATTGCTCGCTCGTAGCTGATCAATGTAGCCCTGGAACTGCTCCACCCATTTCTTTTCTGCTTCATTTTCCGAGAGATATGGCTGTAACCTTTGAAGCGCTTGCTGCACATGTTGAAGGATCCTCATGCGCTGGTCTCGCGCTTCGGGGGTCACTTGGTAAGTCGATATGCTCGCCAAAGTGGGAAACGGGGTGAAGTGAAAATCCGCGATGAAATCCGCGAACAATGACTCTTCGCGCCATTGATACATTGACGCTACAAACTGGATTTTCATTAGCTTTGGTGGTGGCGGAAACTACATCAGTCACTTACAGTCCGAATTCCGGTGACCAGAGATAGCCAATTGCGCCTAAAGCAGAGTAAGCTTGATGAACGAGGCCCTTCTATCATGGTCATTCCTACCATTCTGTGGATTGCCAAGACAGGAGCAGTGATGCGGCGAGAATGGAATCCGAATTGGCCTTGGAAAACAACGGAGTTGCTTCGTGGAGACCTTTCATCGCAATCATATTATGTTGAAAGGCAAGGTTCCGAGTTTCTGGTGACTGAGTGACCCAGGCCAGGTGAGCTGCCGCAAAAGATAGCAGAGCGTGCAATACAAAGGGTTGCGACGCTGCACAACTTAGAAATCTACGCGATGTTAGATGGGTAAGAATTGATCACGAGTCACCATTATGCTTACCTGGGGATGTAGTCGGTCCATATCGTTAGTTTGGACGTTCGATTCCGTTGCAGCTCACTAGAGATGGAGCAAACGTGGTAGATCAAGCGGAGATCGGTTTTCGAAACCGATGGCCAGTGTGGCTGTGGGAAGACATTGAGTTCAGGGAATGGAAACTCCCCCGTTGCCCTCCACGAATCAATAGTCCTCTCAATTTCGGGCGTCCAGAGTAGATTGGCCTGGGGAGGATACCGAGGACTTTCGTCGCCAGGTGCAGTGGGACTGTCCATATAATCGCAGCGGACCTGATGCTTGGTGCAATTCCGACTAGCAGTGGTCAGCTCCAGACGGTGGACGAAGAAAAGAAAGTTGTAAGCACAAGGAGCCTCATGAAATCAAGATGGTTACCATTGCGGAAACGTCTCGTCGCATCGAATATGTCTTCTCTTGCATGTTTTACAACCTTTCCGGGACTTCGTGTGGCTCCTGCGCGATGGTCCACCACCAGCACCAGCCATTATAAAATATGGAATGAAGTCTAGACCGAACCAGTGCAAAGATGCAAAGATCTAAGAGTTAAGGGTTGTCTAACTGAAAGTCCAATGAGGGGAACGGGAGGACGCAGTGGAGGAGCAAGCTGGACCATGAATTTGTTGAAGACTCGTCCGATTCGAAACGAGAGCCGAAAGGGAGAGTCTCCCATGTATGTATATAGGAGATGATAGTTAGTGTAATGAAGAAGCGTCACTCCGTCGCTAAAGGATGTCAATATCAGATCCGACGGTTTGATTGACCACGCATCAAAAGAGTGGAGCGTTGCAAGGAGATTATGTAGATTACGGAGTAGTGTCGAGGGGTCTATTACGAAAGACGTTTTTGGCAGGGCTGAACTGGTCTTGAGGGTTAATTTCCCGTCGAACAGCTTCACTGTGACACGGACATGTATGATTGAGAGAAGAAACGCCTAATGAACTTGAGCTGTCCACCCTATTACCCCTGTTGCATAGAACGGAGCGAAATCAGGTGCAGCAGTCGACATCATAACAGCGGTATGGAACAATTGAGGCTGTGAAAGGGAGATCTGAGGAGGGGTTCAAGAAAAGTCTCCGAGCGAGACCAGGACGCCGGATGGTCATAGATTTTTAGTGATTGACGTTGAGGATGGAGGTTAGATCCCTACCAGTCAAGTTTAACGGTTGCTTCGACCAGGCACAAGCATTGCACCAGACGATTTTAGAAACACGCTAATCTGCCTAGCTAACCCACATCTTGGACCACTCGGGAGGAAACCAGGCGAGTGGAGCGAGCGGAGGGGGGCTCGACGAGGGAGGGGGCCATCAGCCACGGCCCATGGGGTCATGATGTGGGAGCCTAGGAGGGATGTAGTGACGAGAAATTGGACGAAGATTCCGCACCGGAAAGATCCGTTGGCGCGGGACGAAAGGTGTCCGAAAGGAGTAATGCGGGTTCGAATATTGTTGCCACTTGGCCGTGAGGCTTTTGCGGCTAAGATTATCTGAACGATTGGACCATGGATGGTCAGGGGAGAGACAACACTGCCCCCGGAAATTTCCCGCACCTTGTTCGATATTAAGCATGCTCACGGAATATATGTGGATGAAAGTTTCCCAGGAGGGAGAAAAGGTGTGTTCCTAAGTCAACTTTCTCCCGTCAAGGTGAACTGTGAAGGCTGGACTGGGACTACCCCGCCAAAGTTTGTTATTATGTTTCTTCATGTTAAGTTTATCTTATGTGCTGCCGTGTGGAGACAGGAGACGGGAGAGAGCGAGAGGGAGATGTGGTCAGGGGCCAGTGGCTGAGTCCGTCGTGGTGGTAATATGATATCCAGTCTTGCGGTCCACGGAAGAGCGGAATGCGGATTCATTCCTCGATTCGGTTCTGCAACTGACAAGCCTCCCAGTGACCCTGCCACTGCCCAAGAAGCTTGATGAGGCGATGAGGCGATGGCTGGACTGGCGATGAGGGACGGGATGAAATGATGTGTCAATTCCGCCGATGTTTTGGTGTATCGCTTGCACACTCAGCCGAACCCCTGTGAGTCCTGCTAGACATGGATCCATGTGGTAAGTGACTATTTTGATCCAGGGGACCAAGACCCTTTCAGCCGCACTTCGACCAGCAGCCGGACCAGGGCTTGAATGTAACAATAACCCTTCGTCTCAGTCCTGTCTTGTTACGAAGTATCAACTCGTTCCTCTGTCACCTATACTCTCTACAAAGGACAAAATCGTCTGCCTTGGCCCCCAACGCTACCTTTCCAAGCACACCAAGATGAATATGAATGACGACCAGGCGCACTCTTGTTTCCAGGGTTCTCCATGGACCGAGGATCAGATGGGCCAAGGTGGATCCATTGATCGGCTTGGTTCGAACACCCGATATCCTGGGAGCGACGTACATACATATTATTAGTACATGCTCTCTCGTGGCATGGCTGCCACCACGGACCAGTGAACACCATCCGCACTCCATCCACATTCCATAATGATACCCGCTTATCCTGTTCTGGTATCGTCAGATAATGAAACGATAAACCAGACTCAAAAGGTAGTAATGGAGGCGATGCCCGACCGCCGCTTATCACCAAGTTGTAGCTCGTCCCATGCGACCATAGTCCAGTTCAATCGCCGAGGGTCGCGAGCTGGGAACTTCGTGCTGGTGGATTTGGCAATTCGCACGTTGGTTGGATGAAAGAGTGAGGAGCCGCAAAATGGCGTGTCGGAGCGATCCTCATTCTCTGAGATGATTCGATGATATTATTATCGTCGATTTAGCTGCCCTTGACCACGCTGGGTTGGTGGTTCACCTGTCCCATCTCCGCGGGAATTGCATCCATGGTCGGAAGAAGTCCCCGAGAAATGCGACGGGAACACCGACCGGCAAGTGGCATGAAGCACTGTCGCTATGCCGTCCTGCGACAAGACAGATAGTGAAGATGCAAGACTGAAGATGCAAGGGCTAAAGTTTTCTGCTATTCGTATGAGGAGGTTTAGGAGGTTCACAGAGAGACGTTCACTGGTTCGGAGCAATTTGAAAAGAAGAGCCTATGGGAGAAGACCGAGGAGGGACGGGAGCGGCGAAGGACGCCACTCCAGGCAGCCGTGATGCCAAGAAGCCCCCAGTCGGACCGATGGCTGAGCTAGACCCGATCAAGGCAAGAGCAACGTTGAAGAATGTTGACAAAACCGCAACCCGAAACAAGCATGGAATGACATTGTGCCAAGATTATCAAGGTAAGTTGGAAAACTTGAAAGACTTTGAAAGTTGAGATTCAGGTTGCATGAATGGCGGACGTCAGGCATGAGTTACTAATTAGTTCATGAAATTCCTGAGCAAAATTGGAATGGTCTGTGCGCTGTGGTCTGTGACTTTGGCACTTTGCGAATCTGTGGACTCACTGAACTCAGGACTGTGAGGACTGAGGAGAGAGGTATGAGGACTGAGTGAAAGGGTGTGAGACTGTGACCCATGATCCCGGATGATTGCCCCGGTTCCTGGGCCCTGTCCACATCCCAGGAACAGCAGGGACAGCCCGTTACAACTACTATTATTAGAATGAGCATGAGCCGCCCAACGATGATTGGTCCCCCCAGCCCGCGATTGCCTCTCTAGCGCACCCCTCCAGACCCGCACAGCCCGAGTTCCCATGTCCCATCCACACCTCTACTGACCACATTCCGCTCCGAACATTGAACAGTATGAGGTCGGAACTAATCCCCAAAACAGGCTTCAGTACAGGTGAGCGTCACCTTTATGATTCGTATTCCGGTCAGTCCGCGGAGTACGGAGTTCGGAATATTTACACCTGTCGAATTACTCCGTCTCTCCCTCGTCATCGCTTCTTCTTGTCTTCGCAGGTCTCTTATTATCGAAACTCTCGGTCCTTATCCAGCATCATTTCATCCTTTCATCATTCCCCGGTGGCTGAGACCCCTATAACAGCGTCCGACATGCCATGCCCATGTGCACGGGCAATGGATCGACATTCGCAGGGTGGTGACTTGTGGGTGGTGACTCATGGCTGCATCGTCCACAAGACTTGATGACTAATGAGAAGAGAGATCTACCTATCAATATCAATCAGTCAATCATTCAATCGGTCAATGGGAATCAGACTCTGGATTGTCGAACCGGACGTGAGCAGTGGTGCAATTTTTGTTTCTTTTGCCCCTCTTGCTCTGCGCTTGCAAATATGACCTGGTTCCTACCAATCGGCGCCATCTTAAATACTGTTGCATGAAGAACACTTGCAGTCGGCAGGAAATATATGTACCCACCCCGCTTTTCCGCAAAATAAAGCTACACTCGGTCTAGCTCCCGCTGCCAAATGTGGCGAGGCAGCTTTTAGAATTGCCAAACCCAATCTGCAGTCCTTGTGCGGTTCCGGGGTCCCGATCGACAGTTCTGAGCTCTAAATCTCAATTCTCAGGGTTCCCTTGGTCAAGGATAGGGCGTGGCATGGCTACCAAACAGGGGTAGCATCGGTCGTTTCGCACATTGGCCATTGCAGGTTCTTCTGTTCTTCTTTGGTCCAGCTCGAAGATCGGCGAAGATCGGTGATGATCGGTCCAGTCGAGACTTGAGAAGTCGAGATTCATGTCCGAGGTTACCGGTGGGTGCGGCTGGGCGACCGGAACACCAACTATACCTACCTACCTTTGACTTTGAAGCTCGCAAGAGGCCCAGATGGGTCACCCTATTGTTGAGCGTATCTTTCCAATATCATGGTTAGACACAGAATACATAATTCTCTCTTGGATTGGCCTGCTGCTTCGTAGCTCCAGATTCGAGAGTTGAGAGCAGTTGGAGACACCATGGAGTTGAGCCTGCGCCCTGCGGTATGAATAGGGTACTGTGGGGCGAGTGTGGGCTCTTGCGGTACTACTACCGTAGACTGATGATGATCAAAGACATGGATAGCTCCAAAGGACCCGGAGCCAAGTCGAGGCTTGCCAGCTTAGTGTGTGATCACTGATCAGATGGCCCCCCAACACAGTTCTGCAATCCTGTGATCTGGGACACTAGCTGTAGATCCATGCTCGCCGTTCTTGACCGTTGAAAACTAGCAAAGCCAAAAAGTGTGTGGAAACTTGAGTTGGCGACTAGGAGAGTCGGTCAGTTGGAATCCTACGAATGATCTGATCAACGTTCGAGTAGGGTACATAATAGAAAAGTTAGTGCCTACCGGCACGTACCCTAAGTACATGATACATTCGTCCGACAGGGCATGTTCTCTGGGTACTGGGTAGTACGGTAAGTACCGTCCCCCTTGCTGGAACGGAAACTTGGGAGGATGCCCACCTTGCGCTAGGACCGTGGTCTGCCACCCGCGATTCGGAGAGGAAATGATCGGATTTCGCCTTTCGGGTACCAGTATCCCCAGCAAAGAATCGAGATAGGCACCCACTAGCCTGTGGTCTAGGAATATTCCGTGACGCTTGGGATGCAAGTGACAGGATCATGATGGCTGCTTGTTCTTGAGGACAAGTTCTTCACACTCCTGTTTCAAACCTTTGGAGCCAATTGCCCAAGTACCTACCAGCAACGAAAATTGGGATAAACTTCCACATGACAGAGCCGAGAACCCCGAAGGATCGCACCCGGAAACGATATTGTCTACTATTGAAGACTCCTGAGACCTGGCTGCATATTGGCGATGTCCAAGGTCCGCGGGATGCCAATTGATACCCAACCTCTTCATGCGCCAATGTCACAGGCTGTTGACAGTCGACGAACAGGAGCTCTCGGAGACAATGAAAAGAACCATGTCCAGCATATGTACATTTTCTGGCTCCCCAAACATGCCTGCGAGACATGCCTTGCTCTGATGTAGCTCCAAATGCATGCGGTTATCGCACAGCCAAAACATGGCCACGCCACCACGGGGAAAGGTCGGGTAAGATAAATTCCCAGTGCCACTGATGAAGAGCTATTCCGTAGGTCTATTCGAATTCGACATCATGCCTCATCCCTTGGTGTCCGTGTTGGTAGTGCAGTTTCACTGGCACCTGAACTCAATGAGACCTCGGAAGAACTGAGTCTGTTAGAGCAGCAGAGTGGGTCATTATTCAGTTTGAGTATATGGCTGGTGCAACTACTCCGTAAGTGCTGATACATTGCCGAATCCCGGTTGCAGATATTAAGGGCGAGGTGGAGACACTTCAATGTTCCAACAGCTTCTTCCCAATGTTTGATATACGATAATATCGTATTGATTGTTGACAACTAACATGTTCGAACAGGTCCTTGACTGATATCCTATCCTAAATTCATCTCATAAATCCATCCGGCCCATGTCTACGAATATTCCAATTATAGCCTGTTCCCGTCCATCAAACGGCGGAGCCGCAAGGCAGACTCGATTTTGTAACAGAGTCAATCATCCCTGGTCGTAGCACGATAACATGAAACAATATGAATTGCTACTGGGTTATATTCAGGTCCGAAAATATCGGATGCCGTGAAGCTGAAACCGACATCAATCTTAATGCTCGCCCCCAATATCCATGCTCTGCTGTGAAACCAACTGTCCTACTATCAGTCTGAAAGTGGTTCAACATGTCACTACGACTCTATACATCCCCTTTAAAATGAACAGCTGATAATCGAGAGTATTATTTTTGGTGACGTTGACGTGGAATTAGTGAAGTTGTAAATCCCAACCTCATTCCCGTCGAAGTATCACCGCCCTGCAAGTCGCATACCGAGTATGCCAAACCTACTAAATGACCGAGAACACACAATCCAACCTGGGTTTGGGACTGTGCCACAGCTGGTTCCTGAATGTTGATGAAATGTGTTATCAATTGTGAGTTGAATACACTGGCATCCATAACATGGCAGAGAGTCTCGAAGATATTGGATATCAATGTATTAGTCATGCCAGAAGTATGGATTTAACACTACGGTTCCTTCATACCTAAGTTGGGTATGCATTATGATCATATTCTCGGATTACCTACAGCCGCGTACAGTTCACTTCATGCTCGAGAAGAAGCTGAGACACGAACTGCAACAGTTTCTTATTGAACTATCCTAGCCCCGATGCTCTGAAGAGTATATGTCCCCGAAGACTGAATACAGAAGCCCATCAAGACCAGTCCATCCTCTTCCTGCTAGTCGCATAATAAACAACCTTGTTCTCGCCCTCCACTCGGAAGCGGCGGGATCTACGCCCGCACTAAGTGGATATCAATATGCTACAAGTCGCATGATCCAGGGGAGCGAGTACAACTAATGGGAGAGACACGACGATACCGATCATGAGAAATCCGCCAAGGCGGGCTCTAGTGCTGCTAAATCGACTACATGAATATAACCAAATCGATGGCCGATCCGTGGAGATATCCAAATAGGAGTGGATCTATTTCGTGTTACGGCGAACGGAAATGAACGGTCGATGCGTGGAGGCCACTGGGATAGGATTTACCTGCCTACATAGTAAGTTGCAAAGCACGCTAGCATTAAGCCAGCTATGTTGGTAAAACACGACGCAGTTCAAATGAAGTGGAGTGCGGACTGCTGAGTATCCTTTATCACGACGACACGACCTAGTGGCTCGGCTAACGGTCCTCGTCAACCCCTGGTCAAACACATAAGTTAGGACGTATGCCTCCAAAGCACAAGTGAATCGATCACCGAGCCGATATGCAGAACGAAATTGAGGATACTTTGCTTATTTTACTCTTTTTAGCAGAGGATGGATTACGGCTTCTAGTATCCTATTGCCAATTGTCTCCAGTCATACATACAATGTTACCTTGCGACAGGATTACCACCGCTCTCATCCAAATCGGCGATGGTTCATTTCCTCATGATAGTCATCCAGTCATTTGTCCACTTGTGTTGACATAAGCGTTAGCTTCAGTCACCAGCCTCCGGCAGATGACCGACTGTATTCATTTATCCGCCATGCCCCTCCTTGATGATCGCGGATCTGATGCTGATCTATTCACAATTGATATGTATCCCGGATCTTTTGGGCTTGTTCGGGTGGAAGGTGGCTTAGGAAAGAATGGAAGTTGGGAATAAGCTGTTTGTACCCCGAAAGCACCTGGAATCCCATGTCAGTCAAATGTTTTCCAACCGTCATCTTCAATCTTACCTCGTGGAACTGTTTGATCAAATCACCCATGTCCTTGTTTGGGGTCTGTGGTTGCGGCAAGGATGCGATTTCAAGGAAGAAGTCGAGCAGGATTGCTTCCATGGCTTGGGGATTCCGAAGCACAATTTTACTGAACCCAACCATAGCATGCTTTTTCTCGTCCATCCAACCAACATTGCGGATCGTCCGAACGAATGGGGCAGCGAATCCAGCCAGGTGTACGGCTAACTTGTCCGAGTACGAGATTCCCATCCTCCCCAAGGCAAGGGCAGCGTTTTCGTTGAGCGATTCTGGGACGGTAGTGCTTAACAGGATCATGGCGAGTTTCTGAAACAGACCATCTACGTATGGTTCCAGTCCACTGTCAGCGCGCATGGCTATCTCACCGGCCGACCAACAGGCATTGTTGATGACCGCAAACGCAGTATCATCGGCATCTTGGTTGAGATTACTCACATCAAGCTGGTTGATGAGAATATCGAAAAGAGCCGGTAAGTAGGGTTTCATCTGGGGAAACACGCAAATCGCACAATCTCCAAGGAGAGCGTAGGCCGATTGCTTCTCGTCATCGTTCGGATCCTTCATGCAAAATGCTAACAACTCGAAGAGGTTCGGACTCGATGTTTCAACGAGCTGAGCACTTTTGGCCGGATCCATGGCCTGAATGATGGCGCTGAGAAGGTCCAGGCTCGTGATGATGAAATCCTTCTCGCTCTCATACGGACCGAGAACCTCTTGAACGCCCCAAAGCATCTGCAAGTTCTCATGGATCATGACGATACACCGGGCGAAGATGGGCTGGGCGTACGGCGTAAAGTAGGACCCAAGGGCGGTCGCGATAAAGGACAAACATTCTTGCAGAGGGAGAATTTCGCGCGACTGGTTGGGAAGTTTCGACCATCTCTGGATCAGCGCTGGCATCAGCATGTTGACAAGCTCCGGGGTCGCCAGATGCGACGTCAAGTGCTCGGCCAAGGTTTGAACGCAGTCGTATAGGATGAACATGTTCCGATCTTGGTACCGGGCGAAACATTCGACAAACTGACGGACAATGACGGAGCAATACGGCACCAATGCATCCTTCGCTCGCTCCTCCAAGGTAGCGAACGCGGAAGCCGCAGCCTCCTGCACTCGTTTGTTCCCGTCGAGCATCCGCTTGAGAATGCCATCCATGATGGGTTCGAAGTACTGTTGCTTTCCGATATCGTTCAGGTGCGAGGCCCATACCGAATAGCGACCCAACGCCCAGCAGGTGATGGTTCGGACCACGGCTTCCTGGTCCGTTAGGAGGGTGACCAGGTAGGCCGTCAGCTCCGGTAAATGAGGTTGGACATCATCCATACAGCCGACACCGATCGCTCCAAGCGCGAGAACGGCGGCTTCTCGCCGTGGCCAATCTTGGTGACTCAGGTTGTCTTTAAGGTAAGGCAATGTATATGCAAAAACTGGTTCATGGAAATGGGTCGCCAGCACATCGAGAGCCGCTGCGGAACATTTGCGCAAGTTCCAATGGTCCTCCGGTCCTAATCCATAGTCGTCGTCCTCGTCCGTCTCTTCAATCTCCCCTTCGCTAAGATCATCGTCGTCTTGGATCGCTTGCTGGTTCGAGCCGTTGGCGTTCTTGGGAAGTTCTTCACCGTTTGCGCCGATTGCGCGTGATGCTTTCGGCTTCGCGAACACGGGTTTAATATCTTCCTCACGGTCTTCCTGCGCGGCATCCTCCTCTTGCTCGGCTTCAAGCCTCAGTTGATCTTCTTCATCGTAAACCATGCTTTGAAGTAGCACGGGAACAATCTTCTCCAGGTAGGGTGCCAAGGTCGCACGCAAATCATCGGCTTCACCGATTGTGAGCCAGAATTCCGCCGCATCCAGAGCGAGATCCGGATCGTCCACATTTTGCTGTTGCAGCAGGATGTAGTCCACCAAGTCCTTCATATGCGGTACGATCCGATCGGGGCTGATCTCGGCGATCTGGATAAACGTTCGGCACACGTACTTCCGCACCGAATCGTGTGAATCGGACGCAATGGCGAACAAGTTCTGCATCAACAGGTCGAGATTCACCATGACGATATCGGATTTATCCGGAAGGAATACGTTTAGAGCCGCGAGGGCCAAAGCGCGGACTTTTGCGACGGGGTGTCCCACTGAGTTGAGCAGCTTGGGTATGATGAATAGCAGCGGTCGTTCGCCCGAGTACTCCTTCTCCAGAGCGCGTTTATTGTCTTCGCAGATCTTCAATAGCGCACTCATGGCTCCCTCCTGCGTATGGGCAGCGACGGACCCATCCTTCGTATCAACCAACACGATCAGCTGTGACAGAACTTTCGGCCAGCCCAGAATGCCGCCTTGTTTTAACATCTCGGTGATGACACTCCCAGCATAGTTTCGTATCTGAGGAAGCTTGTCTTGAAGCCCCAGCAAGATGACGGACTGGATATATGCCTTGCTGGTGTCCGGTATTGATTTGTAGTCCTGTCGAACTTCGTTTTTAAGCATGAGGGCGGCGGCACTTCTGGCCAAGGTATACTGGTCCTGGCTCAATTGCACGGCCGGGGGTGCTTGCTCGTTATATACAAGGTATGCGAGATAGTTGGTCATGTCAGGGGACTTTTTGGCGTTCATGAGCATCTGGTATTCGCATCAGCACAATGCATCCTCAATGGCCCGTCGACGGCTTGCTCCCATTCCATCGATCACGTACCAATTCGGCGTTTCTTTGCGCATTTGAATCATGCCCACTCAACGAGTCCTTCAGGTAAAGCGCTAGTTGCGCCAGGGGCACTTCTCCAGGTTGCCAATCCATGGTGAATTATGTGTTCCTGACCGGACGCTGGTGAAACTGTTGAACGGGGTGCGATGGGTGCACCGCAATCGTTTGGCGGAGGAATAGGTACGAGTCGGAACTCGGGAGGGGCGCACAGCCGTCTTCGGTCGATGAAGATGCGCTAATACAGGCGAATTGAAACTGCGAATAGTATTAGATCAGGGATAAAAATTCGTCCGAAGCTACTCGAACGCAAAGGGAATCTCCAATGTGTGTTGAAGAGCGTAAACTATTACCTGGTCGAGTGGAGAGGACTACCTCAACAACAGCGTGAAGCAGCCATGGCTATGAGGTCGGGTGATGGAGGTAACTCTGCTGGTCTAGAGAGTCCTAGGCGAGAAGGTCGGCAACAGCCACAGCTGGGAATTGATTCGGGCAGCAACGATGAGGCGAGTATATGTAGCACCGCAAGCAGGAAGGCGAGGTGGTGTTAAGTGTGGTAAGGCCTGACGGAAAAAAGGACAGGCCAGCTATGACGAAGTTGGTGTGCACTGGGTGTGTGGGCGTGGATAAGTAGGACAGCAGGAGTATGCGGTCCTTGCAATGCTTCGGAAGAGGAGAATGGAGAAGAATCCAATGAGGTTCAACAAAGGAAGAGACAGACCAGAGGAGTGATGGTGGATGGAGGAGATAGGGTGAGTGGAGGGCAGAGTGGAGGGGGCGGATGGTGGGAAGTGGTAAGTCAAATTGCACTGCAAACTTGTAATTCCAGCAATTCCAGCGGGTTGGCTACTAGAGGGGATTGGATATCCTAGCGGTGGGGCAGATGTTCACACAGGTGACTTGTTATTATTATTATTGTTGATACTTTCACTCATTTTATGCCTAGCTCATGTCGTGTTAACTTGAGCTCCAGGTGTGAATTTCTGTCTTAAGAGTGTCTGGAGTTCTAGACTCCATGGTTACGAGAATAATCCTCGGTTCGAAAAGTACAAGCAAGATGCAACCAATTCATGAGACAACCATATCGTTGATCGGTTTCCCCTTAGATCGGAGACACAGCTCTGACAATGGAATTCTTTTCCTGTTTTTCTCGAGGTCCCCCATATAGGCCGACGGTGCAATTTAGGGTAGCGGATGTGTGTGCAACACACCAGGCAAGAGGTATGGCAAGCGATTATTATTACGGCTGAAAGCTTGAACCTGTGGAGTTTGATAGCCGTTGCTCGTTGGTGAAACCGACTTGGACCCTACTGTGTCTAAGTTCTCGTGGCCAGTGTCCAGGAGATGTTAATAGCCATGGTCCATAATTGTGCGTCAGACGCCAGGAGACAGGCGACACGCTAGTCTTTTCATGATAGGGAGTGGCAGAGAGATGATGACCTAGATCTAATCATCAGGATATGGGGAGAATCAATCTGCCCTGTTGATGGAGAGCGTGAGCAGGACTGAGAGACAAGGAGGATCAGGCGGGGGATCAGGTGATCACGTGAAGACTCTCAGCCTGTCAGCCACCAATCCTCCAAGGCACGTGCTCTCAGCCACAACTCCACAAGACACGAGACACCTTCCCAGTTCCCACATGCACATGCACCCTCCGAAACCTCGCCTCCACAGTCAGGCATCAAGGCAGTAAAACTGTCAGGCCATCAGGCAGTCAGGCAACTCGGTATCTCCTCGCTGGTTGCAGTTGGGTGCTGGTCGCTCCTTCCACTCCGTCTCGCCCTCATCATTCTATCAGATCACCCTCTTGCCGCTTCTCTCACGTCTCCCACCACTGAATCCAACGCAATAATACTACTACTGTCCACTTCCCTACTCTAATTATCTGATTACCTACCTGTACTGACCTTACATTCTCCTTTATTCTGCTTTCCCCTGTTCTTGACTGCTCTGGGAATCCTCCTCTCTAACGCCGACCCGTCCCTCTCCCCAGATCCCAATCCCGCCTATCCGCCTCCTCCGGCATCCCATCGCTCACCCATCAACGTCATCACCACCAATCCTCACCTCCGCCACTCTACCCACTCTCTTCCACCTTGCAGCGCTGCTCGTGGCTTCTCTGCTGCTACCCGTCCCTTCGAACCTCCGTCACCACCGAAATCCCCTTATGCCGCCCTTATCTCGCTGCTCATCCACACCTGCACGGACAGAAACCTCTCCCGCATGACGGGGGCGCCGGCCACCACGCATCCGCTCTGGGAACTTTCGCGAGAAGACCATCCTCCAAGCATGGGGACCCTCCGCGCCGTAGTGGCGCCCCCAGGCGCCGGATCCACAGGCAAAGGCATCATAATCGGCTTGCTTGCCGCCTTTGGTTCCGCCGCCTTTGTCGCCCTGGTGTTGATGCTCGTCTATTTCTTCCGATACACCCAGAATGGCCGCATATTCTTGGACCGAATCGGCCGACCGGGTGAATACGATGACGAGCAGCAGTTTGCGCGCGATGAGGCCGAGGCGCTGGAGACTATGGAGGAGCTACAACGATCGGAGTATCTACGAGCCAAAGGTAGGCTGCAGTTCGAAGTCCTGGTGACACCGCGCTAACATGGCGTGGCAGCATTTATTCAAGCCAACCCCCCCGAATCATCGCAGACGGATATTTCCTTGACACAGTATCTGGCAATACAGGAGAAGGGTGTGTCGGCGTGGGAGTTCGAACCCGAGCTGGAGATTGCCAATTGCTTTGTCGAACAGCGTACGGAGGTGGAGTTCTTTGATTCCGAGTGCAGCGTCCAGAGCAATCTTCCCATCCCAAAACAAAACGAAGTGTATTATTGGGAAGCCAAAATCTACGAGAAACCCGAGACTTCTTTGATCAGCATCGGCTTAACCACAAAGCCGTATCCATTGTTTCGATTACCTGGTATGTACCTCCGCTGCATTTGCAGGCGTATGATTAACTTGCCCAGGCTTTCACAAACACTCCCTCGCCTATTTATCGACTGGAGTCCGCCGCCATAACCAACCTTTCACCCCGACTCCATATGGTCCCCCTTATATACAAGGCGATGTTATAGGTGTTGGATATCGGCCTCGTACGGGTACCATCTTCTTTACCCGTAATGGGAAGAAGCTGGATGACGTTGCGCATGGATTAAAGTCCCACAATTTCTTCCCCACCATCGGTGCCAACGGTCCCTGTCAGGTTCATGTCAATTTCGGTCAATTGGGCTATGTGTTCATCGAAGCAAACGTGAAAAAATGGGGGTTTGCACCGGTTGCCGGCTCACTCGCTCCACCACCCCCATATGGCAGTGAGCAAGGCAGCATCCTGTTGCAAGAAGGTGGCCGTGACGCTCTCACCCCGCACGGAGGGGGATATCTGGTCCATGGTGCGTACCATGGAGGACACGGAAGGACCGCCTCGCAGCAAATTCGAGTTTCTTCGCGGCTACCCACTAGCCCTGGGCCACAACGTTCCCCGACGGACATTTCTCTTGGAACCTTGTCCCTGGTGGATAGCCACGAGGAGCAAGATGCTGGTGAAGGTACCTCCAGCAGCGCGGTGGCAGCGATATCCAACCTTACACCGCACGCTGGGCTCGGCGTGGCCGATCTCCCCCCTCCGCCCGATTACGAAAGCCCGGAAGGAAGCCTGGATATTGACCGTCGGGGGGAGTATGAGGACCGGCGTCCCCTTCTACAAGACGGTCGGCCCGACCCGCCAATCCCCTCATATTCGGAAGTGGTTGGTGCAGAGAACGTAACCCGAGGGCGGAGCGATACCGTGGAGACGGTGAGGTCCGTTCGATGATGATTGTTCGCTGCTTGAGACGAGATGCATGAAAGTGATACCATTTTTCGATTTACGAGGATCCTTCGTTTAGTGCGCTGCTGGGTTTGGGACGATGGTATTATGGTATTTGGGGTCTTATTTTACGGACCGATGGGGGAGCTTGGAGTTGTTTCAAAGGACGGGGCATGGCAAGGTTGGTTACCACTTGGTCGCAGGTCTATCTATGTTCGGCCTTTTTGCGTCCATATCATCGGTTCGGGAACTTGTGTATAAAAGCGCCGAGCTTTTTCTCCTTTCTCGGCGTTCATCCAGTACGTGGCGGCTACGATGCAACAGGAGACCTCAAATCCTCCACACTTATATAGGTGGGGGTTATTCTGTGCTTGAGTCGCGCTTTAGCGTGTGATCTTTGGCAAATTGAGCGGCAATCGTGCTTCGGACTAGATAATCGAGAGAATTGCGCTGCCTGTTGGCCCTATCACGGTGGCATAGAGCTTCTCTTTATATCGAATTACAATCAGACTATCACCAAGACCTACTCCTGAAAGAATCCTATTCATTCTCGTGACTGGTCTTGGCCATCGATCTCACCATCAACACTCCCAAGAGTTCTGGTGATTCGGCGATCAAGCACGTTTTCACGACCTCAAATCCGCTCTTTTCGTACAAAGGACGCCCCGCCACGCTTGCATTGAGCGTTACTGGGACCCTCTCCTCATCCGCAAATTGTAGGCCATGCTCTAACAGTTGGCTCCCTATTCCGCGACGATGAAATGCCGGGTGCACCGCGAGGGCACTTAGATGCCATCGGGACGGGAGGGTAGCAAGTATCGGGTCGAATTCATCGTGCGCGACTTGGAAGAAATGCGCAAGCCGCTCCTTGTTCGTGTGCGAAAAGACGACGTATTTCTCATATGTGCCTTCCATCCACAACAGCAGTCGATTCAGCCCTTCGTCTCCATCAGCGTCATTGCCCGGAAGTTTGGCCGAGATGGTATACTCTTTGATAGCGTGTCATGCTGCCACCTCCTTGCAAGCTCATCATTCCCTTCTCGCTGCCACATTGTCATCCCAGCGATGCGCTTCCCATCTACGGCACATCCGTCTTCAGAATCAATTTCAAGCACGAATCCGTGACAGCCCACTTCTTCCATGCGATTCCTAGTGCGAGCCAATCTCACTCGTCGCAGCTCTTCGGGATGTTTTTCTAACTCGGGGTCGAACCAGGTGAATAATTCGTCGTGTAGAAACGCCGCGACCTGAAGGTCGGCGACTTCGGAAATATCTTTCGGTTCGAGAGGGCGGATGCGCATTTTCAAAAGAATAGAGATTACGAGGAGAAATTTACCCCTTTGATATTACCAGGCCTGTACGTTTTATCCCAATATCAAGACCAAGTCGAAGTACTGCATGATACAGCTGTGCTGACTGCTGAGGTACCTCTAAGTGGTGAGAGGTGTTTTCAAGGTACAAAAACGAGAAACCAGACCTTGAAGCAAGGCTATCTTCTCAGGTATCATCTACTCACATTATTATTGAACCATTCCATCCACTGGTCATGTTGCATTGATCCGCCAGTCTGGTAATCGGTACATAAGCAAAAAGGAATGCCTAGGCTTCATTCAGCAGGTGAGTAATAGAGCGAGAGTCCTCACCCACAGTTTCGGGAAGCGAAGAAAGGCTCAGCTCAATAATTCAGTCAGAGCCAGTTCAGCCCCTTGAGCTTATTGATAAGGATATACATTTCTGTTTCTTCCAAGAGTCACGTCCTTAATAGCGCAAAACAACGTCACATATAATTCATTTAAATTGAATAAAATGATGATTCATTACTCACATCTTCTGTCTAGTCTTAGTAGCCACTTGGAGTGGAGTAGATGGAACTCCTCCTCCATTTGCTTTCCTCATCCTGTTCTTTTGCACTATCAAGTGCACTTGCGGAGCACAATAGCGGCACGTAGAGGCCCTCACTGCTTTCCGAGCCCTTTCGCTGTGTTGTCCTTCGCTCAAATTCAGACCCAAACCATTCATCGAGGTTTTTCAGAGAGGACAATGATCCGTCGTGCTTTCGGTGCTTCCTCTTCCGCTGCTTCCGCTTCTCCTTTTTATTCTGCACCCTGACAGCACGCAGGTGGTTCTTCAAATGATCTCCTATGGAGTCACTAATCCGGAAGATCTCTGCCGCCTCCGCGTGAGGGTATGCATCAATCCAAGTATTGAGAAACTGAAGACGCCTGGATTTGACTAGCTTTTCTGATCGCATCCGACCTAGCATCCCTGCGCGGATTGAGATGAGAGTGCGACGGTTGGTCTGGATTTGGGAGAGGATGCATCCTGCGCAAACCTCCTGTGGTCCGGTCGGTTCCCTGATAGCCCAAGAGCGAGATATCGTGAACAGTTCATCGAATAGACTGGTGAGACCCTGCTGAAAAGCATCAGATACATCCGCAGCTTCAGAATGCGGGAGATTGCTGGGTCTAGTTGCCCTAGCTTGCTCGAACAAAACGTGAAGAACATCCTCAAGCAGGCTGGATTGTAACCCCTGATGGAGTGAACAAAGGGTTTTGCTTTTCCTGCGACTTCGTAATGTGGCGGGCAGTGATCTGATCTGGTCAACTGTCATTTGTTTATACACGGCCCACTCGGTTGACGACCGCGAGATGTCAGGACCGGGCAGGTGTGAGAGGATTTCAGCAAGGATGACAACCTCTGCCATGGTAAGTTCTTTGTATGATGTAGGGGCCATTTGATGCGACTTATTGGCTGTGTTATGTCCGAATGTCAGTGGATCTTTCCAAGAATGCAACGAGCATACACTGTCACAGTTTTTATATGTCTCCAGGAGAGGCGTATTAAGTTGTCAATTGCTTTGTGGATGTACTCTCGTCTTATATACAACATTTTGGAGTAGAATATATGCAATGTGAAAGCCCACATTATTTCGCGGCTCTTTCAATGTACCGAACAAACCAATTTTTGGATACAATGCATAACAACGGAACTTGAGACAATCTTTTCTTGTGAAAGCCAGTGTTTTGCATTAGAATAATATGTTTAGGCCAACAAAAAAGGACTTTCATAAGACAGTTTCATGGAGAAAGGTAAGACGGAACTCAGGAGTGTTATTCCGGAATGAAGCATGAATACTAACAAGCAATGCCTAGTGGCGCTGCAGTGATTGAATGACGCCAGCTTCTCAGACCACCCAGCCTTTTAGAAAGCGGACGCTTTCTGCGGAGACTGGAAGGTTTCAAGAATCCTCCGGCCAAGCCCGTCTGCTCGTCCTTCCATACCCCATCAACCCACTGCACGTGATGGCTTCCATCAAGTAGACCCTGACAAACCAAATTATGTTTGACCTTCATCCAATCACCGAAAAAGGCGTGAGTTCTAATATCATTGCCTTTGGTGATTCCGTGGCCCAGAGTGACCGCTTTGATGCTGCCTATGCGAACAGCATGGGCGTCCGGGTCGGGGGAGTGGTTGAGTAAGAGAGAATAGACGGGACATGCTACCGTCCTCGTCTCTTCGGCAATGTCTATGGGAAAAGCCCACTGACCTTCCGCAGAACAGACCGGGTGCCAGGGTGTAATCCAGAGGTTTCCGATCCGACAAAGCTTCTGGCGTCGTATTCTAGTTCCAACAATGGCTTTGATAGTATTGAATCCAGCCGGCGTCCATACGGACATACCTGGGCGCAAGGAACGCACTGGAACATTGCGTCCGTTGGATAACTGGATGAGGCAGTGGCCGGCAAAACAGGAACTATTGAAATTTCTGTACCTGGACATGCGCAAGGGAGTGTACGGAGGTGGTGCACCGAGTCCGCGGGTACGGCCAGTTGTTTGTGCGGGACGAGGGGAAGATTTCGGCGCCGGCAGGTTGTCAAAAATTTCATCCAGCTGATCTCGGCATCTGATGAACACGGGGGATTCGGATCCATATTGCAACGGCCCTGAGTCCTTGAACGAATTACACACTTGGCGGGAATGTGCAGATAAGAGGGAACGAAGATAATGTGCCCCCCATTTCTGCCAATATGTCCCATGAGACAGTGCGGTTTTGACTTGCCCCATCGGCTCCGGTCCACACAAGTCATTGAATAACGATGTGTTCAGTGGATCATTAAGCCCTGAACAGTTGATGTCAGTGGCTAGTTCTTCCAGGTCGAGCAGCGCATCGGCAGGATCGTCAACAGCTTTGTATTCCCCGTTGGCGGATGCAGGAAACAAGGAAGAGATCATGTGGCAGAAGCGAGTACGGAACCGCTGGTACTGGCAGTACTCGTCTGGAAGAGAAGATCTCTGGGATAATGATGTAGCGGTGGTCAACTCAAGTCTTTCCATAGAAGGTCCACGGCAGCGCAGCGATACCTGGATAGTAGAGGACAGTCGGGGCTGTTTGCCACCGTAGGCTAGAACAATATCACGAGATTGTCCGTATTGTAGATTCCCAATCTTTAATCGGGCACCGCCAATTTGAGTTGCCGTGGCAGCAACCATGCCTCGGAAATCCAGGGCCAATTCGGGGGATGTGATAAAGGTCAATGATGCAGCCGCAGCAAACGTATTGAAAAGGTTAGCCATCGCATGAACGAACACCGTCCCAATCATTCCGGCGTCAGGAATGTAAGCGTACGAGCCGTTGCCCTCCTCGGCAATGCACTGGAGCAATCCCGAACGCAAGTTGTATCCAAATCCGAAAGTGTTGATGGTGATCGGAGGGATCCCCTTCTTCGCCATTCTGTTCAGAATCGGTATCAATTTGGGAAGGTAACCTTGCGGGGGGCACATATGGTTCGGCTGCCCATCCGTAAGAACAATCAGCGCGGGGACATTGCCATCTACAGCGTGGCCGTCCTCGAACAATTTCAGCCCCTCCCGAATACCTCCCCAGAGATTCGTGCTCATTTTGGGGTGAAGCTGCTCGATTCGATCGATGGTTGATTTCTTATTTCCATTGGTCATGGGAAGTCTCGACTGGACGACTTCAGGATGGGTGTGAAATGACACGATTCCCAAGCGGTCGTCATCTGCTAAGGATGCAATGATAACCTTCGCGGCATGTTTGACCAAGTCAAGCACGCATAATCCAGTATCCTCCGACTGATTGGACCCGTTCGGTGGCAAAGGAGCACTATCGCCCATGCTTCCTGAGATATCGATAACCAAAACGACATCGCACGGGACATGTGTCTGGGAGGAGGAGTTCGGCGGCGACATTGGTGGCTTCACTCTGACCAGCACGGCATCTCCTTCTGGGAGCGGGTGCAACTCTAGTTGAGCCTTTGCGTCACTCAACTTCGACTGGATAGGTAGTATGTGTCCATTCGTCATTTCCGGGTGAGCCTGGCTCTCCGGCTTCAAGGCCTGAATGTAATTTGCAATTAAGGCTACCATTTTGCCGAGAAAAGAAAGGGAGCCACAGTGACAGGATGCGAGATAAGATAGACTAAGATAGCGAATCTAGATTCAAGGGACATCATACCAAAGGACTTCGTGGCATCAACGACATGAAGAGGGATATTAAATACCTATCAAACTGCTTGCCTTATCCTATAAAACTAGGAGAGACGATACCGCGCCGCAAATGCGGTAGACGCCGAAGCCTATCGGCTCGTACTCGAGATGCGCCCCTCTGAGGCTTACCTGGAGAGGGCTCGAGACTCGCACGACGGTGAAGGGGACTGGGCAGTGAACAATAAACGCTAATTGAATAGTATAGACATATCGTGGATGTTGAATTTAGAGGTGCAGCATTAGCGGGCCGGGAGCAGAGACATAACAGCAGGGACTGCAGCCAAACCTGAGCGAGGAGACAAGACATCAGGGTGGCTTTGTGGAGGGGCTCCAGGCGGCAGCGCATCTCTCGAGGGGCAGCCGGTTAGAGCATCTGGATTCTGATCAGAGGAACCATTTTCAAACCTCAATTACGGCCTGCCATCGTTTATCAATGCAGGCTGGGTCAATCCAGGTGGATACTCTGTCCTAGGGTATTCTGTCCCAGCACTTGCCTATTGTAGGCTTCTACGGTCACCAGGCGTGTGGCTGAGGCGATTCAGGGGCTGGTGTCTGCAGTGCCTCTCTGACTTCGACGTGGAGTGCTCATCTGGTATGTGCCGAGCCAGGACTGTAGGTGTCAGATGCCAGTAAAGTTCCAGGTTAGATTGCGTTTCTATGGGGATTCAATCAGAAGGGTCTTGTCATCGGCTTGCTGGTTGCCCAAGCCCTAATACTCCCTTGATATCAGAGATGACTTTGTTGAAGAAGATTTCGCTGGTGGTGGGGTGCACGTGACCGAGATCTCCCTTCATCGTATTTTCACAACAGCTCAAGTGCGATCGCATGTTTGTCGTTTTTGGGAAGTTCTGAAGCCTCAGAGACCATTTTCCAGCCCCCCTAAGAAGCCAGGAGCCGTCAACTGAGACTCGACCGGCGGACGTCCTGGTTAAAGGTGGTCGTCGCAACCGAAGGGCTCACCTGAGGGCTCAACACGAGCATCACACGATTTGTGCAGGGTCGATCAATACCGTTCATCCCTTGGATTTCTTGTTGCGAGGAAGAATATCCAGCATGATTAACAGCGTCTTTGTATGAGAACGTCCTGTTTCGAGTGAAAACTTTTAATCCCCGTCGAAATTCCACTCACAATGAGCCATCACCCATCATGGACGGCGTCCTTCGAGTCGCGAGCACTTGCGCCAGCAACACCCCCCCTAACCTCATATCTCCTTCGCCTCATGACGATCAAGAAGTCCAATCTTTGCTTTTCTGCGGATGTCACAACAACTTCCGAACTGTTGGCCGTAGCCGAAGAAGTTGGACAGAGTATCTGCTTGCTCAAAACTCATGCGGACATTATTTCCGACTTTGGAGACCGGACGGTGCGGGGGTTACGGGATATCGCGAAACGGAAAGGGTTCTTAGTGTTTGAGGATCGGAAACTTGGAGATATTGGAAGTACGCGGTTCAACTCTAGCGGTTTGAAGGATGCTAACCCTTCTAGGCACTGTTCAAAGGCAATACACTAGCGGCCCTCTCTCGATAGCGAAATGGGCTGAGATCGTCAATGCGCATATCTTCCCAGGCCCAAGCATTGTCACTGCCCTTGCTTCAGCTGCTTCCGACGCCATCGCTGTATATAACACCGCCGTTCACACGGTCATCACCTCTGGGGAACCTTCTTCATCCGACACCGACAATGACCAAGACAAGCCAGATCCAAACAAACTCACGCGAACCATATCAGTTCCTTCGGGAGAGAAGAAAGTCCCGGATGGAGACAATACCGGACAATTTGGAAGCCAATCGTCAGGTTCTGATCATCTCGATCCTACCAACGATGGAGCTGCCGAGAGAAAGGCTTCGATCGTGAACATCAGCACTACGATTTTCACACGAACCGAACGGATATCTCCTCAACCCACACCATTTCCATCTATGAGCTCGGCATCACCCGATCCATTGAAGGATTTGAAAGCGAAGCTAGGTCCAGCACCGTACCTTCGTGGACTACTCCTGCTTGCTCAAATGAGCTCGGAAGGGAATCTTCTTGACGAAGCCTACACAAACAAATGCCTGGAGGTAGCACGAGAGAACCGGAACTTTGTTCTTGGGTTCGTCGCCCAGCGGTCATTGAATACTCTTCCGGACGACAATTTCCTCGTCATGACACCGGGTGTGCAACTTCCAAAGGATTCGGAGACTGGCAAGGTGTCTGGGGATGGTTTGGGACAGCAATACAACGGACCAAGGCATGTCGTTGGCGAACTGGGCTGCGACATCATCATCGTCGGTAGAGGGATACTCAATGCAAAAGATCGAACGGCTGAAGCCGAGAGATACCGAAAAGCGGGGTGGGAAGCATACGAGGAGAGAATTGGGTTGAAATAGGCATTATCCAATCCAGCGTGGAAAGTTGTTTGGAGTTCCATGGTCATGAATCATGAATAGGACAGGTCTATTGTTCACGCAAGGTTTTTCAAGGACATAGTCGACCATTCAACGAATCAATATCACTCGAAGAATAGTGGCACGCAATACATGTTCCAATCAATAATTACGTTCTGCCCCAAGTCTTGAGGAGCAGTCGTACTCAATCGATGGTTTATTCTCCGTCCCTGAAGCCTTGGAGGCTCATCCAGCTCGAAATATTTCATCAGAATATTGAAAGACTGAGCGAGGAGCGAGACGGAAATCTTTCAACCGTTAACACGGCCATACCAACTCTATAGGCTATTGAAGCGTTCATTCGGCGACGAAAAAACCCAAACAAGCGCTCAAGAGAATCCGTCGATTCGTGAGCAGCCGTTCTCATTTCTCAACAGTCGAGAGCTTCACATTGTAGCAGGGTTAAGCAAAACGGTCACAATGGACAAGTCAGTCAACTCGAGATGATGCGTTCCACTGGAGAGCCATTGCAGCAAGCAATATGGTCAATGAAGATGTTCCACAGCCAGGCAGGTGTGAAAGACGAGATCTTCAAAGATTTCATGCACGGTTGATGGGTCCTTCGGTTAGGAGTCAAGGATTTCCGCCTCAGGCAATAATTTCAGCACGTGATTGATTCCCTGATATCAATCCATATTCGTATGCGGTTTTCGTTTGCGGTCAAACAAACATCCTCAACTCCTCAACTCCTCAACTATATTAGAACCTCCTGTCCCTTAGAGCACGGCCTGGCTGATATACGCGGTGAGAAGTTCCGGACGGCGCGTGGAACTGGGAAAGTTGCCAAAGCGACGACCAAGTTGGGGCAGACGGAAGCCAACGTCCAGGCAGGAATTGCGCCGGAGACCGGGCTCACTTCGAGGGATAGAAAATTCTATCGGAAGCTTGGGTTGTTGTAGTTCTCAAGGTACTGGGGACTGGAGAGGTCGATCGTGTCATTCTTACTATGTAATTCTTCATGAAAGTGGAAGTTAGGAGGGTTTGGAGTTTTGACTATTCCTCTAACATGCTGGGTCAAATGAAGATCCCCAACGTCCAATCGGTATGATTTCCTTGGAAGATCCCGCGGTGCAGTCAAAAGGTCTCGGTGACAGGGTGGCGTGCTGGGAGGGCGGAATGGGGAGATGTGCCGAGTAATCGTGTACGACGCTCAGTGCGTGAGAAGGAAAACCACAAAGTATGAATCTGATCCAGCTCCGTTTCTTGCTGGTGACACTCAAGTCGAGAATGTGGAGGAGGGTAGTGGCGTGCTTGATTCCTCAGATAGCCAATTGCCTTATGGTAGGCGAGGAGAGCATCAGATGGCTTAATCATGTATGGATTTGTTTGTGTACCGTATCAAAATGAATCAGATTGGAATGGAGAGACTTCGATATTCAAACCATGTAATGCAAGTCTAAAGATATCAGAGTGAGGATGTAGGCCTCGGGCTGCATACTAGCACGTATGGACTCCGTAATAATGCATTCGATTCATAAGGCTCAAGCGAACTTGCCTAGAAGAAACAGACGGGATCCATCAATCTCGTTCTGAGTTGATTGTGAACTTGTGATTGTCTGACTGTTCAGATATTATGCTGGGATATAAAATGAACGTCCCTAACGTCCAATCGGTATCATCTCCTTGGAAGATCCGCGGTGTAGCCCAAACGTCTCGGTGACAGCGCGACCTCGGCTTCGCTCCGACGCTCAGTTCCGTCATCACAAGCCCACCCATGTCTCACCCATTATTATTGCATCGCGGCGAGTATCTAAAATCACACGATCCCTGTGCCTGGATATTCGGAGATCTTTGGAATACTTGATACGCGACTCGCTCGAGATCTTCAGAATTCGTTGACATCTTGCCCCGTTGTCTTCGCATACCAAGATCCAACATTATGTCCACTCTGATCAAACCCCCACCAGTGGACGTCGAGAAGTCCAGGATCGAGAATGTTCTCGAGCTGACACAGTTAACCCCTATTGACCCGGTACGTAGATGATTTGGCGCGCCGAGTCGTACTGCTGCTATGGACGCTTGAAGCACCTACTAACCTTCGCAGGACCTCTATACGAATACCCGACCTTTATGGCATCCACCTGGTGCTCGAGGGATCTATGGCGGTGCCGTGATCGCACAATGTCTTGCTGCCGCCCAAAAGACCGTTCCTCCCGATTTCTATATCCATAGCATGCACTGCTACTTCGTATTGGCTGGAAACAGCAATATCCCGATCATCTACCATGTCGAACACGTCCGAGAAGGCCGCAGCTTTTGTACTCGGACCGTCCAAGCGCGTCAGAATGCGAAACCGATCTTTACCACAACTATGAGCTTCGCTCGAGAAGGATCGGGTGGAAAGAATGTTGTCAAGCATGAGCAGAACATGCCTACGGATATTGCTGAAATGGGGCCGCCTCCCGATGATCACCAAGGAGACGAAACCGGAGGAGGGGAACAAAGTCCGTTCGTCAGTCAGAGGTTGAGGATTTTGAACAGTACGTTATCTTTGCGCGTGTCATCCTATTCGCTAACCCTCGATCATAGAGGAATCCAATCCGCACGAGAAGAAGGTTCGCCAATGGATCAAAGCCCGGGGCAAAATCTCACCGAAAGGAGGACATGAAGCGCATCTTTCCGCCCTCGCATACATGTCGGACTCCTACTTCATCGGAACGATTGCCCGAGTTCATAACCTTTGGCGATTCGCCCCCGGCCGGGAACGGAAACAACCGCCATCTATTGACGAGGAGACTTTGCGGAAGCTTCTGGCTGCGGATGAGGAGACGATCGAGAAGGTCAAGAACATGCCCGGAGTCAACGCAAAAGTCCTCGAGAGTCTTCAGAAACCACGCGAAAAGCGTCCGGAAGTTGGCATGATGGTCAGCTTGGATCATACCATCTATTTCCATCGTCCTCGAGATTTCATGGCCGACGATTGGATCTTAGCAGAGATGGAGAGCCCTTGGGCGGGAGACGGAAGAGGTTTGGTGTTGCAAAAGATGTACACCAAGGATGGAAAGTTGATTGCGACTTGTGTCCAAGAGGTGAGTTTTTGTCTCCGGCCTGGATAACTCATGGGACCATGCTAATAAAGTATTAGGGTGTCGTAAGGTTACGGCCGGACTCTGAGAGCAAGCTTTGATTGATTTTCTCTGTTTGTTTGTGCATATAGATCGGTGCGCAATTTCCTTTTCCGATAGACCATCTGGGTAGAATGGGGAGGATGTGGGATTGAACCGGCGTTGAATATAGAGGGAATATGTACTCTCACTATCGCAATAAGTTCCAATCCTCAAATCATTGGTTTCGTATCTCCCCACCATGGCGATTTTGTTAGATGGTCAAGGCAGCGTTAGCAAGCAGGAAGAATATAAAGTCACCCGGGACATGAATTTCCCTCGAGCGTTCATAATTATCGCCTCAGACGTGGACTTCGAGAGTCAAAAACACCTGGGGAAGAGCTTCTGATACATCCCAAGCTCCTAGGCTAGGACGATGCCGATTATGAAACATGGAAACTTATTCGCCCATTGTAGATCGGAAGCTTATTTGCTACACAGTGAACTTGTATTGCTGTTGAATCCAAGACGGGAGACAACTGACAAGCCATTGTTGGCCACCGGGTCGCCTCATCGTCCCGAACCCGAGACGCTGCAGGGTGATAGTGCCTCGGCATCTCTGTGACGATCAATGGCAATACATCTTTCCACTCACAATTTCAATCGGCTCATGCGGTGAATACAATAACATCTTGATCCTTAGCTGTATATTCTTCAACGTAAACTACACTCGAAATCTCTGGCACTTTCTCACAACCACATATACTACCTACCCTCTTCGAATCTATCGCAATGGCCGCAGAAGCACAAGCTCAATCCGAACTCAAGGTCAGATTCTTCTACATGTCCAATCCACATCGCGCGTACTAAAGGCGATTCAAGGACTTCGGTGGTATATTCCGTCTCGATGGGAAAGTTGCTGTGATCAGTGGAGGGTCTCGAGGACTAGGTCTACACGCTGCATCGGGGTAAGTAATCAGCCAAGCCGCAATACCATGGTCTAATGCAGTTTAGTCTACTCCAAGCTGGGTGCTCCAAGGTCTTCATCACCTCCAGAAAGGCACAAGCATGCCAGGAGGCTTGCGATGCTCTCAATGCCCTTACAAACAAAGCTCCTGGAGCCATTGCAATCCCGGTACCGGCAGATTCGTCCAAGGTATCCGAAATCGAACGCTTGGTCAAAGAGGTCGAGAAACATACCGACCATGTCGATATCCTTTTCGCCAACGCCGGTGCCACGTGGGGAGAGAAGTTCGAAACACATCCAGATAGTGCCTTCGCCAAGGTGATGGATTTGAACGTCAAGAGCGTTTTCAGCACCATTCAAAAGTAAGTGGACGAGTTCCTGCAGCCTACCCAAGCCCTCCAATCCTCTATCAGACGACTGCATCTTAGCCATGGTTCTGTCTTGTAAAGGCCCTGACATGGTGGACTCAGGTTCGCCCCTCTCCTTCAAAAGCGCGCAACATTGGAGGAGCCATCAAGGGCAATTGCAACGGCATCTGTTGCCGGTCTTCGAATCGGTACTTTGGGCAACAACGCGACTTATGGATACTCGGCAAGCAAGGCCGCAGTGATCCATTTGATGAACAACTTGGCGGTCGAACTTGGCCCCCGTCATATCCTCTGCAATTCTCTCGCTCCTGGGTTCTTCCCTTCCAAGATGGCAAGTGGCTTGATGGGCCTGATCGGGGGTGAGGAGAAGCTAGCCAAGACCAACCCGAATGGGCGGCTGGGTCGTCCAGAGGATATCGCGGCGGCGGTGGTGTTCTTGAGCAGCCGAGCTGGAAGCCACGTCAACGGGGCTCATCTCGTAATCGATGGTGGCGTGCACCAAGGCAGGATTGGAGGATTGCCGAACTTGTAGGTTCAACCGCTGTATGTTGGGCTATGGGGGTGGAGGACCGGTTGGAGAATCGGGCGGAAGGGAGCGGGATCGACGGTTGTTCTCCGCGACAGTGGATATGGTCGATTATGCTATGCAACGAAGCGTATGTCAGACACCCATTGAACCTTGGATTTCGCGATTGAGGATTTGTAGCCGGATTGAGTGACAGTTGCGGAGAATGCGCTTCCGGTTGTTAGACGTGTATACAGACTGCGAATGGTTTTAAGCACCACTCCGGGCGAGGAGTCCTGAGGTGTCACGTTCCCACACCCTGGTGCGATTGAATAGACCCAAGGACAATTCGTGTAAAGGGCATTAAGCAATTGTGGCTCCTGGATGGCCATGAAATCATGTTTGAAGCCAATCGCGAGGATTGTTCCTGTAGAAGCACTTCAGCAGCACCAGATTTGAGTCATCAGCACCATCATGACCTCATAAGCGACATAGATGGATACGAGAAATGACTCTATTGAATAATATGTGCAAAGATTCCATTGCCAAGTGAGACGTGGAGATGGTGAGATATTCAAGATTCATAACCAGATCGAAGATGGAAATGGAGCCAATGATATGATCCATAAAGGGCACGAGTGGAGCAACAACAGCCGCCAACCCGTCAACTCGCCACTCGACTGTGACGCGGCGGAGATTCGGCACGAGAGACTGTAAAGAGAGACTTGGCCTTCAACAATCAACATGGTTCATCCGGGGTGGAAGAATTTAATTGCCCTTCGCCTTCGACGTGCACCTCTACTCTCCAGCCTACTAAACCGGAGAATCGTATCGTCTTCTTAAATTCAAAGGAATACAAAGGGGGAACTTGATGTCTTTGAGAAAGGTAATAGGAAGCGAAGCCGGTAACGATTAAGAGTCCTCGACGCCATGGGGGTATGCTTCAAATTTCCATGCTATCGTGGCTATCAATTTCTTCCTCCCCATGGTTGAACTCATTGAAGGTTGATAAGTGACGGCAGCGGCGGGGAATTGGTGGGAATAAGTGTTTAGGGATTGCACAATTGGACGGTTGATTGGCCCTCGGGGATTTCCGGGAATGCCGGCGCATCTCCATAAGACCGTAACCATAGCTGCTGAACCATGAACGGCACAATTCCTGAACAATTCCTGAACTGTTGAACCCTCGTGATCTTGAACCCTCTCTCTGATTTTTCTTTAGTCTACCAACCAAATCCTTCATAGATTATCATCACGTACATCAATTCTTAATTGATTCGATTCATCCATCGTCATCCTCCCTTATTCCGTCTTTTCCTCCTTTTCCTCCTTTTCCTCTTTGATTTCTCTCTCTACTCCCTCGTCCATCGCTCAAAATGTCCGGCACCGCCACTCCTCCCCCGTCCTCAACAGGCTCCGTGAAACTGGATGCCGTGAAGCAGGCTGTTCAAGCCAATGAACCTCAGAAAATTTCCGGCGCGGCTCTGTACTCACGGTTTGCTTTCGCTGGCGCCGTCTGCTGTGCTGTCACTCACGGTGCTTTCACTCCCGTTGATGTGTAAGCGCACCCTTCTCACGTCCATCTCGAGCGAGAAAAGACCGCGTGTTGCGCATCTCCAATTTTCCACCATCGGACGTCTCGCTAACTGGGATCTCTCACAGCGTCAAAACCCGCATCCAACTCGATCCCGCCAAATACAATCGCGGCCTCATCGGTGGGTTCCGTCAAGTCATTGGAGCCGAGGGTTTCGGAGCCGTCTGGACTGGTGTCGGCCCGACCTTCGCTGGATATTTCCTTCAGGGCTCGTTGAAGTTTGGAGGATACGAATTCTTCAAGCAACAATGGATCAACCAACTTGGATTGGAGACCGCATCCAACAACCGAACCGCCGTCTACCTCGCCTCGGCGGCCACCGCTGAGTTCTTCGCCGACATTGCTCTGTGCCCTCTGGAAGCCACCCGTATCCGTATGGTCTCCGAACCGGGTTTCGCCAACGGTTTGGTCGGTGGTTTCAGCAAGATCTTGAAGAATGAAGGTATCGGTGCTTTCTACTCGGGCTTCGGTCCCATCCTCTTCAAACAGTCAGTCCATTTCCCATTCCTGCCTCCATGTTCCGATGATTCTAACACCCAACAGGGTCCCCTACACAATGGCCAAATTCGTCGTTTTCGAGAAAGTCTCCGAGGCGATCTTCAACGTTTATGACAAGAACAGCATGTCTGGTGGCCAGCAGACGACCGCCAATCTTGGCGCTGGTCTCATCGCTGGTTTCGCCGCCGCGCTCATCTCCCAACCCGCCGATACCATGCTCAGCAAGATCAACAAGTCCAAGGGCCTTCCCGGTGAGGGCACCATGAGCCGACTCGTCAAGATTGGACGTGAGCTTGGTATCCGTGGATCGTATGCCGGTATCGGTGCTCGTCTGTTCATGGTTGGTGGTCTGACTGCTGGACAATTCGCCATCTACGGTGACATCAAGAAGGTATGTACTCTATGTCTGTAACCGTTTGACACTCAACTCACTGTCTGTTAGGCCCTCGGAGCGACCGGTGGTGTCGAAATCGCGAAATAGATTGGAAACCTGCACATTAGACTCGTTCGAGCGCGTGACTAAAAGCGCTCCTTAAAAGTATCCAGCGTGGGATATCAGATGAGCATCATCCGAACATAGATTCTCTCCCAAAATTTCCGCTCTGATGTCCATTCGGGGGTTTCTCCGAACTCGCTGGACAGTTTTTAATAGACAGCGTTTGTGGCATGGCATATTTGCGGGTTCTGTAATTGTACGGCTTTCATTTAGTAGAGAGAGGGTTGGCTGGGAAATGCAATGTTGAATCGTCCAGGCCATGTGGCATCTGTTGAAGTGTGTGGATCGTTCTTGAGTCTTCGTCCGAATGACCAGTGGGTTAGAGTTCCGATACCCAACAATATTCAGGACACCAGAGTCTTTTCAATATGCATATATTTATGGTTCAATCATCTCGTGCAACCTGTGCCGCTGGATGAACCGCAATCGGCAGCAGTGCTGTGATACTTCCAAAACTTTATACTGAACACCACCATGGATCGAAGTGGCAACCACTAACGCTTACATGTAAACCATGGTACAAGCAGGACCTTTCGAGGGTTCAACGACTCTAAGGGACGACAGGGGCGCCGGAGACGATTTCGCGGGATTCCGGTGCCGCGGTCCCGCATTACTACTTCCATCCCCGGGGAGCTGCTGATGGGTCATCTGCCCCAACCTCTGTTACGACAACTGTGATTATCGACACGTTTGGAATTTTGTTAAGGTATTCACGTACTTGCGAAGCGCTTGACTCAGAACTGTCACGCGCTCCCTCATCAGTGTGATAAAGTTCTTGCGCGCGCATCCGCCAGCTCTCCAGCTCTCTATTCCTCGTTCGCGCTTAAGTCCGATCTTACCCCTCCTCGCACCCTCCAACGACGCAATCATCTTGACCATCATGTCGAACCAAGACTACTACAGCCAACAAGGCGCCGGCTATGGAGGATATAACTCGCCTCCTCCTCAGCAAGGGCAATATGGTGCTCCTCCGCATCAGGAACATCCGCCGCAAGGGCAATATGGTGGCTATCCCCCACCTCAGGATGCCGGCTATGGCCATAGTGGCTCTCCAGCCCCAGGCGCTTACGGCGCTGCTCCTCAACAAGGAGGGTATCCTCCAGCGGGATACAATCCTTCGCACGGTCAACCTCCACACGGTCAATCTCCATACGAGCAGCGAGAGGGTTACCCTCCACAGCATCATCAAGGCGCGCCTGGCGGCTACGCACCAGGACCAGGCCCATACGACCAGCACCAACAGGGGCAGTATGGTGGGCACTCAGGCCAACCCCCTCCACAAGGTCAAGGTGGACCTGAGGGCGATCGTGGACTTGGTGCCACCCTACTAGGCGGAGCAGCTGGTGCATACGGTGGTCATAAACTCGCAGGTGGAGGGTTAGGAACCATCGGAGGAGCCATCGCTGGAGCGATTGGCGCCAATGCATTGGAGGGTAAGCACAAGTAAGTCCCTCATGATAGTGATATCCCTAGGATATTGTGGATGGACGCTGACGAATCTGGGAATAGGAAACATAAGAAGAACAAGAAGGACAAGAAGCACAAGAAAGACAAACATGGTTCAAAATATGCAGGCTCCGCAGCGGTCGGTGGGCTGTATGGTGGCCATCATGGGCATCATCGCAGTAACAGTAGCAGCAGCTCGTCGTCTTCCTCTAGCAGTTCTTCTTAAGGTGGCCCTCCAAGGTGTATCAGATTCTTTGTTTCTCTTTACTTGTATCCTAGTTACGCTCAGCTGGACTGTGACGTCTCTGGACGTGGATCAACCGTGTTTAAGTGTTTTTGGGCGGTCATGACAAGTCACAATTTTCCATATCCCCAAGAAGGCGACGATATTTGATTCTAGGAAGACATGAGAATGTCCGAGTGTTATCTTCTCTATTGGTTTCACCGAATGACTTGTGGTAGTAAATATATTAGATATCAATACTTGGCTGACATGACTCGATCACTGGCTCCATGGTGTATTGAATTAAGTTTTCCAAAGTTTCGTACCATATCGTTAGAGAGCCCTCGTTGTTGATATCAAGCGGTAATCTGGATCATGGTCGTGGTTCCATCGAATAGTTGTCGAAATTTGGTGGCCGAATGATTGAAGCTGTGCATAGGCTAGATCTTTGGGAGCTGGATTCCATGTGGAGTTGACGGACCAACCTTCAAGGCAGTTAGGGAAAAAAAATCTCACGCTGCCATTGTAGCTGTCAATCTCTACATCAGTTCCAAGTTACATCCTCAAAATCTTTCGAAAATTCTACGAATCTATATGTGTAGTGGCGAATATTGATGGGTGTTGATGAGGATCGATTGTTCGCAAAATTTTCCACAACGCCGAAAACTGCTGCTCCATGCAGGTCCTTACAAGTACACTCCTTCGAATTTGAATACCAAACATGGATATACTCTTGGAGTATTTCGAGTCTTGTCTCCCATCCGATTTAAAAGATGCTCTTGTCGACGAACTTCATGCTATTAAGCAGGGAGACTTTTCATATCTTCTTCAACACCCGGTCACCCAACTCATCGTGGGGCGAACTGGCGATGGACGTCTGAAGGAAGCATCGGATGAAGATTACGATGTCTGGAGCGATTTCATCTTCGATCGTCTGGGCGTTATCCTAAGCAAAAGAGCAGACTCAAACGGCGGTATTACTGAATCTCCTGCATACTACCAACATCTCGTTTCTCTGGTTGGGCTTGCAGCGCTTTATGCGTTCATCCAGTCAAATGTCACCGGTCCTCCTCTTCAAATTTCACCTCAGGATGTTTTATTTCCCTCTAAAGTCATACAAAACCGTTCGACGGAATCCACCTTCCGTCGTGGGCTCTTGTCATCGCTCACTGCGGACGGAATTGGTGCATATCAGCTTGCGAACAACGTCGAGCTTTTCTGTCTGGCGGACACGATTTTTACTTGCCCACCCCTCGGGAAAAATATCAAGGCCGCAAAATGGATCAAACTCAGGGTCGACTTTCTGCATCAGCGTATGCTATCAGAGATTGCACCATCTCTTGAAGACGCCATCTACGCCTCGTTGGTTGAGCTAGAGCCCATGGTTCTCCAGGACTCCAAAGATGACGGTGTCCTGTATACCAACTTCCTTCTAGAAAGGGCCACAATCCACACCCACCATGGTATGGACAAGAAAGCCCACAGCGACATAACTCAAGCAGTCAAGGAGCGACAGTTCGAGTTTGCAATTACCGGACGCCTTGGGAAACGAACAAAGTTCCAAGAGAACGATCTCAGCCAGCTTGTGGTTCTAGCACGCAGCAGATCCGAAGATCACGATGATACGACTGCCCCGGACCGGAGTACCGGACGAGATACGGTCACTCGCAACATCGCTCCTGAAAATGTCGACCTAAATGACGATACCATCCTAGATTCCATATCTTTCACACCTGCTGCTAGTTCTGGACCAGAAGCAACCAAAGGAACAATCATTAAAGATCCAAACAGCATACCTCCGAAATTGGCGGACATCGACCCATCTTCGCAGCCATTACTTCACCCACTTGACAGCATAATCCTTCTATCCACAGCATCCTCGATTACCAACACAAATCCTGCGGATGGTCTTACGCGAGAAGAAACAGCCCCTTACGCAACTCGCGTGCTTGATGGTGGAAGCTCAAATTGGCAAGTGTACACGCAAGGACTTCTTGTGCGGAGTCGGATCGAAGGCTATCGCTCTAGAACGACAGAACGTGGTCTCCTCCAACTTCAGGCCCTAGTCGACCAGATCATCGTTGAAACATCTGGAACACATTCGGATGGCGAGAAAGACGATAAAGGGGCAACCTCGGGGCAAGATCAAAGCGTTCCCCTACCCACGATTGAAATTAGTGGTCCAAATGGAACGACTTCTACCTCATCGGACTCAAAGCCGGCAACTTTCCTTCCAGCGCCAAAGCCCACCGAATCCGCCCCAGTCATGGAACGTCTCCAATACGTTTTCCAGCTGAGCTCGCCCTATCGATGGAACCTTGAGTCGGAATTGGCTGCCAGGTGGGTCGGCATTGGTGGTCTACGTACTGCATTAGAAATCTATGAACGACTTCAGATGTGGGCTGAGGCTGCACTTTGCTGGGCGGCAACGGAGCGAGAGGACAAGGCAATAAAGATTGTGCGCCGTCAATTGTATCATGCAACCGACGAGAGGTCCGAGGAAGAGGCAGCGAGCGACGACTTGGAAACATGGGAAGGGTCAGAAAGAGATCCTTTGCCGTCCGATGCAGCAAGACTTTTCTGCATTCTCGGGGACATTGATATGTCTCCTATATACTTTGACCGTGCGTGGGAGGTCAGCTCCCATCGATATGCTCGTGCGAAAAGGAGCTTGGGGCGCTACTTTTATGCACGCAAAGATTTCCAAAGCGCAGCCGATGCCTACGAGGCCAGTGTTAAGGTCGCTCAACTCCATCATGGCTCTTGGTTCAACCTTGGATGCTCGTATTTGGAACTACAAAATTGGACGCGAGCAATCGATTGCTTTAGCAGGACGGTCCAGCTCGATGATCAGGATGCAGAGTCGTGGAGCAATCTTGCCGCGGCTCTTATCCGTCTCGACCCAAAGCAAGCTATCGAATCAGCACCACAAGTTCCAGAGGTCCCATTGGAAGATGAAGATCTTCACGAAAGCTCTTCATCCCTCCCCGCACAACCGACATCACAGTCGAATCGAATCCATGCGTTATCCGCCTTACAACACGCAGCACGTCTCAAGCCACACGACTATCATATCTGGTCCAACATCATGGCCATTGCTTTGTCTCTGGCTGACCCTCCTTACGCCACGATGTTGACGTGTCTTCGTCGTTTAGTCGACCTACAGTCCCAAAGCCTTGGTGAGAATGCCATTGATGCCGAAGCTCTTGCGGTCCTTATCAGCCATATCACTTCGACCATTGATTCTCCTGTGGATGCGAACCTCCGTGGACTCCCACGTCTCCTGTCCGAGCTCATTGAATCGAAACTGATCCCGTTGATAACGTCATCAGCCGAGCTGTGGGCTCTCATCGCTCGATTTCGTATCTGGGAACGGCGCCCAGCCGCTGCTCTAGATGCTCAAGAGAAAGCGTGGCGTTGTACCTTGAATACTTCAGGTTGGGAATCTGGTGATGAGAAACATTGGGGACGGGTTGTGGATTCCACAATAGATTTGGCACAGGCATATGAGAGTCTAGGTCCGCAAACACATGAGGACCAAATTGGGACCGTAGTCCTCGATGGATGGAAGTTCAAGGCCAGAAGCGCGCTCAGGAGTGTGATGGGCAAAGGAAAGGAGAGCTGGGATGGATCAGACGACTATAACAGGCTCAAGGAAGAATTGGACGGATTACGGAGTTAAATCCTCTATCAAGAAAGGAATGCAAACCAAATGGACACAAAAGCTCAAACCTGTAACCATGATCTAACGGCCAGGGGCTTTTCGCGCTAAATACAATAGCATGTACATGACTGATCAGACTTTATCTGTCAAACTTGGACTGCATTCGTGTTTCTCCCCACTTGGCTTCCATGAACCATCTTCCTTTCCATTGATGACCAGCGCTCCTGCGCCTCCCTCGACTCCAAAATAGTCCACATCATCCGAAATTCCAACTCCTTTTATAGGCGCCACCTTGTACAGAATGTAGTAGGTAAGCAACGAAATAAGAGTTCCCAGAGGCCAAGACATGTAATACATATTGGACCACCCAGGCAAAGCTTCACCTCCCTGAACCTGTCTGACAAAGCCAGGCAGCGTTATCCAAACTCCAGATGTCCATGCCACGAAGGCACGCCAGTTCAAGCCGTTTCGATAGTAGTAGATGCTGGATGGCTCGATGGTATAGAGATCAGACAATTTCAAGACTCTTCTTCGGACAAGGAAGTAATCGGAGAACATAACTCCAGTCATGGGCCCAATGAAAACTCCATAACCGCCGAGCACGACTAGGAACTTGTTCGCGCCATTATTGAGCAGTTGCCACGGTTGCGTAATGAACGAAACAGCGGCTAGGAAGAGCATTCCACGACGAATGGTGAAATATCGAGGAAGCAGGGAGGCGATGTCCATTCCCCCTGAAAGACCGTTGTTCGCCACCACCATCCCAAACTGTGCGACCATGAATGCAAAACTCGAAAAGGCGACCGCTGCTCGTGCACCAGATGAGTCGTGGTAGTGAAGCTGAAGGGCATCTAGAAGTCGATATGGCTCCCACAGCAAGGTCCCTGCCTGCTCAGGGAACAGTTTTGCCGCGCAAGATGTGCATATAATGCCAATCAGCGCAGTGACGATGGTTCCCAGCGGAACCATTACCAACTGCGCAAGGATCTGATCTTTCGGGCGCCGGGCAAATCGAGTGTAATCGGACTGAACGAAGATGTGAACACTAATGCTCGAAATATTGGTGCAAATCCCTAAAATGAGCATCCAGGCGAGATGTGACCCCTCGGCTTGACGGACGCCAGCCAGAGAGCTAACATCATGCAAGAGATCGCCACCACCTTTCGCCGAAGCTGTGAACCACACCAACAAGGCAAAAATGGTCGGAATGATGCAAGCGCAGCTGATAAGGAACGGAACCTTGTACTTTTCTGGCGCAATCCATATGAGTGGTAGATAGAGGATCGTAAAAATTATGAACGCAGTGAAATCTCCAGTGGTGAGAGTCCCACCAGCCAAAGACTTATCCAGATTCCGGAAAGACGGGGCCAGGGCCGTAAGGAAAGTCCTAAGACACTGGCCGCCCCAGTATACCTGCGTAGAGAACCAGATACAGGCCAGGAAGAATCGTTGTAGGACCACGAAAACGGATCCCCGAACACCCCAGGAGGCTCGTTGTATGATCGGAAATCCGATATGCCACTTCGCACCAGGGGCTCCACTGAGGACGCAAAGCACGCCGACAATGACATTCCCAATGATCACAGTGAGCATGCACTGCCATACGGAAAGTCCTAAGGCGAGAATTGAGCTTCCTGTGGTCCAACCGCCAATGTTGAACGATCCTACGCGCGGAATCAGTAACCGGCAATCACATTATTACTGGATATACACATACCTGTTATTACCCAGAGGGTAACGAATTGCCATGGTCCGTATGTCCTGCGATGTGGAGGAAGCGGTCGGGTGTCATCATTCAACGATCCACTGCCTGGAGCTCCGTCTTTGGATGACTGGACCTCGACCCGGCGTAAAGCATCTTTCAAGAATGCCATGGAGGTTGTGGAAGTGGATAAAGGAGCTTATGAATACTTGCTGAAAACCAGCTACTTGATGATGATCTGCGATTCTCATGGGTTAGGTCGGCCATATATACAAGCTACTTTCCTATTGACCGCGTTGTTTGCTTGACATTCTATCTTATCAACATCCTCACCTAGCGTCATTGTGGGCCTGCCACGTTCCGGTGGCGGGGTTTGGCCAGATATGGATACGATATTCCAGGTGAAGCCAGGGACTCGACATCAGGCTTTGCCCGTTTGAAATCCCACTGTTACAATGAATGACCCACCTGGAGAGTTGATCGTTCATAAGTTCAGCCTCGAGAACCAATCACGCAATATCATTTCGATGGAGATGAGAGGAGGTGCTCAGGAGCTTATCCTTGAGCAGAAGTCATCGTTGTGTGGAGTGCGGAGATGATACTGGCGGAATATTGTACGCCAACGGAATACCTGGGAGACCAGGTCGTATCCCTAGGGTCTGGACCCGTCTTTCGCATTGCATTCAACTCAAGGTTCCTCGGGAACCAGCGAAGGAAGCCCTTCGCTGTTGATGGTTTAACCGCTTGTAGCCAATAACTCACTCTGCTCGATCGCTGGAGTCGCAGCGAGGATGCTGGGGCTCCAGGATGGTCGAGGTACGGATAACGGAGGACGTCGGACGATCTCTGATGGGCGATCTGGTGAGGGAGACTTTGGCTTTGACTCTTGGCCCATCCCTGTAGAATGATGGAATTAGCGCGAGATATGCTGAACGGCTAACTTGAAGAAGGATAGAACCATGATTCTTTATCTTTGGAGAGCATAATGTTAATCAAGGCAACGAGTAAGAGTTTCCAAAACCAAAAGAGTGAAGATATGCTTAAATAACCTTTACTCTATGGGTGATCTAGCCGCTGCTATTCCGGATCCAGACCGTTTATCCATTCAAGCGCATCGAAATGCGGATGAAATAGCTGCAATATAGAATGTGGATTGGTCGTAATCCATTATCGAGGTGTCCAAGTAATATATCTTGACCTGATATCCATCTCGGTTTAGAGAATCTATTCGCTGGATACCAAATGACAAGTCTCCTACATCATCCATGGCTTCAACGATATCAGAGATGGAAACGCCGAAGGTGATTCATCTCACCAATGGAAATGTCGTAACAATCAAGTCGAATACATCCACCACTTTGCAATCCATTCCTTTGATTAACGTTGAAAAAATGCATAGTCCAAATCTGAAGGATCGACAAGCGGTGGCTGAGGAAATTCGAGCAGCATCTCACGAGATTGGGTTTTTTCTTATCACCAATCATGTACGTCCGTAGATCGACTATGAATGAATCGGGGAACTAACTTTTCCGTAGGGTGTTGATATGAACCTAGCCTCTGGTGTTCTGGATCAAGCCAAGCAGTTCTTTGCGCTGCCAAAGGACAAAAAAATGGAGGTCTACACAGGGCGCATGCCAAGTGAATTTTGTGGCTACCATCCAATGCAGGAGTATAACATCAACGGCTCCAAATTAAAAGGTATATTATCTTGGGCGGCACGAGAAGTATCCACAGAGCCTAACAAAATGATAGATCTCCACGAGGCTTACAACTGGAACTATGATGCTTCCAAAGACCCCGGGGCGTTAGATCCGAATCTACCCTCCATCAATCTTTGGCCCTCTGGTATGCCCGAGTTCCAGGAGAAACTTTGCGCATATCAGACCTCTCTCATCAAGCTCGCACGGCAGTTGACTCGTATCTTTGCTCTTGCGCTTTATCTTCCCGAAACCGCTTTTGATGACTGCGTCAGAGTCCCGGAAGCGGGGATGAGAATCCTTCATTACCCAGCGCAAACTGCTGCTCGAGCAGACCAGAATGGCATAGGTGCTCACACTGACGTCGAAACATTTACCATCATCACACAAGACAGTCCTGGACTGGAGGTCCTGAGCAAGTCCGGTCAGTGGATCCAAATTCAACCCGTACCCGGCTCTTTTGTAGTCAATATTGCGGACTGTTTCATGCGACAGACGAACGATTTCTTTGTGAGCACTGTCCATCGCGTCATCAATCAGAGCGGAAATGAGCGGTATTCCGCGCCATTCTTCTGGGGCTTCAATCGGCAATGCCTGCTTACCCCGATCGAGACTTGTGTCAGTGAGGAAAATCCATCGAAGTACCCGCTCATGACTGCCGGGGAGTACTACGAGTGGAGAACGCGACGTCAGAAGAAGGAATGGAAGGATGGGCCACAGAAGTGACTGGATACAACATTATGAGGATGCATTTTTGACCTTGCTTAAACCCCGAATCGCTGCAAGCGTCGAGCGAGGAGTTGGAAATTCTTCTGTCTTTCTAATGGCAAATTATGCAGCACCCTTGCATTCGATACTGTACACCTACCGACAAGGCTATAGTGAGAGCAATGCTTCTATAGGGCTTAGTTATGATTGATGGATGCGACGGAGTCTAGCCATTCGTCAAGCCATGGTGTATCATCTCTCCAGTCTAGTATCATTTCACTGTGCTCGGGAGCTTGCGAATCGCCGAAGAAATTCACGGGCGGTCCGGAGGTTGGGAATGTATGCGCAGTTGATTGATCAATCAGCCCAGATATCCGGTTAACACACTCCCGCAGCCGTGCACTTGCGCGTATTGCGTACGGCAAATCTGTATGAAGGCTTTCGAGGAATTCTGCCATGCAAAGTCTTTCTGTGGTTAGTGTGGGAACATCCATTGTGATACATTAGACATACATAACATCTCTAAGGTCCTGGTAATCGGACATCGGCAACTCCTTTCCAATGAAGTGGCTCAATATGTGACCAAAACCCGAGATTTCTTGGACCTATCGGGAATAAGTAACGATCATCAGCATTTAGGAACCAGGGTTATACCGCTGCTAAACTCATGGCCCTAAGATACTCCAAAGGGATTGAAGAGATCTGTTCTATTAGGTCCAACGCTGTCCGACAGGCTTGATGAAATGTCGCCTTGTTGCTTGTATAACACACCATCCGGACGAGCTTCATATGTTAGCGGACCTCCTCGAAAGGGCGCAGGGTCATACTTGATAGGTACAGACAATATTCGCCGCCTGAAAACCACAACGATTCGCATTCACATTAGACGTAAGAGGAGGTGCAGTTTTGAACCTTGTTGGGAGATTCTCAAAAGCTTCTGTCAACGGTTGTAGAATCCTCTCGTTTAAGTCAAAATCAAGCAGAAATGACGTTGAGAGAAAGCCTTTGCGCTGGCTTTGGTAACCTGGCATTCCATGTAGTCTGAATTTCGTCAGGACATGTTCAAGACCTCGGTATAAATCTGTTACGAAATTCCAACCACTGAGCCATTCCGATTCTGTGGTTGATCTTGCATCCTGTTGGTCTGCCAGAGACGGATATGACACCATGGATTGAATTTCCGGGCAGCGAATTGCATGTCCCATAACCAATGCCATGTGAACCTCTAGACGGTAGAGGTGCCAATATAATCGGCGGTATTCTTCCTTTTCAATCGCTGACAAAGCTGGCGGCCAACGCCTCTCATCGTAAAGATTTTGATCCGCAATTGCAGCATGGTAATATCCTAATTGACACTGGAGTAAGGAACCATTGCCAATCTCCAGAGCTGTCATGCATAACAGTCCGAGCGCTTGAAGGGATTCCTTATCTCGAGGCACTGGGGACGTCGATTGAGTCGTTCTTAGTGCTTCATCAAGGTAGAAGTCAGGGTCAACATTCTGGGAAACATCCAAGGCCGAGGGTTCGATTCCATATTTGATTCGAAATGCACTGAGCGCACACATGGCCATTAGAAGAGCATACGATGACGGCGAATTTGGGAGCTGCCCGTTGGTCCATTGGTCCATGAATGAGTCCTCGTGGACATAATTGACGCTTATATCCGTTAAACCCTGGTGCTTCTGCTGTGTACTCGATTTGTCGACTTACATTGGATAGACAAAGTCAAAAAAGGATCGGATCAAAGTGGTCAGAAGCGCTCTCGATCCATGTTTGCTAGGATCCAAAGCCCATATTGGGCCAAATTGGGCGTGTTGTCGAGGCTTTGGTCCACGTTTTGACGGAATTCGGTTCCGTGTACAGACTATCCCAGCATCAATGCAGGTTCTGCATGGTGTTCGGTCGTCCTGTGCCCGACAGCGCCGTCCTCGACGATGACATGAATCGCATGCTTTCGTGATACGCGTTCCTTTGCGTTCTCCATTCGGTGTTAGATTATCAACCATTTGGTTGGACTCGAGAGGTTCGTGTACGTGTCACCTCGCCGTGCTATCAACCATAAACCTTGTGGTGATTCGAGCGCTGTACTGTGATACCAGCAAGTACTTAATACTCTAACGTTCGTCCACCTCGGATGGTCATCCTGGGATGATTCTGCTACTCTAATGGCACCAGAGCTCCTACGGTTCCTCGCTAGTTGGTGGACCGATACCAGGCTCCGAGCGCTAGCCCAGTATTCCGTAACCACTTGCCGCCTGGAATCTTAATGAAATGAGCGGGGTCGGAGTCTGTCCGCGGGGGTTGGGATGATGCAATTCGACTATTCGATTTTATCTGTCCTCCAAGTGCAAGTACTTAATAACTTCATACCCCCAAATCCGACTCTACCTCAATTTATTAGAATATTTATTACTAGAGTCATCAATCTATCTTCACTATGGCTGTACCCTCGTCCTACAAGACTAAAGACATGGTCTTTCGTCATCTTGGTCCTACTGGTCTCAAGGTCTCCATCTTCTCTTTGGGAGGATGGCTCACATACGGAGGAACACAGAAAGGAGATATCGTAAAGGAATGTCTCCAGGCAGCTTGGGACAATGGCATCAACTTCTTCGATACGGCCGAGGTCTACTCTAACGGACAGTGCGAGGTTGAAATGGGTCGTGCTTTGAAAGAGTTGGGCTGGCCAAGAGACGAATATGTACTGTACTCCGATTCGATACCTTTGCATACCTAACTAAGTCCTTCAGGTTCTTTCCACTAAAGTCTTTTTTGGGACAGGCCGCGAAGAACCGAATACTCGCGGCTTATCACGCAAGCACGTCGTGGAAGGACTCAAAAGCTCGTTGCAACGACTTCAGCAACCATACGTCGATATCGTCCTCGCACACAGGCCAGATGCTGCGTATGTTCAATGCTTGGCTCTTTCGTTGCTATATGATTAACAAGTTCCAGAACTCCCATGAAAGAGATCGTGGAAGGCTTCACGCAGTCCATCCGTAACCTCAATCTCGCTTACTACTGGGGCACGTCCGAATGGTCGGCCACTCAGATCACGGAGGCAACCCTGATCGCGGAAAAATACAATTTGATTGCGCCAATTGCAGAGCAGCCGCAATATAATTGCTTCCATCGCGAGAGATTCGAAGTTGAATACGCTCCGATCTTTGACCAGTTCAGCTACGGGACGACCATATGGAGTCCACTTGCATCGGGTCTGCTCACTGGAAAGTACAACAACGGAGTACCGCAGGATAGCCGATATGCGACGAACAAGACGGTATTCGCCAACAACGTTAAAGAACTCGAATCACCCGAAGGCAAAGCGAAAATCGAAAAAGTGAAGAAGCTTACCGCTGTGGCAGAACGTCTGGGGGGAACTGCTGGTCAATTAGCACTCGCCTGGTGCGCAGCGAATCCCAATGTCAGCACCGTCATTCTAGGCGCGACGAAAGTGGAACAGATCCATGATAACTGCAAAGCACTGAAGCTGTTGCCAAAGCTGACGCCGGAGGTCTTGGAAGAGATCGAGGGGATTTTGGACAACAAGCCAAAAGAGGCCCCCAAATATGGGCGTTCGAGGTAGGTCTTTCTGCCTCGATCATGCTGGGCCGAGTGCCCAGTGAGGAGGGAGACCATCTACAGAAATAGAGCCGTACAGCTAATCGGGTTTTAGACTACCAAGCAAGCCCAAGCATTCACGAACCAAACTGTAACTAGAAATACCAATCAAGTCTGCTGCCGTGCAGCTGGCTCAGATCCACATCTAGAGATTTGAATTTCTCCCCTATTTGTGACATTCATCTAGTGGAAGAAATTGGTGGCGTGACGCGTATCCTCCTGTTCGAAATTTCTTTAATTATATCTAATGCATCTTTGTTCCGGGAGAGATATATAATGGATTCCTTCAGGCTTAATCTAGACATTCCAGCTCCAACCCGCCGGGGCATGCGTCAATCTCACTGGGCCATCGCTCTCGCCCACCTTGGATAGTCATATCGTTCAAGCCTTTTCTGTTATCTCCTCACTGGTTCGAGTGCCAGGAAATTGAAGGATGTCACTGGAAAACTGAAGGGCTTTGTGCCGAAATTGACCCTCTCTGAATGCCCAGGTACTGAGCAACACGCTTCGAATCCAGGAATCTACTCGCTTTTCGCGTGATGGGATCATAAAATCCCGGATCGGGTGCATGTACGTATCAATCTTTTGTACCCAAAAATTCGGATCGAATATATCCATGGCGGAACCAGGCAATGGACAACCCCCAAAATCGGCTCCAAAAAGATGGAATAAGATGACAGTAACAACAGCGGGAACAAGAGAGGGGCGTATGGTAATGTTGGACTTCGTTAGGTCTGCATCAGTCCGCATGGTCTTAAAGTTTTCTTTGACCAGATCCAACGGACTCATATCGCCACAACTTCGATCGTATTCGGCTCCGGTAGCGAGCAAAAGTCGTAAGACGTTCAAATGGCCTTGATCGGGACCATTCCTAGCTCGCAGAAGCTGTCGGAGACAAATGCATAAGCAACGGGAATCTGCCATTCCTAGGGTGGAATCAAGAAGATCCCGGATCCCATCACTGTCTCCTAAAGCACACATGAGATGGAGAACGGATTCGCACTGTGGCTCGGTCTGGAGGATCCAGATGGCGTTCTCACAAACGACGGCTGTGTGAGACTCCGGGGAAATCCACCGTTGGAGGAGTTCGGTGGCTTTCATTGTGTTTCGAGTCATTAACAAGCCATCCAGTGCCCGCTGCCTTCCGGCCTCAGTATGCAGTATAGTCGAAAAGGTATTTCGGTCTCCTGGTATAGGCTTTTCGGACATTCGGTTTTCCGAAGTTCGATGTGCTTGGGTCTTCTCATTGAGGGATGCCCCTGACGAGCTAGGAAGCGGCATTTCTTTCGGGCCCCCTCTCAAGTCGTTGCCGATCATCGATGCAAACGTATCGCGATACACCCGTGACCCCATAACTTCGGCGTCAAAGTCAAAGGTTACGTTATGATCCAAGCAGTTGCTCGCACGAGTACCAGTTGTTTTCTCCGTGAGGCAGGATTCATCGTCCATCAACCATCGAAGGGAAGACGAAGTGTCCTGCGCTTTTTTGATGCTTTCCCGCATGTCTGCGCTTGTTAACATCGCTCTCCGATCCGCTCTAGATGGCCTGTCTGCGTTAGCGGTTGCATTGCAGTGGCGTTCTCGAACTCACAACTGAAAGCACTGCAGCATCAGATTCAGGCTTTGGACTTGATTCCGAAGGAGTTCTTGCAGCTCTTTTATGTCATCCTCCTCCCAGAGAGTCTTGATTTTTGCCTGTAGATCGATGGAGCCCAGTCTGTCAACCCTTGACAGCGCTTTGGATGCGTGCTCTTGAAGCAGAAGGATCAGCGTATCGCATGCTTCAAGCACAGCCCCAAGGTCCACAGCGGGCTCTTCATTGCGACCAAAGTCCTCGGGGGAATCCTTCAGCCACTCCGAGATATTGGCTGTCGCTGTTTTCAAAGCCCTCACCTGTGTTTCCAAGAGCTGCATCCGTACATCGACGGACTGGAGCCGGGTGCGAAGGGAGTGCAATTGATGTACTAGTCGCGAGGCACCACCCGCGATGGTCACACAGGTGGTGACGAGTCCGAATATTGAACATGGATCCATCGAAGTCGGAATCTTCGCTGCCGTCTGTTCCGGATTGGAGAGTTCAGAGTGCTCCCTTCCAACTCTCAAATTTACCTTCCGGCTGATTTGTCGGAATATTTGAAGGAAGACTTTCAAAAGGCATCCGCCTGTGGCTTAAACTCAGATCGGCGCCAGTGGTGGCAGTGCTGGATAGTGGCCTGGATGAGAAACCATGTCGACGCATGGCGAGCCGGGATTGTCATCATCGACCTTCCAAAAACGAATAGCAACGAAGGACTTCTATGACCAATCATGTTGAATGCTGTGTAGGCCAACCTTGAAAGGACCCGCTCGCTGGTGGACTGTGTCGCCGACTCGTGGAGAACTCGCCTCGACCCATAGGGCGAAGCTGAAGAGGATAGCGATATCAAACATGATGAATCCATCACGGACATGCCTTGACTGCACTTTGCACTCAACAGGTAAAACGACTTGAAACATGCATACCTTACTCTGTGCTCAGTGCTATATTCTAGTTAAAATAAAGTACATCCAGGCCTTTACGGTTTCTTGAATCTTCCAGCCCAGACGCGTGGACGTGTGGACGCGTGGTGACTTGAGTCAACTGCAGTGAAGGGATTAGGGATAAGGGATCAGGGATGAGGGATGGAGCTGTCACGTGCACAGGCCTCCCACATCCACTATCAAACCAGACCGATGAAACATCCACGAAACTCGACAACACCAAAATGTAAACAACCTGGAAGGGCGGAATAAACTGGACTGTATGACGAACCAACGGAATGAAACGAATGAATTAGTTGGATGTTGAACTTCGCGCTTCTCGATCCGATTGAAAGAATCCCACCCACATCTTCCCTCTCATCCATCAATAAGCTAGCACAACAACACCAGTAACATTGGGTGTCGCCAAATACAACCATGTCGGGGACAAAGCAGATGGAGGTTGCTATGCTTACGGAGCACCTTCGGTACACTCCAATTGTAAGAGATTCCAAAGGCACGGTACGATAGACCCTAACAGCAATCAGACTCTCCTTGACGATATCATCAACACCGTGAATGAACTGGTCAACAGAGCCATCGATGCTGCTGAAGAAGGCCTTCTAGCAGCCCTACCGACCGACCTAGGCTTTTCAGATAGCCCCGAAATCGTGGCGAAAGGCAGCGATAGCCCAATTCAATCCCAGGCTGAGATAGAGGACGGTTCTCATAAGCTCGAGACTCTGGTCCAGGCCAACGTCGACAAGAACTTCGATAAACTGGAGCTTTTTGTTCTTCAGAATATCTTAACCGTCCCAAAAGACTTGGTACCGTGGATACAACTTCCACACTATGAAGTAGGTGTGCAAAGTCCTTCGTTCCTAGCAAGAGGCTGATGCGTGCAGGATATCGAAATTGTCGAAGATTCCAGCAGGTCGGCCGAGTCCACCTTAGCACTCATGCGCAAACTCCGAGAAACGAAAAAGTTGCATTCCCTGCTATCTACTGAGCTCACTCGGAATGCTGCATTGACCTCGAACCTTCAAGCCTTCCTCTCTTCTTCCGATGACTCTCATTTCCAATTGGGAAACCTTACGAATTCGCAAGCAGCTTCTGCCCTTGGTGTTTCCTTGACTCCCAATCCCCTAGCACCCCAAGGAACGGAATCTAGGAATCATATAAAATCGGGCCCCTTATCAACCCACTCATCGTTTGCTGTCGCTCAACTCCCACATCTCCGGACTCTGCTTGCCGGCTTGAAGCCAAACCTATCGGCAATTAACGAGCTTCCAAAATCTCAGATCGAACAGTCCGCAGATGTCCAACCGGGCGATGCCCAAGTCCGTCGAAATTATATTGAGGGTCGCGGTCGGCGGATTCTGGAGTCCGTCGGTGTACCCGACCTAATCGGAGGAAGTGGGCAAGCTTTGGGGCCGACAATAGACCCTGAGGAGGTTGAAGCCCTTGAAGGATGGATAGGAGAGAATGCAAAGGAGAAGCGCAACACTTGACGCATGAGTTGTTCGGTCGGCGGTCTCAATCATGTGGGAAATATCCACGAATTTCCTGCATTTCGAGACTGCCAACCAAAGCAAAGGCAGCAATTTAACAGATTGCTGGAAGGTGAGATCTATCACATATGCACGAATAAATACACGAAGGGCCGATTTAATTTCTCCTAGGGAAAGAAGAAATGCACTGGACTACAGCTTGGGAACGGAATTATTGGCCGGAAGCCAAAGAACGCGATCGGATTAATATGCAACTCTCTTGACGGAAGCACGCAAATTCTCCGGCAATTCATCCTCGCGGACAATCCCTAAAAGCAACATGTCGCCCCAGAAGAACATGGCGCGTTCTCGGGCATAGGACAAGTAATCGAACTCCTCCTCCTCCTCCGATTCAAGTCCTCCATCTTTCTCAACTGATCCTGATGCTTGATCCTTGTCGATCTCGTCTCCAGCCGCATCCCCTGGCTTGGAGTTATTTTCCTCTGGACCAGGAATTGTGGCTTGTACAACGCCCCAGGCCACCCATTGCGCCGAATTGGCTCCTCTCCAAATCATCGTCTCGTGCATCAATTTTTTGACTTCGAGATCGACGACCACGTCTCGATCGTCTACTTCCCCGAACGATTGGGACGATGATGTCGCAGGAGGCAATCGAAGACCTGCGGGAGATCGCGAGTCGGAGAGCAACAGGGAGAGCGACCCCGTCGAACCACTAATGCTTCCTGTCGTTTTGGAGGCCCCGATTGTCGGACGCTGGGCTGGTGCTGGCTGCTCCGCAAGACTCAGTGTCTCTGTGGTACTGGAATTTGGCGTCCCAGCCTCGGTGCTAGCATTAGACTGGTTGCTGTCCATGCGATACAGGGTGTTCGATCGGCTTCCTCCGAATTTTGGATGATGTTGAATGTAGGCTTTGATAAATCGAGCTTGTTCTTCAGGGGTGGGGTAGTATTTGGTATTACACGCGAAGGACGCCGTCGTCGAATGGTAATTATAGCACCACTCAGTGAAATGGTTCGCAAATTCTAGCCCTCGAACGTTGGCGTTGGCATACTCAAAGTCGATGACCACGAGTTGCCTATGCTCGTTTGCTGGAAGGAGCAAAGGCGACGACCCGGATGGTGCCAACCGTAAAATGTTGCCATATTGTGTCTAGAAATGTTAGCATCGGTGTCCTGGCGCAACAGATGGTCCATTGACATACATCATTGTGAGCAAATATCAACTCTTCCTTAACCTTTTCGACTCCCCCATACTGGTGATTAAGCCAATCTCGATATCTGTCCACGGTGTTCCGAAAAAGCGCCCATGGGACCCCGCAGACGAGAGGAGAGTCATCATTGCGTTTGATCGTCTCCCCATCTAGGAAACCGACAATCTTTTCACACCGTTGAACCCATTTGTCCCAATTTCTCCAAACAAATGGCCCGCCAGCAATCTCATTCGCTTCTAGCTCGATTCCCTCGTGTAGTTCCCTCATCCGTTTGGCGATCTGAATGCTTGTGCCAGGATCCCGGAAGTCTTTAGGGGTCAGGGGCTGCGCATGGAAATATTCCTCGAACCTGCCATTCGCAAACGTGCCTAGCAGCTTGGGCCCAATATTCTTCCTACCCAGTCTCCTCAAGATGGCTAATTCCACGTCCCTGTCAATGAGATGCTCCACTTGCGGTCCGTAGATTCGTAGGAGAAGTTTCTTTGGCGGTTTTCGGAGTTTGACCGACGATCCTTGTCCCTCTCGAGCTCCATCCGAGGAAAGTTGTTGCAAGAGCAAGTCTCTCGGAGGTGTAACGACGTAGACTGCATTTGTCAACGCCCCACTCAATCTTTCCACATCAATGTCCTTCGACAGATGTAAAGGAACGTGACGCCATCGTCTCAATCGCAACGTATGGGTCAGGCGGACAATCTCATACTTGAATATTGCCCATCCTTCTTTCTCTTGCAGAGACGTACGGCTAGCACTGCGTAGACCTGAGCCGTCATCGGCCTCACCCCCAGCATACGACAGTGTCTTGGAATTATCGAGTACCGCATCGCAAGAAGGAACAAGGGGATCGCTGTCAGCGTAGTCGGTATCTGATGAAACCGTCGAGGCTCGGGAAAGTCGCAATAACTTCCTTCTGGTAAGCGAGGTTCGACGGCTTAAGCCCCCGTCTACCGGTGGGATATGGGTAGAGCAGCGGTCCAGGATAGCTTGCAGTCGATCAAGAGCAGCAGATCCTTCGGAGGTGTCCGAGGTACGGCGACCACCGGACGCGGTAGCCTCATCATGAATAGGTGTTGCTGCGTTGCCCTTGAAATCTTTGACGTGCGATGTTCGTCCGTCCATGTGCCCTTCGGCAACCCGTTTGCTCTGCCTTGCTCTTCTTTGTCGGGCCCTTTCTGCCACCAACCATTCATGCACCTTAGCAGCGACGCTTTTGGATGTCTCGTCGTGAAATTGATTGTCCCGGTCGACTCCTCGAATTGGAAGCTGTTGGTCGAATGGCCGTAGACGAGGGGATGCCAAGCGTTCTTTAGACAGCCGTCCACTGAGGCGCCTAGTACCTAAGGTTGTGCTATACTGTTTTGTAGCAGGTTGGTCCAATGAGAAGTCTGCATCTGCGTCGAGATCTTTGGACTTCCCTAATATTAGAGGTGAAGGTTCGAGAATTGACACCGCTAGCGATATTAGTTAGACGAGTGGTCTTCTATGAAAGTATACCTGGGCAGAAATCAACGGCTACAACAAAACAATGGCTCCATTGTCGAGCGAGAGCGATCCAGTTGCCCGGAATTGCAATCACATCAAGCATATGGGACGAATCCAGCGAACCGGCTCTTCTCATGATCTCGCGATAACAAATATAAACCAAAGCTAGAGGAATCTTACTTTTCTGAGAAGCGCTCCGTGGTGACGCAGAATGGGTCGTTTCTGAAGGATTCTCCGGCATTTCGGTGGGTTGCAATCGGTTGACAAGACTCGAAATTTTCTATATCGCTGTCGTACATGTAGTACCAATCCGGAATAAATGACGCGACGCTGCCAATAAAAAGTCCCAGATGAAATGGTCTTCTGTCTTCAAGATTGAAGGCGAGGAATTAAGATATAAGCTGCTTCTCAGACTTAAAATAAGATCGGTCGCGCCTTGTCAAGACGTTGGCTTTATTATGAATAAGCTTCTTCCCGCCGTGTCTAACGCATTCCTGTTTGATGGACCTGCAACCTAGAGCAGCGTCTACAAGTTCGAGGCGGTGTGCAGGAACAGCTCAAGGCGGTTTGGAGGGTCAGAGGAGAAACGAGAAGGGAAAACCGAATTGGAATCTGGATGGTAGAAGGGATGGGAAAGACCCAAAAATAGACGGCGAAGTACTTTGGAAATCAGGATACTGCCGATAGGAGGAAGAAAGAAGATGGGAAATCCAAAAGATGAGATCATACAGCAACAGGACACATCCAGGATTCCGGCGCACCATCCGCCAAATACCTAATATTCGACGATGATGATCTGAATGGGTGGTAGAGAGAATCATGGGTCCATTTCCTAGCGCCCAAGAACCAGACGACTAGCATTAATACTAGTTTTTGAATTGGTATTGATTTTGTTAACGGCATTATTCTCGTCTACCTTATTCCGGGATTCCTTACTGTTCTAAACCATTACCGTAAATGACGGAAACAATGATTCCTCTCTCCCATGAGATACCTACCACAAGCCAAAGTTGCATGCTTACGATTTGTTTGATGAGCATAAATCGTAGCAAATGCCTAGGGTGCCTTTCCCAGTAGTCCACTTTACATCTAGAGTACGAACAGCACCAGTTAGGATACACGTAATTGACAAGCCTAGAAATCAAACGCCGCGTCCGGCGGCGTCCCTAACCATTGTTGTTGCCATTCATCCGACCATTTGCTCCGCTGGAGAGCCCCCGACGCCGCAGAAACAGTCTGGTCCTCAAAATTTATATCCATTCCCATAAAATCTATCCGGAGAAACTCGAGGGGTCATTGAGTAGCCCATTCGACCACCTTCAACGCCAGCATAACTAGTATGAGGGTACTGGGAAGAATCCTGGTTCCAGGGTTAGCATATTCGACGAGGGATCCAAAGCAAGGATTGGATTGTACGTACCAAATCACATAACTTTGGAAGAGCAAACGACTCATCGCTCCCATGTAAACATTGTTGATCTGACAGATCTGAGCCAGCTGAAGCGCGCTGGGCGCTCCGGTAAGAAGAAAGCATACGATCACGAAGATCGGGTCATCCAAGATGCTCACGGGCACGTATTTTGCGGTAAGCGCTAGGATGGGTGCCATGACGATGGTTGGGAGCAACATTCGACTGATAAGGCTGGCGATGAGAAGATTTCGATCTTCCTTCGTCTTTGCATTTGCCACTTCCGGATCTTCCTCCGGATCTTCCTCCGGGAGCGTATTTCGAGCGAGATTACCGCCCAGGACCACGAGAATCAATGGAACCGCTACCCCTCCCGACTGAGAAATGGCTCGTGTGACGGAGTTGGAGAGGAAAGTGCCGGGACCGAAGAACACGTGTTGAAGATTAGGAACCGATGCAACGATGATGGCAGCAAGCATGGCCCAGAGTGGTGGGTTCATGAAATCCCACAGACCGTGCATGAACCGAGATATCTGACGGTAAACCCAGGCGAAAATGGTCAGAGCCGGCCGAGGCAATGAATGAAACGCGTTCGTCAACTTGGATGCGACCAATGTGGAGAAATCGGTACATTTTTGGGAGACTATATCCCGTGCGCGTTTCGGCCAGCCCCGCGGTCCCGAGGGCATTGATTTCGCTAGGTCCGAAGACGGCATAGGAAAGTGCGTAATATGGGCTACAGAATAGTCTCGAGGGAGATGGGGAGCGCCGTTGGGACTGAAGTGCGACACGGGGAAAGATGGGGATTGTTCCTCTGCGCTTGACGAGAGAGATTCAGAAGTGCATGCCGAGCCTTCATCGTAGTAACGGCGGTTGATGGGTGTTACGCTCCCAGATCCAAACTCGGAATCCGAGTGCATATGACTTGGCTTTGGTCCGTAACCGTTCCTGTTGGCGCCAGGTGTTTGTGTCCCCGATTCAAAGCCTTCGTCCGAGTAGTCACTGAGAAGATCGCGTTGTTCCTCTACGTCGTCGTCCGAGTAATCGCTCCGAATCCTTGGCGTCTGTCCCCTCTCGTCCCGTTCAAATTTCCCCGGGGGTGCCAGTAAGACGTGGTACCCCCAACTCCAACGCACCAACTGACCCAATTGCTGGAAAATGAGTAGGTAAAGGATCCCTCTCGCCGCCACGTCCTCGTCGTTGTCTCCAGGGATTCGATCCCAATGTAGGCCGGACAAGGTCTTGGCCAAGGAAAAGACAAGTGAGATCGGAAGGGAGTTGGAGTTACCAAACACCTGTCACGTCAGCATTGATCCATCCGTCCAAGATCGCATTCCATGACCTACCCCCATCGCAATGACAAAGTTCCGTGGCCGCTTCTGAAAGCGGAATAGCTTGGAGATCACATATGCGCAGATATAGGACACCGCGGTCTGGATAACGAAGATGAAGGGGATGATGCCGAGTTCGACGAGTTTGTGGGCGGTCAGTTGGGACGCAAGTTTGGTAAAGACTGTCGCAAAGGGATGGAATTAGCGGAGTGGGCTCTACGGATCGACATGGTTCGAAATAGCTCACTAAGACACGGTGTAAAAAGCTGGACGTTCAGATTCGCCAGGAATTTCTGAGCGGTGCCGTCAAACATGCCCTGCCTGGCGATGATGTAACCGGGCAGGCTGACACAGACTACCTCCAAAACGGCCTCGAAGACGAGTAGGACGAGGTGACCGAAGTCCGGGTGGGAAGAATGCGGAGCTGCATCATTCCTGAAGATGCTGAAGGGGCGCTTCTGGTCGACAGCGAATGCGGAAGGATGGAAGTCGGACACCGCGCGTATACGGAGAGAGGTGGGTTGTTCGAAAAACGACATCACGAGCCCTTGGTCGGGCCACGCGGTCAATCGTCTTGGTGCTCGCAATCCGGTATGGGTATAATCTCTGGATACGGTGAAGCGGTACACCGACGTGGTGGGAGTCGACGCGGTTAGAAGGCGAGGTTGGTGTATCTGGAGATGAGCGATGACGCAACGAATGCCGGAGATGATGACTGCCACAACAGCCAGGCCATCATGGCGAAGAAAGAAGAGTGCGAATCATTGATTTCAGACCGTAGATGGTTATCGACGACTTAGACGGAGAGGATTCAGGTGAGATGGGAAGGTGGAAATTCAGGTGGAGGTTCAGGTCCCATACATTACCTTCCCTCTTATCCAGACCACAGCGGACACGTACTCTAAGCCTCTATTACTATCTCGGATAAGATCTGGTGGCGGTCAATGAGCGATTGGCGGATGGCGGAGCAATCATAACCCTTGATATCGATCCTTCATAGCATCACCATTCAACGATTCAACAGAATCCTGTACCATGGCAAACATTGGTACAGGAGGCTTGGGGGCTGGTCGTTGATAACGTCAACCAGTGAATTGAACATTGCAGCTTGATAGCTATCCTTAGCTAAGAGCTATCACGCCAACTCACTCAACCATGTGGCGCAGCTGATTGCGCATCGCTGATTGCCATGTTCCCCAGCACCATGAACCATTCCACTGCAACATGCAAGGTTGATAGCCCTGGCGGCCTGTCCTAAAATGATCTGCACAGTGCATGCATTCGTCTCGAGAATCCGGTCCACATCGGAAATCGGAATTCTGATGCACTGAGAATGACCACCTCCCAATTCCCAAGTCCCAACGTGCAACACACTGAGTCACTGACGGCACAAAGCAGCAAGGCATGAAGGCATCAAGGCACTAGGCCATCGTAGGTCACCTGCAATTGATGACCTGGTGCTGTTAATTACCACTAATTAGACACGAAGCAGAGAGAAGCAGAGAGAAGCAGAGAAGCAGAAACCAAAAATTAAAGGCTTGAAAATGTTGAATATGTTGAAAATGTTGGAAGTGTTGGATATGTTGGATATGTTGGATATGTTGGATATGTTGATCGATGAACCAGCTTCAAACTTGAAAGTTGTCTTCAAAGACGTCAGTGGTACCACGGGGAGGCAAGGGAGGGAGGGCCTTAGTGCTCTGAAGATCGAAAATGCATGAGCTAACGCCACTCTTTCACTAATCGCTAGAGAGTAATTAGAGACTGTTGTGCAGTTCACGGGCCACGCGGATTGGAGAGAGAAGTGGGAAGGCCTGACTCCTGGTCGCTCCTGGCCATGCATATCCTGATATCCTCTCTCCCACCGCTGCACCACCACCACCACCACCACCACCACCACCACCATTATTATTGCTATACCGCTATTGACATCACGCTATTGACATCACTGCTCTTTTTTATTCTATCCCCTCCGTCAACTCCCCTTCCCTCTCCGCCACCTTCCTGTTCATATCTCCGCATTCCCTTTCCTCCTTCCACTCACTTGCACCTATCCCCTCCTTCGCTCCATCCCACTCGTCTCCCACACCCTAGTGCTATCTCCTACAAAAGTCCGCTTCAATGCATTCTTCATAGCGAATAGCACCCTCCTCGGAGTTGCAGTGGTACCCCATCCTTCCACCTCCGACCCTCTCGTTGTCCGGCTTTCTAGTCCCTGCCTCCTCGTGCCGGTCGTTGTTCCCCTACAATGACTTCCTTGTCCACCGGTTCTCCCGCCCCCACGACCAACGATGTAGCAGACAACACGAACAGTTCGAACCAACATCCGCCCCACAATCCGCCAGATACCGGTCCCTCCGCCCTTCCCACAACATCCGAGTCGACCAATCCTCCGTCACTCTCCGCCCAGATGGATGCCACACCACCTCCCATTTCATCCCCGAGTCCTTCATCTTCAACTGGCAGAATGACCCCTTCATTCACCCCGCTTGCCAACCTCAATGCTGCGCGCCGCCCGCCGGGGTCGGTGGACTCAAGCGGTGCGGCGTCCGATCTCAAATCCGGCCCGGACCTACTAGCGAAGATGAAGGCTTTTCACTTGGAGCGGAGAGGGGCGCCGCCGGGAAATATGGCTGCACCGGGAACCGATCGATCTGCTGGCGGATCGACCGGGGAGGCGGGTGTCCCACCGGCAAGAGGCCCGCAGCTTGGTCCCGGAGGTGTTCCTAGCTCGTTCAACCTCCCGCACGGCGTAGCGAAGCCTGGATTTAGCCACTTTCAATCGGCACCAGCCGTTCCTCGTGCGGGAGGCCCCAAGAAACCGTCTCTTGCAGAAAAGCGCGGAATGGCCCTTCCCGGCGGCGTGGCTAGCAACAATAGCCCAGGACCACTATCGGGGGCGGGGCGAAAAAAGCCAGGGCTCAGCCTGGCGGGGATGAACGAATCCAACGATGCCTCCGGAGCCGGTGATGCACCAACCAAACCGAACGGCGGTTCCATGCTCGACCGATATTCGGAGTTCCTCGATGCCAAGACCGGTTCGTTACGTTTCAAGGGCAAGGCCGTCCTCACTTCACAAGGCATTGAATTCGCCGGAGGGAGCGCATTTAGTATCTCGCTGGACGAGGTGGATACGCTCGACGAACTGGGGAAAGGCAATTATGGGACAGTGTACAAAGTGAAGCATGCGCGCCCCAAAATCCGCCGCCCCGGTCTCGGTCTGGCGGGCAATCGCATGCACTCCTCCCCGGTCGCGACACCGCCTCGAGTCCAATCCGATGAGGTGGGTTCGGAAGGGAGCGTCGTCGCGGCGGCCAACACCACCACGAGTAGCGGCACCGGCATCATCATGGCCATGAAGGAAATCCGCTTGGAACTCGACGATGCCAAATTTGCCGCCATCATCATGGAACTCGACATCCTACATCGCTGCATCTCACCGTACATCATCGACTTCTACGGCGCCTTCTTCCAAGAGGGCGCTGTGTACATCTGCATCGAATTCATGGACGGAGGATCGATCGACAAGCTCTACGGCGATGGCATTCCGGAAACCGTGCTCCGAAAAATCGCCCTCGCCACGATCATCGGCCTCAAGACGCTGAAAGACGATCATAATATTATCCATCGCGACGTCAAACCTACAAACATCCTGGTGAACACCCGAGGCCAGGTGAAGATCTGCGATTTCGGGGTGAGCGGCAATCTTGTGGCCAGCATCGCCAAAACGAACATTGGTTGTCAGAGCTATATGGCCCCCGAGCGGATCTCATCCGGAGGAGTCGTGCAAGCCGGAGCGAATCCAGGAGGCGGCACCTACTCCGTCCAGAGCGATATCTGGTCGCTAGGCCTGACCATTATCGAATGTGCCATGGGCTGTTACCCTTATCCCCCGGACACTTACAACAACATATTCAGCCAGCTAAGCGTGCGTGTTTCCCCCTTGCGACGACCGTGTGAGGAATAAATGGAGCTAATATAGATGCAGGCAATTGTCGACGGCGACCCTCCGGACCTCCCTGAAGAAGGATTTTCCGATGCCGCTCGCCATTTCGTACGCAGTTGTCTCAACAAAGTCCCGATGCTTCGCCCAAGCTACGCAGCGCTACTCCAGCACCCCTGGCTCAAAATCCTCTCGCAACCCGAAGTCATTCCGGAGGAAGAGGAAGAGGAGACGTCGAAACTCGCTGCAGAGCCCGATTCGGACCAGGGCCCCGATACCGACGAGGATGAGTTGAGGCTTGTCTCGACACCGTTGCAAGGGGACGTCCATGACCAAGAGGTCGCGGACTGGGTAGTTCAGGCTCTCGAGAAGCGGAAAGACGGGCTGCTCGGAAAGCAGTCGAAGCCGGCTTTGCATGCAGTCGCCCTGGATGCCGTGGAGAGTGCGCATGGAGGAACCCCGCTGGGTGGGCTCTTCAATGTCGACGATTCCTCCGATCGTGCATAGCGTGACCAAAATATTTTTCTAGCGACGCCGCATGGATGTGGTTCGCGAAGCGAGCATCGCAGGCTTGAAGATTGATATACAGATGATATGGGGGTTCCTTTACAAGTTCGGACGTGTGCATATGCGTGGTTTCAGTTGGGATCGAACGACACTAGAAACGAAGCGTTTTTCCATGAAGGTACGATATAGAAAGCCCTTGAAGCCGGAAACAGCGCGCAATGGGTTCTCTTGTTACTTATTGTATGAAATAGCGCCAATAAGCACCCTGGATCAGCCAGTGGGATGTGGAAAAACTTGGTAAATTTGATAAATTTGACCATCCAAATGGTACTAGGGACGATGAAGCGCAGTGATTAGGTATCCAATTATCCTTTCTCTGCTCCCCATTTTAGAATCTGGATGATGCCAATAAGTGCCTAAGGTACAGTCTCAAGTAATTCGAAAATCAAAGGCAGAGTCGTGAAGAAATGAAGCCGAACGATTCGAATTATATTTTGCACATGCTGTATTCCCTGTGCACGTAAATGGAAATACTGGTGATACCCTGCAGCTACCCAGTATTAGATTGACTTCTCACTTGCCCGTCTCTATTACGTTAACTTGTCATCTCTATTACGGTGCTGAATCTGATTATCTGCTGTACCTACCTCCCCCATACCAAACTCCTACTCTTCAGATCAGCAACCCCGAGTTAGCAATCCCAAGTTAGCAATCTCAAATTCATATTCTCTCTCAATGCCGGCTTGCGGCGCGAAACCTCATCCACCCGTTCTACCACTACCATATCTCACATTGACATTCAAGAGACCATGCCACCAAAGAAAAGGCAACGCGTGAGCGCGGCAACGTCGCCATTCCCGATCTCAGACGTTCCATTGGCACCGCCATCTAAGAAAGACCCTAGTCAGCTCAGTGATGAAGCTGCAAAACATGATGTCTTGGATGATCTTTGGACTGACGATCAAGAGAGCTCCCTGTTCAAGAGCATGATCAAATGGAAGCCTACCGGTATGGTACTTTGATCCTAACCGTCATTCGCTCTCGTCACTAATTCTATCGCAGGCGTTCATAAACATTTTCGGATGCTCGCGATTTCGAATCAACTTCGGAGTCAGGGTTTCGCCAACACCCACATCAACCACACCCGAATTCCAGGCATTTGGGCCAAACTGAACACATTATACGAGCTCGATTCTCTCGACGAGCGAGAAAACAACGAAGTTCTCCGTGATTACCCTGACCCTTCTGAGTTCGATGATCTCGAAAGCGACGAAGAACTCGTGGAATTCGCTCTTCCGAGTGACGAGTTTGGTGACATGATATGGTCTCGTCGCTTTCCATCCGAATCCAAGACCCGATCTTCCAGTCCTTTCGAGATCCCTGGTCTTGAACACGTTCGACCGACTGCAGATTTCACCGTCACAAGAGGTACAGATGCTGCGGATGAAGATGAATCGGAGACTCCGCGTCCAGGCTCCAGCCGGGCCCGCACGGTGAAAAGTGGTAAGGGACGGGGCTCGTTAGCCAAACCCTCCGCATCTCGACAGACTAAAGGCGGCTCTACTGTGGACTCGTCGGTGGGAGATGCTAGCGAGGATGAAGCGGATGAAGACGACGAGGATGATGCCAGCGAAGATGAGACTTCTGGAAAAGGAGTTACGAAAACCAACCCAACCAAAAGAAAGAGTGTCAGAAGGGGCGCGAGGAGGCGATAGTCCTGGATCGCAAAGGCACGAATACACTTGGTTCCTAGGATTTCTTCCGTGGTCGAATACCTTCACGGCAATATTTACAACAGCAGCGATCCGCCTACCATACCATTTCCTACTCGACACAACCCATTCCCGCTCCCAATGAAATCTTTCCACAACGTTCCGAAAACCGCTTCTCCTTTCTAGTTCCCGCGGCCCCCAAACCCTCCAAACAGGCCAGCCAACCCTCCTAGAAGACCGAATCCACCGCCCGAACGGCTGGTACACCCAGTTTCGGTGCAAGTCGCCGCAGCATTTACCGTCTTTTCATTGGCGGGGTCGATGCCAACTGTGAGCCACGAAAAGATGCCGTCGTCGACCCCATCGCCAACGAAGATATACTCCGCCACGGGATCATGTTCGTTACCGGCTCCTTGGGCCAGGATGAAGTCATTTTCGTTGGTGGTAATCCGAGCGGTATTCTGGGAGTATGGCGCGACCTTCTCAACCTGGGTGATTAGATCCTGGTCAAAATACAGCTGTCCGACGTGAGCAACGGTTCCACCGCTTAGAGTATTGTTGGGGTTGACTTTCGCGTCCACGTGAGACATGACTGTTCAAGCTCAGTTAGCGGACCAGGTTTTTGGGGGATCGCAATCTCCGTACTATGAATATGAATTGCACGACCCGTATAATGCCCTGGAAAGATGCTTTCAAAGGATACGACGCCGTCCTTGTCGGAAACCTGGATACCCCGCAGTGCTTTCTTTTGCAAAAGCGTGGTGTCGGCCGCATCGCCGTTGCCCATTCCTCCCGCCGTGACTCCGCCATACACACCCTTGCCGCAGTCAGTACTCTCTGCCCTGAAATTGGATGGGGATTTGAACTTACGGTTGCATTGCAGTGCCAGATCTCCAAGGCAATGTTGGGGAGAGGCTCACAGGTGTTGATATCGATCAGTTGAATGTGGAGCGCAAGGGGTACACCAGGCTCTTCCTCCGTCACATCAGACCGGACAAGCTCTCCCGAAACATCTATCCGGGTTCACGTCAGCTGCATGATCGATTAGTGCCGCATGCCACTCACAGTACGGGCCCTCCGTGGTCTCCGGGGCAAGCACGGTCTCATTGACCCCCGCAAAGATAACATCTGGGGTGGATTCGGCAGTGATGGCGGATCCAGTATAATGGTGGTTCGTGGCCAAAACTTTTTTAAGATCTCGAGCCTGGAGGAACGGCGCTAAACTTTATCAGTGGACCGCAGCGACCATGTATACCGGTCCTCTCCATACCGTGTGCTTGAAGACCGCGTTTCGCTCGAATATCCTTGATCATCGCATTTCTCCTCTCCGCCAATTTGGCAGCAACTCCTCTCTCCGCCAGTTTCGTTTGACAGGCGTTAGGGGCTCGAGGACCCAGCTTTTGAAGGAATGCGGCACGCTCCACCAGCTCCTGGTCTGCATCTCCTCCCGGATGCGCATACGAGACTTGGAACATCAATGCCGCAGCCGCAGCAGCTACGATGGACTGGAGATTCACCATTCTGCGGACTTTGATGGGATGATCGTGAGAATGTGGCCCGGTGCAGAAGACGCACTGAGGGCATCCATTGCGGCCACTTATAACCTGCCCATCATATCCGAGGGGAGGCTGCTGGTGGCAGTCAACGTCGATCAGCAATATTGCTCTTCGGCCCCACATTGGGTTGCTTATATCTGGGTCACTGTGATAGGTTGGATCCCTTATACCCGACGTGGTAATAGGAGTGAAACCTAAATTTAATTGCGGGGATTGGCGAACTTGCTTGTCCATATTGCTTGAATCGCGTGATAGAGCTCTCTCAGCGAACTCGTGGTGCAGGTAGATGAAACATTTGCACTAATGCGCAACGCAACCCATGCTTCTATCATCTAATCCCATCCTCATTTTACCAAGTCCACTCCGGGCTAGAATTGGTATTCCATAATTATGTCAAAAGCCATTCCCCTCTTTGAATTGCGCGCTCCCCTGACCTTGTTCCCGAGTGATCTTCCATGCATACTTACTTTACTGTACAAAGTATGTACCTGATGTACGTTATTCATTAGTAGGTTCAAGGATTCGTAATTTCTTCTTTCCCTAATTGTCGAGCGAGTCATCAAATGGCAGATGTCGTATTTGTTCGTTAGGTAGCAGATATGGGAAGTGAAGGGAGAATAAAGGGAAATACTGGCCGCTGTCCTGATATTCTGGCATGGCAGAGGGTTCAAAATCTGCTTCGCACTTGCGTTATCTTGGTCACGATTGGCTATTAAGCACAATACATACGTCCCTAAACGAGGGTTCGAGTTTCGACTCAACTGGGTTTATTGATGATTTCCTTGATACTGCTCGGCGGTCTATCCATTGGTGTGGTCTTGTTTCAACCCATTTGCTAGACCGCGCTAGTACAATCTAAGTAGTGTGAGAATAAACAGCAATCTTGGGATACTACCTAGCTGGTCTGTAGTCGCAGGTAGGGGAGGGATTTCAGAGCTTAGGGCAATACAGGACATTCAAATATCCAATGTACTGCTACCTACACTGTGTGCCACAAAGGACTAGCAAGGTTCCGAAAGAACGCGTTTCATTAACAGAGAATATCACTTCGAGAAGGAATTATCCCGCGGCTCCGTTGCTCAGTTACCGCAGTTCCTGTCCTACATCCGAGTTCAAGTTCCTCCGTGGTCACTGATTGAACGTCGCCACCCAACGGCTAGAACCGTTGTCTGTCTGAGCGAGAGGTAGGGGATGTGATTGGTCTGTGATGTAATTCACCAAAGCTATATCGAGGAATCCAACAAGGGCTGGGGATTCGAACCATGATAGGTCTTCGATTTTCCCCAAAGAAAGTCACGGGTATGACATGGCGCGGCCTCGGCTCAAGAGCCTAGAATCAATCGATAAGCGGCAAAGTATCTGACAGGCTAGAAGCAGTTCCTTTCTCAACTCGCTGAATGTCTTCCATAAGAACGAGCTACAACTTGCCAGAAGGTTACCTTCTTCTTGCGCCTTTGAAGAGTACGCTCCCAATCACACCCGCTGCAACAGCTATGCCTCCAACAATTGCGACACCCATCATACCTTCCTTGGCAACACGGTCGTCAATCAACGTCTTGAGGCCACCGGCTTGCATATTCTCTCCCTCGAATTCCAACAACAGGTCATTATATCTGCGCGCCTCCGAATAGTTCCCCAATTTGAAGTTCCCAAGAGCCAGGTAGTAGAGGCATTCTCGTCGTCGTTCAGGAGAAGTACGAAAGATTTCGGAGAGCATCCGGACTCCTTCTTGCTGCTCGGATCGGCTCGACGATTTGATCAGTCCCTAGGTGTCATATTCAGCAACGGTAGGAAACTTCGGAGGGGGGATGGAGTGACGACCCACCCAAGCATAATTGAATTTTGTCTGGATGCCGACATATTCCCCTTCCTTTTCGTACTGGGCACGGAGAACTTGAAGCTCGTCAGGCTTCAACGGGCTATGGTCTTGTTGGTATGATTCATGATAGATGGGGATATATGAAGTACCTCTCAACTTCGGCGGCATCTGTGGAAGATCAAGTCAGTGCTTGTGCAAGAGAGACTCGGAAATAAGAGCACTTGCATGGCAATGAGCTGCTCATGGTTGCAGGGAACTCGCGGTCAGGAATAGAGGTAACTTTAGTACAAGTGTCGCAAGCGTCGCCTAGTTTGGATCGGACCGACAATAGGAACGGAGTTGAGGAGTAAAGATTGCTGTAGCACGTATGAGGATTGCCTCTATTTCTGTTGTATATGATGATACATCCAAGTCACGATTCACACGGAGTATGGAATATGGAGTCCAGGAATAGCACGGCTTCAGTTGGTTGATGACTTGATGTGACCTCATGTGGCTGAAGCACGTGAAATTGTGGCGAGTGATCGGATATTGGATATCACGTGTAGCATCTGACTACATCACGTGGCGAGCCGCCTCTCTCCAGTGACGTACAAATTACAATTGCCTAAAATCCGGTTGCCGGGGGAAAGGCATCACGTGCATGAGGTGTCAACTGTAAACACTCTATCTGTAAATACTCCATGACGCTCATCCTCAGGACGCGTCCATTCAAAGGAAAGCAATCCGTAACAACTTCTACATTATTGAACTACAAATTCTTGAACTACAATCTTGAGTCCCCTCCTTGACAAGGCCACCACTGCTTCATAATGCTGCTTGACGAAGAGCCTGCAACAGTGCGTATCAATGCCATAGCGGATTCCTTTAGCTAACATCATCCAGCTCATCCAAGGATGCATTCAAAATTTCAACATTGCGCCGGACAGGTCAAGCCTCACTCGAATCTCGACGTCACTTTCAGCACTATCAGCAACCCGACAAGTTCGCCTGCAGTCATTACAGTCGGATCTTTCGCATCTTTCTCGACACCTTTCAAAGCTGAGCAGCCAACATCAACTGACGGTCTCCTCACACAACCCGAGTGAATATTCTGCCGAGATTTTGCGGCTTGATGCCGAAAAGTTTCGCGTCGCAAAGCAAGCCAACGACCTAGAAATTGAAAGCGAACGATTGGAACTAGAACTCGAGAACCTGAAAAGCCAATTGAACGACCTCGATGCGCAAGGGATCGAAGGCGGGGCGGAGGCGATGAGACCAAGAGACGAGACAGAGGATGAAACGGTGTAAGTGTGATTCCAGTCCTCTTTTTCATGCACTGTAGTCAGTAATTAAACCATATCTACAGGCTCAAACTCAAAGTGTACCGTTCTCTTGGGATCGATGCCGAACCTGACACAGCGACCGGTCAATACAACAAAGCAGTGATCAGGAACACGGCGAAAGGTGATGTTCATGTTGTGAACATCGACACCAAGTTCTCAAGATACTTCTATGCGAACTACTTTTGGCAAACATTATGAGGCGTAGATCCAATTTAGGTCTTGACATGATTGAAGCTGGCCAGTTTCGATACGAACGGCGTCTTGAAACCTAGGCCTTTTCCGGATCAGCATTATTGTCTACGCATGTTAGGGAGGGTCGCTGAATGGATGGGGGGGAGAATCGTACGCATGCGCCATCCCCATGGCATCCCCTTACCTGAGGAAGATTGCAACCAAACTGAAGATGCTCGGTTGATGTAGCTTCTCGGGGATTGGGACGAAGAATTAAAATTCGGAAGAGGTATGTCATTTTCCCTTACGATATTGAAAAGATCATAAGCTGATAGAGCAACAGTACCTTTGTCTCGCCAAGGTGATCCTAACCACCAAGTACAGCGACCTGACGTTCACGGATATGGATCACCCCGAATTGAATTATAGAATATCCTGTCCAGGAAACGTCATTGTCGCAGAATGGGACCTGGAGGTGCAGTTTCTGGCAATATGTCAGATGTGGTCAATCGTATAGATTTTCATCGGAGCGGACAATGCGGTCGTTCAAATTGCAACCAAATTTGAATTGGGCTAGTCGCCCTAGCAGGATACAGCGGATGGAAACAGCATCCTGATCTCGACAAAACATAGGGCATTGAAAAGTCTCCATAAGTCCTGATGATCGATATGTGGCAGTTCCCGGCTTCCCACGAAGTATGGCTGTTGATATATCCAGGCACATTTGGCATGCGAAAGAAGTCTCCGAAGGTTTTGCACGCACCATCGGCTCAGCATGCCCGTTTCAGTCAAACATGCCTTGTGTCTAGTTCGTAGCAATGATAAAGGAGTCGGCCAACGCACGGCAACATTCTAAACTCCGAAAATCTGATGATGTGCTCGTGCAGGTATCCTTCTGTAATTCGAGCACTGTTGCTGCTTCTTGCCTATGGAGACTGCGGAATTTCCCCACCAAACCTAGCCTACGAGCATGGGGGCAGCACGGTACCAACCGTTTCGCGGGCGCCGTTCCGACAGCATGAATTGATCGGCGAATGGGGGCATCCCATGAATTATTCAGTCAACAAAGATCTGGTGGACTTATGCTGGGACCTTGATGAAAGGCCGGCCAAGTAGGGTCTGTGATTGTCTATACCTACCCCACTACCTTACCCAAAGTCCCACAGGACGGTTAGATGAAGCGGCGATATACCGCCTTACCACGGCATCCGATGCCTCTATCACCCTGGCTCCTGCCTCCCAGAGTCCTAGTAGCTTTTGAGGGGTTGCCTTGCAGACTGCAGTGCAGCCGTGAACCCTTGGGGCGGGACAAGCAAAGGAACGGTTCGCTCGGTTGTGTTTGACGGAAGTCACCGAAAGCGCCTCTCCCGAGTGTCTTAGTCTCAGCTATGCCCAAAGGGGAGATGGATCGGAGAATTCTTCGGTGACTTTGACATCCTGTGTCGGTAAATATCATAAATGAAGCTGAATGGGTTGCAGTCATGGATAAGTAAAGCTTGGCTGGCATGATTGGATGACGCAAAGTGGTCCTGGACAGGGAGAAAGCAGTGATGATGGTTTCAAAATGTCTCCTCCGTACCTCGGGTAAGGTAAGGTACAGGAACGATTTAATAATATCAATCATTATTCCGTACATATTCGTTCCAAGCGGGCTTGGGAAGGATGAAATCCTAGTCGCCACCGAACTTCTCCAGCCAAGGTACCATAGTTTCAGCTGATTATAAACAGTATGAGGCACGAAGTGTCAGCGAATTCCATCTGTTCCTTCAAAGGATCCTCCCAGGAACATGGGCAAGAACTCGTCGTGGACTGATCTTTTCCAGACCAGGAACCAAAAACACCTCTATCTCGGATCTCTGGTTCGTGAGTCGAGGCTTGCCAGGGGGATGCGACAGCTGTCAAGGTCAATAGGCGCCGATTTGTCTCCGATACCAGCATCCAATTTCGAAGTTGTTATTGACTTTCGAGCAACATTGATGGCGTCCGGTGCATACACTGTCCGTTATGTATTGTAGAAGATGGCCTCTGCCTCAAATAATTGGATACATTCAATGGTGTGCTCCGTGGGAATTTGTAGACAATAAGTAAACATATATTCCGTAGAGAATATCACTTTCATGGTTATCGTCATATATTCTAGCTGAATCCACAAGTCTGGATCGGTGCCGTATTCCCATTGCCATACCGGTTTCACATACTGACAACATGGCAGCGCATATTTCATCAATTGCTAATAGGAAATCGCATGTGGCAGAGCACATGGGACTACAGTATGGTATGACAGCAGAAAAGCACAACTGTTGCGGACAGATCTAAAGTCTCCATGCCCTAACCGTACTGACGTTGTATGACCACGCCGTTTCAGCAACAATTTCCTACTTTCTGGATCGTGGAGAATGAAAGGTGTAGGATTTGGATGTAGCTGGGTCCAATATCAAGAAACATTTCGTCTGAGCTGCTTAATGGCTCAAATCCTTAGTGCTCAGCCCTCTTGAACCGAGTCTTGGGTATTAGCGGCAGAATTCCTTACAGCGTTTCGTATTCTATCGCCCGACTGGACGCCATCATGTGCTGCGTGCAGAAGTGCAGGAGACTCATTTCCAAATGTGGCAACGGATCTTGACTTTTCGGAGACTTTTAACCGTTTTATATACGCAACCTATCCACCACATACCACCTCCAATGCGTTTGCAAGTGTGTTGTCAGCGAAAAATGGAAAATATAGCCTCTAGATCTCAGATCAGAAGAACGGCCTGCGAAGAATGCCGTATGTGCCCACGAAGACTAGATCTCGAGACCGTGCTAACAAACAAAGGATCTCAAAAGCTCAAGTGCGGTGGAGAACATCCATTGTGCTCAAGATGCGCACGCAGAGGGCTTGAATGCATATACATGAAGAGAAGGCAAATGGGACGACCGAAGAAATTCAAGGATGCCGCCAACGCGCCCGTATGGGAAGATAACGCTCGATCCGCCACCCCAACAATGAGCATCGGCTCCCTGTTGAACTCTTCGGAAGTCTCGGACGGATCTGGCGAAGAATCCCACAATGGATTTCATCCATCTCTGGCAAATTCACCGGAATTTGATGATGAGCTAGGCACTGGTCGCACTGGACTTACGGCACGCCGGCCAGCCGAGACCCTAAGAAGCAGCCAGCTTGATTCGTCCGCGTATGTGTATATATGCAATGCTATGAGAAAGACAATGTGCTAATGAACCCAGTGTTCAAGGGGATCCGATATCCCGACGAGACTCGGGAGCTGCAACGATATCTGCGCGCGGAGGGACTGCTCAAGCCTGCGCTTGCATATCGAGGCTCTCCCTCGCCCTTGAAAATCTACGGTGCAGGGAAAGCACCGATTTTCATTCCAGTTTGTGCGTATTACGTCGGTGTATGGCGATAGCCAGGGAGGTCCTTGTCTGCCAGATGTGCCCCGTCCATTATGACTCGGCGATGCAAAACGCCCAGGTGCTAGCGACATTGATGATGTCCATCGCCGAGCAGTTCCGACGTATCGTCTGGCAAATTGAAGGCGAAGAAAAGAGGGCCAGCGCCGCCAGAGAGCGCAAGACGGTACAACTTTCATCGTGCGACATGACTCCCGAAAGTATTGACGATAGCGATTGGGAGGATTGCGTTTCTTTCCAAGTGGAGCCTGGGGAGTGGAAATGTCTGTTGAAGAAGGCGGTCCGCGCGGAAATCTTCGGTCTTAAAGATGGATCACACCCTTGCTATGCGTTGCTGCTGGAGGGCTTCGAGACCCGTCTGCGAGGATGGCATCATGCTCACCCAAGCTCCGACTGGCCTACCATTTCACACCGACAAGCGATCGAGAATGGCGAACCCTCTTGTTTGAAGCTTTTGGAAAGCTCAAGAAGGGTTATCGAGCCTTTACAATTCGATTGTATTGATCTGCCGTTGAGAATTATAGCTCAGCCATAATCACAAGCCAGCGGAATGCATGTGGTCACACCTCAAAAGTCCGAGACCTATGGTTTCACGTTAGAGAATGTACAGCCATTTGCTAGATCACGCATAGTGAGCAAGTTAGGCGTCTTGAAGAATTGGATTTCTTACGGTAGTCCGAAATTATCTGGGCTCTCGATCCGATCCTCATATTTTATAAGTTTATAGTGTCGAGCATGGACACTGCAAGTTTCATTTCAGCTCTCCTGTTAAGGGTCAAGTGAATCGGTGTTGATCGTGCGAGCACCCGAGGCTGGCGGTGCATATATCGCTTCGATGGCCGTGCCTTCGTCGTACGTCACGTACGTGCTTAACAATGACCGAGCAGACTCGATGACATCCGGATCGATACCTTCATCAAGTACGAGTCGCTCAGAGAACGTAAGACGTGTTAAAGCGACGAGGTGGACATGTGTGCCACCGTTAACCACACTCAGCTTCTGTCTCATGTCGATAGTATCACGGTATTTGTCGATGACAACAAATAGTATCCGCACTGTCAAATTAATCGCATTAGCCGTTGCCGATTGCGTTCGAGGCCGAGACCTGTGTAGCTCGTTCATAGAGTCAAACAGGAAAATGAAAAGTCTCCCAATTGCGGTGCGATGGTTAGCCAGCCGCTGTGCTCCGTGATCGGTACTGGCAATGGCCATCAGCACACCCAACGTCTCCACGCGCAAGTTGACAACGTCGAGCCGACTGCACTGAGGGACCCGTTGCTTATCAGCATGAGGGGTCTGCAGCAAAAGGTTGATAAGTCGGTCGATCGTACTGTTCTCACTGCGAGTTTGCCGTTCTCCAGATTTTGCATCTCCTAATGAAACCGCCCCAAAACTGGACGGCAACACGGACGCTTGTAGCAGTCGAAGCATCAACAGGATTTGAGGCATTGGCTGAGCTGTCATAAGCATTAGTAGAATGAAATCATAAGTCATTCCGGACCAAAATTTCTGCGCCATGATTGCATCGCCCGCGTAGAGGGATGCGATGCTGAGAAGAAGAGAAAGGCAAGATTCGACATTGATGAATTCCTCAAGGTGTCTCTCGTCTGCAGTTCTCGGAAAGGCCTCATTGGTAGCTGCTCGGCCGATCGGAATAGCAACTAGATCGATAGACGTCATTACAACCTCAAGGATATCGAGCGAAACATTGATGGGAACTGTCATGAGGCTAAGGCGGAAGGAAAAATGGACGAGGTCCATGAGAAGATGTACGGGTCCGAAGCATTTCGCTTTTAGCACCGTCGACCATATCACGGCCAGTGAGCGGCAGAGTGACGACGGTAATTCCGCAACATCACTCTTGGCTGCTGCCGAAAGCAAACTGTCAAGAACGAGGGATGAAATCCGTTTCGAGTCTTCAGGAAGATGATGGTCCGCTAATTTCTCGATGACCCGGTCTGGTGAATTTGACTGGCGATGGTTCAAGATCTGTTGGACAATGTCATGCTTCTCATCGTCTATTCCTAATGGATAGGGAGGTTCCGGTTCTCCGACTGCTGGGGCAGCCACGGTTGCAGGGTGTTCTTGGACATCACTGAGCGCGAGGGGTTGCGATGGGCTATCATCGATCACCATCCGCTTCCTTTTATTGCCAGCTTTGGGTGTTGATGGTTTTGCTCGATCTTTGAACTTCGACGGGGAGACCATGGACAGCTCATCATCATCAAAACCATCTCGGAACGGAAGAGCCGTACGTCCCTTCCTTGGGGTGGTAAATGGACTTTTTTCTCCTGTGGCATACTTTTTGGTCTTGGATTGCTTTGCCCTGTGTGCTGCCTCCAAGACTTCGTTCTCGAGGAATAGGTTGTTGGTGCTTATCTTATCCTGCTGCTTTCGTAGGGACTCGATTTCAAGCTTGAGGTTGGCTAAGGTGTCGGCATGTTGCTGCTCCATGTGGAAAATCTGTTCCTGGTGCTTGCGCGAAGCGGCCTCATCTTTCTGTCTCAAAATCGATGCCTCCCCTGCCTTGGTTTGGGCCAATCTGGAAGCTTGCTGTGCTGCGGTCTTTTCCTCATTCAACTGGCGTTCAAGCTATGAAGAATGAGCAGATATTCAAATCACGGACGATAGGACGCTCACATCTTCGACCTGGGCTCGAAGTCTAGCAGCCATGGTCCCCATCTCTGACTCTTCTTTGCTTGCAGCCTCAACTTCCATGGCATCATATTGCCGGTTCCCTTGCCCGTTCATGCGAATGGGCGCCTTCGGATGCGGATACGATCCATTGAGCCTGGAAGGGTCCCTGTTGAGCATGGCATTGTGTTCGACGACGTCTAGATCTACCACATCTTCTTCGTCCAGTTCCAATTCTCCATATTCGTCGTCACCGTCAAGGACACCGCCGTCATGTTCGAGGGGTTGGACACCCGATGGGTTGGCGTACTGTGCCGGTAAAGGCTGGTCGCTACGATGGGTAGTCGTTTCGGTTCGCGCTGGGTACGACTGGGCAGCTGGCTGGAAGGGTCTGTAGCTATCGAGAGGAATGAGGTCGTCGTCGTCGTCAATGTCAAAGTCGCCGAACTCATCGGCCGGGGCGGCCATGGTTTCTCAAATCCAGATGCGAGGCCCTTTGGTGCAGGGAATAACACCTGGAGTAGTCCTTGATTCTACAAACAGGAGCCATTGAATTGGAGTAGTCCAAAGAGCCGTGGCCGGCACCGGGATTGTTGACTCTTGCAGTCAGTCGTGGACTGGTCGTGGTGGACTTTTCGATGTTTGTTGGTATCAAATTGAAAATCCAGGCACCAATTCAATATCACGCCTGGCATGCCTGAATGCCTCACTCATGAGTTCAGATGGAAGTAGATCACGTGCATCCACCCGATCACATGCAATGAGTGAGGCAGTGAGGCCTGACGATGTGTTGCCTCAGGCTGTAAGGCCAACATGATTGACGTAGGATTCCTGCTGATTTCCACTTCAACCGACTTTGCGACATCTCACGGTTGCTGAATTCTTGATTGTACAGCACATTTGCCTGTGCCTGCATCCTCATACTTTGCCCTCTCCTGATCGCCTAATTTTCCTTTTCTCCCTTTCCCCTCTACCTTGCTGCAGCTTCATCTTCCGCCTACAAATCACTTGGATGCCATCATCGTCCGCGCAGCAATTTACGAGCAGGAGTCCAACATAGCTCCCCCTCGCCCAACACCACCTGATTGAATCCCCCTACCTCCCCTACGCTCGACATTCGAATCAATCTGGTTTCTTTACTTTGATACTGAATTTGGAGGCTCGGAAGTGGCCACAATGGCCAAAGCACAGAAGGATGTGCGGTTCTCACACCGTGGCTCCGGAAGTCGACCGCGTCGTCCCAGCCAAAGCGTGTCGGAAATCAGCGAAGCATCAGAACATGGAAGTCCAGTGCGAAATGGCGCGCCATCCACAACTAAGGCACGATATCTTGCGCGAACACTGTACCAGAGCCCTCCACTAACGACGCCCCCCCGTAGTCCCCTCCGGTTCCCGAACAGTCCGAGTCGCAGAAGAAGCTACAGAGCTTTAAGACCCGGACGATATGGACGTTTGTCATGATAGCCATCTTCTTCGGTTCCATGTTCGCTGGACACATCTATGTCATCATCATCGTCACCGCCATCCAGATCATCTGTTTCCGCGAGGTCATCGCCATCGCCGATGTTCCGAGCAAGGCTATGAGCGTTCGCTTCACCAAGAACCTGCAGTGGTATTTCTTGGGCATTTCAATGTACTATCTATACGGGGAGAGTGTCATCTACTACTTCAAGCACATAATCCTCGTGGACAGGATACTGTTGCCGTTTGCGACACACCATCGCTTTATCAGCTTCATCCTCTATGTCATTGGTACGTACGGTCCATGATGTATCTATCCTTCTAACCATTGGTAGGCTTCGTATTCTTCGTCGGTTCCCTTCAAAGAAGGCATTATCGCCTGCAGTTCAAGCAGTTCGCGTGGACTCACATGGCACTGTACTTTCTTGTGCTGCAGGCCCATTTCATCATCAACAACATCTTCGAGGGCATGATTTGGTTTTTCCTCCCTGTGAGCCTGGTCATTACGAACGACATATTTGCGTACATCGTCGGTATTACCATCGGGCGCACCCAACTAATCAAACTCTCCCCCAAGAAGACCGTCGAAGGTTTTGTGGGGGCGTGGATCTTCACCATCATTTTCGGCTTCTTACTAACAAACATCCTCATGCGCTACAGCTACTTCACCTGCCCAGTCACGGTGAGTCCATACCATTGAGCGTTTTTGAAGTTGAGACTAACATCAATCAGGATCTTGGAGCCAACATTTTCACCGGCCTTCAGTGCGAACCCAATCCCGTGTTTGTTAAGAGAACATATGGCCTACCGATCGACCCCCCTGCGTGGACCAAGCTTCCACATGCCATCACGGTCGAGCCGATTCAATTCCACATCCTGAACTTTGCGACGTTCGCTTCTTTGATCGCTCCGTTTGGCGGGTTTTTCGCTTCAGGGCTAAAGCGGACGTTCAAAATCAAAGATTTCGGCGACAGCATCCCTGGGCACGGCGGAATGACCGATCGGATGGACTGCCAATTCATCATGGGGTTGTTCGCATACATGTACTACCAGAGCTTTATCGCCATATACAAGGCTAGCGTGGGAAGCGTAATCGAGACGGCAATCACTGGACTGAGCTTGGCTGAGCAGATGGATGTTGTGAAAGGGCTTACCAAACACCTGGTGAATCAAGGGGTCGTTGGACAATCGGTAAACCTGCCTATCTTTCCACTCCTGCCAGCTGCTAACCAGGAAGCAGATCCTGGATTACATGACCGAACAGCTCAAAAGGCGATGAGATCCCTAGTTTCCATATGCATATAATCGCGGTCCTCGGGAACCAATCTTCGTTTCTCATGGTTGTCGGTCGGGAGTGATGGAAATCTTCAAAGCGCATGGATTTCCTGAATTTCAGTGTAGAACATTCTGGGTTCTTCGTGCATGGCCGGCGTCGACATCGATATCCAGTGATCCTGGTCTTCGACATGGTATCATGCCGTGGAGGATTCGGAGCGGCGTATCTTCGGTACCACACTTTGGAGATTTTGATTAAACTTGCGGTGCTTCGTCACGCCGAAGATGGGATACTGGTAATCATGTGCAGCTTATAAATGAAGTCGATGGAGTGTCAAGATCTTTAGGGGAGGGACAGTTTCTGGCGTGAGACCGCAGAATACCGATATTATCGCAACCTAGCCTACAGCACTCGAAGCGGTATTTAGCTCCATGTACTTACGTGGTGGTAGACCAACGTGGAGATGTCAACATGTCAATTCACTGCAGTCACTATCGTAAGTTTCCGACTTGCGTCGCATACATTCTATTCGTGCTCCTGATCATACGTGCTTCCGGTATGTGCCTCCGGAATGTGCCTCCGGTATGTACGATGAGTTCAGGCGAATTCGACGGACCACTCCTCAAACGTGTCATGGACGCCAATCATTTAGCAACGAAATCCGTCACAGTTCGTTGGCAAACTGTGTCCATTCAACCTTCAACCCAGTCCTCGACTCTCGAATTTTCCACCATGCTAGTCGATTTCACGGAGTCGCCTTCCTCTCCAGCGATGTCAGCGGAGGTGCAAGTTCGTTGTCCCCAAATTGCGCGATCGGCTTCTTCAGCTGCATTGTGACCTCATTCGTCCTTCGCGGCAGGTTGGCTGGAAGCGTTCGCCTTCTCAGTCGTCTCTCCGCTAGGTTCTGAGGCTGCAGCCCCCGATCCATTCGATTCAAGAGCGGGCTTCTTCTCTTTGCGTTCCTCGTCCTCGTCTCCATCTCGTTTGCGCTTTTCACCCCGTGCACCATCTCGCATGCCATTCTTTTGGAAATCGTTGCGGCGCGACTTCCAATCCCGATCATCGCCTTTTCGGGATTGGTTTTTGCCGTGAGGACGATAGCTCGGCTTGATCTTCCCGGATTTGATGTCCGCAGCCTTCATGTCCGTGTACTCCTTCTTTCCCATGATGAGAAGATCGGTGTCATTCCACTTGGGCTTCGGATCAAGTGCAAGGAAAGCTTTCTGGGTTTCCTCATTATTGAACTCGACGAAGACGCTGCCTTTGAACTGTCTCGTGGGGTAGGTGCGGCGAAGTCGTACGCTCCTGACGGGGCCATACGGCTCAAAGAATCGTTCGATCTCGAGTTGAGTTTTTTCAGTCTCCTCCCCAAACCCTTTCGCATATACACTGCGCGGCGCCGATTTGTCGTCGAAAGTCTTGATCAAATCACGGGAGACCTCGGACGCGTTGGTGCTGAGGGGGACTTTTCGGCGGATCTCCTCGTTCTCCGTCACTTCGAGAATCTCACTATCTTTCAGGGCGGCGACAACGGCGGAGAAGGGTTGGAAGCGGCGCATGCGCTTGAACGAGTGTACCACCTTGATCGCAACGGGTTTGTTCTCACTGCCACCGACCTGGCCGAAGAGGAAGTTGTCCATGGGAAGATTCGAGTCGGAGAAGTAGAATTCGACCTGCGGAGTGTTAGCATTGCGGGAGCTCATCTATGGCCAACATATCGAACCTGCTTCCTGATCTCATCGGGATCGTCCGTCTCGGGCAAATGATCATAGCGAGCCTTCACGTTGTCCTTGAACTTCTTCGGGTTGCGATGGAAGCCTTTGCCATTGGATTGGTACGGCTTTCCAGAATTACGCTGTCCAGAGGATGTGTCGCGCGACTTTGCGTCCGCATCCTTGGGTGCATCAGAGGATTGGACTACTTTGTCTTTCACAGCATTGTCGTCGGTGGCAGTTTCGGGCTTTGACACAGCGCTGGTTGACTCGGACGGTTTCTCCGTGGCATTGGCGACTGCGGGTTTCGCAGCCGTTCCTGGCGCAACACCGGTATTTGGTGCTTGGGGTTCGACAGTAGCCGGGGCCTTGACTTCGGAATCGCTGGCCATGGTGCGAGATGGTTTCGAGGGGGCTGATAGAGGTAAGAGCGTTCCTGCGCAAAGGCAATGACTGGTCGGGGTGCGGTACGGAGGGGAGATGGTTCCTCAATGCTACGCAGAAATGTCCGGATTTGTGAAGTAGTAAAGAACGATAGCAATGTATCGTGTAGATGAGCGATCCTGAAGGTTCACACCCAAACCCAAGATCTTGGACAGGAGGATAATTATCGGGATAAGGAAGTGGTTGGACCAAGTTGGATCAAGTTGGATCAAGTTGGATCAAGTTGCTGTTCAAACTTCCACATGAATTGGTGAAGTTTCACTTTTTTCGATTTCTCAAGGACAACGGCGAAGCTGATTGGGTGGTAGGGATTGACACCTTGATCTGCACCACTTCTGCCTGAGGTGTCAACTATGTATTCAAATTGATGCTTTTGCCTGACTGCCTCAGGTATCCAATGAAATTCTTCAACACGGGCATCGATGGGGTTTGGGAGTGAATTGTGAAGGGTGAATTGAACATTTCATCGGGTTGAAAGCATCGCCGAACACTACCTGGTATTGAATGCCAATCCTCCTCTACACACCAGCAATGGCTCTCTTGTTTTAATTTTCCCATACATCCACAGCCGCATTTCGTCATGATCCCTCCCTGTGCTTATTTCCCATATCATTCACAGCCATAAGTCCACTCACCGAACATATCGCTCTCCTTCTCCATCATTTAGCAGTCCACCATGGCGAGGCAGAAGCTGTGGATCAGTCTCAGGAAGCCGGTAAGGAATCCTTCCGTCTATTGAAGCATTGCTCCTGCTAATATCCCGTGTCCAATAGAAAATCCGCCAATCCTGGAATAAATACAACCTTTACAACCTCTCACGCCTCGCGATCCCTTCTCCCCCCAGCGCGACTTACTTCCAGCAGAAATGGTCCGCGAAAGCCATCAGTCGCCCATACCATGGCGGGCAGGTCCGAGAGAAACAGTGGGCGCGAATGTTCTCCCGCCGCATGCCTTCGGTCCAGCCGATGGACTACAGATACCTGGCGGAAAGCGATGGGTCGCAAGAAAGTGCTGGGCGAGGATCGGGTGAAGAGCTGGCGCAAAAACCCCGATCTCCGCGCGAAGCGACACCCTACATGCAGATGGTGTATCACCAACTGGAGCGTCGTCTAGATACGGCGGTTTTTCGAGCCATGTTCGCTAGTAGCATCCGTCAATCCCGCCAATTCGTTGCGCGAGGTCTGGTCAAGGTCAACGGGCAGAAGATGCCGTATCCTGGGTATATGTTGAACCCCGGCGACATGTTTTCCCTCCCCCCCGACCTCGTCATGTTCGCAACGGGACAGCAGAAACCACCGACGAAATCCCTCCAGCAACGCACTCGGGCACGGGCGAAGCCAAGAATCAATGTCGATGCGGCGGATGCCGAGATGCGTGCCGTGGTTGATCAAATGGCAGCTCTTGGAAAAGACATGGACACGTTTCGATCTTCCCATCCGGACCTTCCTCCTCCGTGGAAAGCGGAATTATTCGCCCTTGGTTGCCTTGCGAGAAGGGCCACGAATAATCCCGGGGTGACCCCCCAAGTCCGTGTGGATATCCTCGGCCAGCTTAACGCCAATTTCGATTCACTCAAGGCCGTAAAAGACTTTTCGTCCGCTTCGCCTGCGCAAACCCAAGCGCCTCTGAAGAAGGGCTGGGAGCGGAGAAAGCGACTCATAGTTCGTCGCTGGATGGAGGGAACCGCCGAGCCCCAGCCTGCGTCCACCAATCCCATCACGTTCAGCAAACCATACCGGACACCATGGATGCCGAGAGATTATATGAGCGCTTTCGCCTTCATTCCCAGATATCTGGAAGTCAATCAAAACGTGTGCTCGGCAGTCTACTTGCGGGATCCCGTTGCACGACCGGGGTTGGGAGAGGTACCGACACCTTTTCCCACCAAAGTCAGCCAGTTGGCTTTTAATTGGTACTTGCGGAGGCGTTAAGATGGATTTGGACCCGTTGGAGGGATGTACGATATCGAGCCGGTGTTCGCATACATCTTGATAGACTACTCGGACTTGGGGTATTCCCGGGTCACACTGTACAAATGCACTCCGTTAACGAGCGTGGATCTCGAAGTGACCTTTTCATTTTGGCTACGCTAACTATGATACCTCTCCATCCTCTGATTCTGCATTGGCATGCGGTACTGCAGCATCGTCTAGCCGTCCGCCCGAAGAACCAGGCGCGGCTGGACTCATCCGGGCCTTGAAATCCTGCGCTTGTTAGATCATGCTTCGGAAGGCTTGTGGCACTATTAAACCCAGATCGGCTGGGTTTGGTTGCAGATTTAGGATCAATTCTCAATAACAACCTGTACAAATCTTGTATCACAGTGGGCTCAGTCTGCTTGTCCGTCGGGAGCTCAGAGGTCGTAAACTACCCCTGTGATGCGTTCAGTTATGATCGTGCAAGGTGGCTTGCCTTTTAGGTTCAACCATGCTCTCCTCTGAACCGGTCGTCCAGACTTTCCCGATTTCAACTAGTGCTCGTGGTCACTGAAGTTCCGTTCGACACCTGTCGTCGTTTCATAGCCTTGGCGTCGGCCGTCTGCAGGATGTATTAGCCATATGTTTGAAGAGCCCAAATATGAACAACAACCGACCTCTGTCTCGGCATCAGATGCGCTTCGCTTCTTATTCATCTTTCCCTTCTTGACGCGTGTCGGTCGAATTTCGCCTTCCTCGAACACGTCATCAGGAAGATCGTAGCTAAGGAACCGTCAGCAATCATCGCGTTCTCTGAAATTTGAGACATGGTTTGAAACTTCACTTTCGGGTGTGCACAATTCTCGTCTCATACAATCCTTCGTCGTACTGCGGCCATTCCATCAACACTCTCTTGAAGTCGTTGACGGGCTCGGAGATGTCAAGAGATTTGGAACCTGCAACAACCATGTCAAACATGTCTGACGGAATCGTGAACCGCGAACTTACCTGCGCCTTCACGCAACTCCAGTCCGATGTAGAAGGTCGTCGTATGCACAGTGACGGTTCCATTATCATTCACTCCGCCCGCGTTGCCGTTCGTCACGGGAAGGTCGCTGTCGCCCTGCGCCGCAACAGCTTGCTTTATGTCTTTCGAATCATCAGGTTCATCGGTCAGGACGCCGGTGACCTGATATGCGAGCTTGCCTTTGTATACTTCCTCAACTTTATCAGGCGGGCATCGATGCACTCGATCAAAACTTTTGTTGAATGGGTGGGCAATGTCAATGTCGTTGTTCAAGTTCTCTATGCCTGTCACAAGGCGACGAACCTTGGACTGAACCGTACCGGACCAGATGGATTGGGCTTCCTTCGATCGACTGGATGCGACCACGGTGAGGTAATACTTATATCCCTGAGTGAAGAACGTGTGCTTTTGGAAGAGATCCTTCCATGGCGCCTGTCGTTCCATGATCCGCTGAACGATTTTATTGGCGTGATGAAGCTCCCGGCCAATCACGCGAAGCGTTGAATGGGTCACGTTATGAGTGGCACACATAGAGGGGTATGCTGGAGTGATGATGGGCATCAGATGTCGCTTGTCGCCGCCATACTGTTGGGGATTCCAAACTTTGACCTGTAAGGGACCCGATTCGATCTCCTTTAGTAGAAGCGGTTTGGGCCATGGCCACGATCCGATGAGATGGAAGAATCGACCGACAATCGTCGAAGCCGTTGCATACGGATACAACTGACAGATTCGCGCCACCATCAATGCCCACGCAACCCCTCCTGGGAAACCTACAACCGCACTGTAACAGCCCCGGCCTGCGATCCGTTAGCTCGTCCATGTATATTGGTGTATATCATACGTTGTGCCCATAATTTCACCGCTCTCAATGCCTGTCGAAAAGTCTTGGTTTGTGGGACTAGTCCAAGTAGCTCGTCCGTTACTCGGGTTCCGTTTACGCTTCGCAATTCGGACTCATCAAGGCCTCGGAGTAGATCCGTGTCGCTCAACGTCATATCCTGAAGAATGGAGGTTCTGTGTAATCGAGCAAAGATCAGGTCAATATCGACTCCCGAATACACCATTTTGATGATGGGCACAAACGCCTCGGGAACCGGTGTGAGTTCCTCGATTGCGCCGGGTTCGGACATCTTTTCGAGGAGCGAAGGAAAGTGTTCGAAGAAATCCTCGCGGAAGACATGCTTTGGGACGACCACAAGGGTATCGATATCAGAGCCTATATTACGTCAATCTCAGCTTCACAGGATCACCCAGACCAAGAATCTTACCAGGTGAGTAGACCCCCAACCTGTAACTCCCGAAGGTGAAGATCTTTCCTCCAGCATTTTGAAGAACCGAGGGTGCCACGCCCTTCATGCGACCGATATGTTTCACGAACTCCTCGACCACTTGCTGAAGTCGAGACAATACTTTGACTCTAAGTTGAATCAGCTCGCTGCTCATTCCCTTCACTGTACGACTCTTACCTCCGCTCCGTGTCTTCAGGTTTCTCGAAGTTGTTCTGAGCCTTGAGTTCCGTCAGCAACGCTTCATTTTGCTGGAGGTCGTCCTCGGTAGGTAGTTTGGGCGATATCGGATCGGTCAAGCCCCATCGCTGGGGTGTATGACTGGCCATTGTGTAGGAAGCGGAAGGGCGATCGATGAAGCCTCTTTGGTGTAGGAGGTCGGGACGCGCTAGATTGAAGGCATGGATTCGATGGGCAAGCGGGGAGAAATGGGACGTTGATACGCGCAGAAAGGGAGTGAAGCGTGTCTAGTGAGACCAACCCATCCCAGTGCCCCGTCTGCTGAATAGGTATTGGCAGCAATTATTATCTGGATTCTAGTTTCCGTTGTTCGGGACTCGAACGCGTTGATTATGCTGGAAGCTGCTGTAGAAGTGGAAGGAAAGGTCACGTGATATTTAGGAAGTAAGATATTCGATTCGATGTTAAGGCAACGAAATTCCTAGGTACTAATAGGCGCCTCAGGCACTAATCATCTGTTCTAACAGGCCGGCACGTGATACCTCTACGCTATGCATTACTTAATCCTCCTTTTAATAAATAACAATAACTAACGTAATCCACCACCGAGCTGCGAATATCACCGAGCTGCGAACTTCAAATCTCACCAAAATCGGGATATTTCATAACCCGATATCTCAACAACAGCATCATAATAAAATCTACAAGTTGATAGATAGACTTTACTAGTCATTTTAAGCCTTTACTCAAATTTATAGAGCTCTAGCTATTGTAATGGTAGATATACCTAGATCCTAGGTGCTAAAAGGTGTGACAGTCTTTGGCTTTGCCCAGTCTGTGTGTTGTGGCCTTGCGGCCTAAGGCAGAAGAGATGGGTAGGCCGTTTGCCCACAGATGTAAATAGCAGATCGCAGTGAGAGAGATCTTCTCCTTCTCTCTTTAGCAATTCAACAGCGTTACCAACTTACCAAATCCTTCGTGGTTTGGGCCCTTGACAAAAGGTGCAAGAATCTACTATGACCTAGGTATATCTACAACTATAATAGCTAGAGCTCTGTAAATTTGAGTAAAGGCTTAAAATGACTAGTAAAGTCTATCTATCAACTTGTAGATTTTATTATGATGCTGTTGTTGAGATATCGGGTTATGAAATA